CTCTATCATGGGTCATGGGCTGCAGAACAGGGACACGAGGAGGTTGTCAAGCTTCTTATTCAGACGGGAAAGGTGGATGTGGATTCCAAGGACACTGAGTATGGTCGGACACCTCTATCATGGGCTATGGAATACGGACATGAAGAGGTTGTTAAGCTTCTTCATCAGGCTGGAAACCGAGTCACTTAATAGGCCCTATCAAGAATTTGTTTGTGGCGGCATTAGTATATTCAACACAATGTGAATAAAATTGGGACATACAAATGGTGGAGGAGTCGCACTAGAGTCCAAATGGGCTTGTTATTATTATGAAGGTACAAGCTGAGATAGTGTCTATTCAATGCGGTTGATATATCTGCTTGGACGAGTGATAGAACGTATGCGCCGACAGGGAAAATGAGTGAAATGCGTTGATGCTTTTGCAGGTGACTTCGACTGTGATTGTCTTCTGTTCTTTGTTCGCCACAGCGCGGTGGAGAACAGGTCCACTTTGCGAAGTGCTCGGCGGTAGCTTTCGGCAGAAACCCCATGAAACACGTCCTATGGTTCTATTGCAGGGCGGTTTCGGTGAGACAACTTCCGACGGAAGTTTTGCGAGAAAAGGCCACGTCAGCTTCCCGGGCTTGGCGAACGAATTTTAGAGGACTTCAGGGCGTTCAGGTGAAGGACTGAAGGCAAAGCGGCACGGGCGCTAATCCCGACCAGTTCCTACCGGGCGCAAAAAACTGGGTGAACACGGACATACAACAGTAGGGATTCGCATGTGGTCACCCACCATACTACTAACCTACCGGCGTGTGGCTTAAGTACGGCTGAGCGGACGGGAAGCCCTGTTCTCCACACCCTGTGGTCGTATGTATCAGGTTTTAAAAACAATTGTGTATATCCCACGATATCCAAGTCATCCCCCATACATGTACTGATGCTCTCGCATCTGCCGTCCCCACAAGCAATTGCACTATCCGATCGCACGAGACCGCGAATAGATGCGAGGTACAAGTCCTCTTATCCAAGAATCGGCTGTTGTTCTTCCAGACTAATACTAAACATTGTTACTTGCATTCGATGTTGATCTGATTTGTCTTGTTGTGGCACGTCCCTCCCTTCACGAGCTGGAAAATATATCATTGTTGTCCATCCCTATCTACACTTCATCTCCTCATCCAGGTCGTCCACAACCACATTCAGCCTTCATGACACACTTTGGAAGTCCTACAATGAAAAGGCTTTTCCTAACCAAGCTCGTTCTTTTGCACGGAAGAGGTATCTGTGTTGTAATGTCTTCTCCAGCTTGTGACGATTGTGTTTGGCCGACCAATCGCCCATCCCGTGATGAGCTCTCCGCATCACACAGAATTCCAGGGAACGGCAGCCGAAGCCTTGTGCTGAGCCACCTTCACCTTCTGCACTTACTCCGACCTCTCCATTCTTCGACTTCGCGTTTTGAGTCAATCCTGACGTGTCTTTGATTTCTTCCATCGCAGAGTCGTGACGACTACAGAGATAAGAGACGTGGTCGGCTCTCGTCCCTGGCCAGGGTCTGGACTGTGTCGGTCGCAATCGAGACTCTGAGCAGTGAACACTCGACTGCCCATACCGCGGAGAAAGTCCTCTGTCCCGGTCGCGAGTCATGCAGCAGCATTCGACTGATTCGTCTCTCCAACTCTGGATAACATATCTTGTCTGAGGGGCGGCTGTCTGGAGAGAACACCACACGTCATATTCGATAAGCTCCTTCTCCTGATCAACAAGTGGTGAGACCACACGGCTACCGGACTCGTGCGCCTGGATAATTTTCCGTTGTTTGCTTTCGCGCCATCAGACAACAGCAACACAATATGTGTTTCTGACATGGGCTTTAGGCTGGGCAAGGCTGGGAGAGGCGCATTTGAGCCAGGGAACCGAAGCCACTGACGTTAACCCCGACATTTAGTGCGCCCACACCGAGCGATCTTCCTTTTAGCGTGAGACGGTTCGATATGGGCTGACCAAACGGCATCAGGCCTTGGGTCGAGAAAAAGCCGCGACGGCTGACCTCCGTGATTCGTTTCCTGATGACTGCATCGAGGGGAGAGTGCAACGGTGGCTGCCACTCGAGGTTTGGAACGGGGATGCCGCATGGTTCCGAACAAAAAAAGATTCAGGCCTGGACAGCGCACGATGCTCCCCCTTTGAACCTAGTCTGCGAGTCAGACACGAAGGATTATACTGAAAACCGGATAATCTCTGGACATGATCCAATCAGGCTTTTGGGTGACCGCCGTAATGGAGGGTACAAGGGTTTGGGGGCGGAAAGATAAAACATAAGCATGTCCAAGCAATCTTGACCAGTCTTGACTGTTCTTGGGGTTCTTGGGGCACCCCCAGACTGGAGACCCCATTTCAGATGACATGCCCATGTGTATTGCCCGCATTGATAGGTGGGACCAACCATCGGATCTGCCAACGAGCCCAGGACTCCCCAGACTTTGTGGGTCATCGGGCGTTGCATTTGCTCCAGAGTCTACTACCACCCTTGTAGGTCCCCTGTCGGTTACCATCACAGGAATCGATATGACGCTTTGCTCGAACCACCCCGCAACCTGTCATTCGCGTGTACCATCGTCGGTGGCGCGGCGGCATAAACCGCAGAAAGTCTCACTGCAGAGACCCAGGGGCGGGGAAGAGATAAATGTGTGATGTCCCCTGGTCTGAGGAAGATTGCGGTTTGCGTTTCTTTTTGTCTTTTCCCACGCCTCTTTTCCCCTGGCATTCCTCACTTGCAATATGGACTACCACGCCACCCAATCCTCAAGTAGCAGCAAAGAAACTGGAGCCGAGCACCGAGAGGAGCGCAAGGCCATCCAGGGCGTCTATGATGTCGAGAGCCGGGACCGCAACAGGTTGAGTGCGGTTTTCGAGAATCCGCTCGCTGGCATCCCTCAGGACCAACTTTTCAAAGGTGTTGATCTGTTCTGCGCGCAATATGGCTTGGACCAGCATCGGGACCTTTTTCGAAAGGGTGCTTTGATTTCACAGAACCCTGCCGCAGTCGAGACCCTACCTGAGCTCAGTGAGCAGGAAAGGGAGGCCATCCGTCGTGAAACCACCCACAAGTGGTCACAGCCATGGTCGCTTTATTTTTTGGCTGGTGAGTGCTTAATGACATAGCAAGTTGTTATCCGAGCTAATTGGTAGCGATGTGCTCGCTCGCTGCTGCTGTTCAGGGAATGGACGAGACAGCCAACAATGGCGCTGTTGAGATTTATCCTAGAGTAAGTCTACCTCAACTCCCCCCTACCGTATCGCCCAATGTTTCTTACGACTAAATGTAATAGCTCCTTGGAATAGAATCGGATAGGTTTTCTCCACAGATGCAAGACTATATCACCGGCCTTGTCGTCGGAGCCCCATATCTAGCTTGCGCACTCATTGGTTGCTGGCTCACTGAGCCTCTAAACCGGTATTTTGCACGCAGAGGAACTATCTTCATCTCCTGTGTCATCGCGGCTGTAGCCTCAATCTGGGAAGGTGTTGCCAATTCGTGGGTCAATCTTTTCCTGGCGCGCTTTGTTCTTGGTTTGGGAATTGGCTCCAAGTCATCCACGGTGCCTGTCTATGCGGCCGAATGTTCCCCGGCCCCCATAAGAGGAGCCTTGGTGATGATGTGGCAGATGTGGACTGCGTTCGGCATCATGCTTGGTAAGTCTTTCTCAGTACTACTCGATCTAGGTCAAGTTTGACCTATCCTATAGGCAACATCATGGGCGTTGCATTTATGGGCGTTCGCGAAGATCTTAGCTGGCGATTAATGTTGGGAAGCACTGTTGTTCTACCCATCGTTGTTTGCGCACAGGTATACTTCTGCCCCGAGTCTCCTCGCTGGCTCATTGAGCACAACAAGATCCCCAAGGCGTTCGAGTCCTTCCGAACTCTCCGCCCAACCGAACTGCAGGCTGCCCGTGACTTGTACTATGCCTATGTTGGCGTGGAAATTGAACGCAAGGTGAACAAGGGCAAAAACTTCTTCACAATGTTCCTAGAGCTCTTTACGATCCCACGCAACCGGCGCGCTACTCTCGCCACCTGGATTGTCATGTTCCTGCAACAATTCTGCGGCGTCAATGTGATTGCCTACTACTCAACCACCATCTTTGTCGAATCCGGATATAGCATCCAGGAGGCCCTGTTGGCATCCATGGGGACGGGCATTCTCAATTGGGTCTTTGCAATCCCAGCCTTCCTGACCATTGATACGTGGGGACGACGCAATCTGCTTCTGTTCACGTTCCCCTGGCTTGCCATCTGGCTATTTTGGTCCGGATTCTCGTTCTGGATTGAGGATGATATCCAGGATAGCAGGAAGCGAGTCGCCATGGTCACGACGGGAATGTACCTCTTTGAGGTGTTTTACTCGCCTGGAGAGGGACCCGTCCCGTTTACGTATTCTGCTGAAGCGTTCCCGCTGCATGTTCGAGAGGTTGGCATGTCTTGGGCGACAGCAACAACATGGTGCTTCAACTTTATCCTTTCCTTTACGTGGCCAATGTTGCTTCGTGCATTCAAGCCACAGGGTGCATTTGGCTGGTACGCAGGGTGGTGTCTCATTGGATGGGTCTTGGTTCTGCTTTTTGTGCCAGAGACAAAAGGTATGCATATTTACTGCTCTTCAACAGGGTAAAGGTGACTAACTTGTGTAGAACTCACACTAGAGGAACTGGACCGTGTCTTCTCTGTTTCCACGCGACACCATGCTGCTTATCAGCTGAGGAATGCCGTCTGGCACTTCCGCACATGGGTCCTGAGACAGAAGCTGGAGCCGCTACCGAAGCTGTACGAAACAGTTGATAGCTCGACGCCTGATATGAAGTCGGAGACGCGGACAGATACAGACATCTTGGAGGACACGAACGGAGCATCTGCAGAGCCGAAGCGAGAGAATGGAGCCGATGATATAATAACGGAGAAGTAAACCGAGAAGCCGACTGGGTGTGGTGGTAATGACGGAGTGAGTCGGAGACGCTGTGGCATCCAATCTGAAGGATATTGATGCCTTTGATACCTATTTTTCCTACTAATTTACTATTTCTTCCTAACGTATATCTAATTGCCGAGCTGAGCTGATTTAGTCCTCAATTATCTGGCCAATTCTCTGATCGAATGTTCTTACTTGCAATATGTAATTGGTTACTGATCCAACTGTATGCTAAAAATCGCTTTCACAACACATTCCAAGCCTGTATCCTCCCTCCACATCCCGATGCACTCTGCTGACCTGACGACAGTCTCCAGTCTAGGAACAAAACACGCGCACGGCAAAACACCGGGGAAACCAGCCAGAAACCTGCCAGCTAAGCCCCACCCCCGCACCTTCTCTCCTCCGGAGTAAGCCCGCAACCCTCGAAACGCGCCAATCCCTTCCCAAAGCGGCAACACATGAAGAAGATCATCGCGCCGGCGTCGGCTCTCCACACTTTTAACGCCGGAGAATACCCCAGAAGCAGATTGGAATGGAGATTCCAATTCGGCAGCGGGAGTCGGGGCACTTGCCGTGGATTGGAAATCACCTTTGCAGAGGTGACTCGTGCGCTAACGTCATTATCCCCGCTTTCCGGTGTTGCTCCGATTCCGCGACATACAAATATGAGGGGTGTTGCGCGGTGGGTTGATTTTGAGCGGAGAGATCATCGATCATTGAGAGAACAGGCGATATGAAGGCTACCGCGGCGTCTCTTGCTATCTCGCTGGCTGCGCTGTGTAGGGTTGGAGATGCTGCCCCGACACTCACAGAGCCTACAGCGACTGTCCGCAATGGAACTTACGTCGGTGTGCAGAACGCACACTACAACCAAGACTACTTCCTTGGGATCCCCTACGCTCAGCAGCCTATCGGTAATCTGCGGTTCACCATTCCCCAGTCTTTGAATGAGACGTGGGAGGGGACGAGAGAGGCGAAGGAGTATTCGGAAATCTGTGTTGGATATGGAGTACGACCTCCCTCTCTCCTGTCTAAGTTAATAAGGCCAACAAACTGACCATGTCTAGACCGATTCGATCTGGTACCAGCAAGGCGAGGCTTGCCTGACCCTCAACGTTATCCGGGACTCGTCGGTAGATGCTGGCTCGAATCTCCCCGTTGGCGTCTGGATCCACGGGGGTGGTTTCGCTCAGGGCTCTGGTGCGGACCAGAGATATAACATGTCGGCGATTGTCGCCAACTCGCATCGAATTGGTAAGAGCTTTCAGCACCTCCAGTCTGGTTATTGCACTACGCTTGCTGACCGACCTAGGTAAACCCTTCCTCGGAGTATCGCTCAACTACCGCCTCTCAACCTGGGGCTTCCTAGGCTCAAAGGAGATTACGCAGAGCGGAAACACGAACCTCGGCCTCCGCGACCAGCGCCTTGCCCTCCACTGGATCCAAGAGAACATCGCAGCATTTGGCGGTGACCCGAGCAGAGTGACCATCTTCGGTGAATCCGCCGGAGGAATGTCTGTCGGCGCGCAACTGATTGCGTACGGTGGCCGCGACGATGGACTTTTCCGAGCGGCTATTATGCAGTCCGGCGGATCGATCATGGCCTCGCCGATGAATACGACGGCTTATCAGGGGATGTATGATGAAATTGTGGGGAAGGTTGGGTGTCGCTCGGCTCGGGATACCTTGCAGTGTTTGCGAGAGGTTCCGTTTGAGACCTTGAATGCGCTGTTCAATGGCACGGATGGGAGTCCGGCGTATAAATTTTCACCGACCGTGGACCATGATCTGATCAGGGAACGAGGCAGTAACCAGCTGGACAAGCATGAGTTTGTCAAGGTGCCGATTATTGTTGGTACGAATACGGATGAAGGTGCATCGTTTGGCCCGACGGGAATCAACACGACGGAGCAATTCTACAGGTACCTGACAAGTAAGTTCACCCAAGCCTTCTGCCATATGGCTCATGCTAATCGCTCTAAGACGGCGACTCTGGCTTCAAGCTCCCACCACCCATCGCCCGTGAAATTCTCGACCTCTACCCAGACGACCCATCCCAGGGTATCCCCGCATTCCTAGGATCCCAACGCATCCCTTCAAAAGGCTACCAATGGCGCCGCACCTCCGCCTACGCAGGCGACTACATGATGCACGCGAACCGCCGTCGGCAATGCGAAGCGTGGGCAGAAGCCAACGTCCCGGCCTACTGCTACCGATTCAACATGCGCAGCGGAAACAGCGACTACCTCTCCGGCGCGGCACATTTCGAAGAAGTTGCTTTCGTGTTTAATAACATTGCTGGACTGGGATACCACTACGGGCTGCCATTCGAGGGGATGCCGGAGTCTTATTCGAGGTTGAGCACGATGATGGCGAGCATGTGGGCGGCTTTTATCCATGACCTTGATCCGAACTCGGGGGCTGCTGCGGATGTTTATTGGGAAGGGTATGGAGTGGAACAGCCGGCGGATATTGTTTTTGATGCGAATGTTACGGCTTTGGGGTACATGGAGGATGATACGTGGAGGAAGGAGGGGATTGATTTTATCAATTCCGTGGCCAAGGCGCTTTGGCGATAGTGGCTGTCAGATGCTGGTACATGCGTCGACGATTGCGTATGACTCCCATGAGCGGTTCACATTTGTCTGATGTATATCTAAAGATAAGGACCGGAATGAATGTAGTATGCCCAAATGCTTTTCATGGCGATGTTTCCGCTGTTCTTTTGCTTTGCCAATATCCGAAAACCTGTAACGAAAGGGGGTTTAAACGACTGGTTCTCAGATTCCGAGGTCTCGTTAGGATGCTCCTCGCAGGGCTCATTCCTGAGACAGGAAAGGCATAAGGCAGACTGCTCGCAGGTGACCAACCTGTTGATCGCACTCAACAAGCGCTCCTTTTGCGCCAGGCCACTAAAGTGGGCACATCCACATGCCCTCTCGAAAGTTATGCAGTGGTGGGAATTGTTTGGGAATCTCTTACTCGTTTCAGGATTTGATCACAGCTCGTAAATCCGATCCAGAGAGCTAGAGCCGTGGCAGTATGCCTCTTGTGTACGACGCCTGAATATGTGTGTCAAGACGCCTTTGCTTCCTAGAGCCCGATTCGGACAGCCAGTTCCTGAAGCTGAGCTACTGGGTACAGAAGAGAGGAATGCACACCAGCGTACAGCGACGCCCGCTTCTCCTCTAGCTCATCTATCAAGCAGTCTGTGAGAATGAAGAAAGCTGTGCTCCAAGTCGAGGGTTTACATACCTGGAATTTTGGGTGGCAGAAAAGCGATATTCTTGACTGCAAAAACCCAGCCAAGAACTTGCTGGCGGAAAGAAACCAAGAGTTTGCTTGAGGAGATCAGAAATCAATGTTTGGAATTGATCGAGTACGCGAAGAGCATCTCGCTCCACCAATGTTTTCTTGAGTGGGTTTCGATTCGTTTAAGCCAGAATTCTCCCTTGTGGGCCACTGATACTTGTCAATCAGAGATGTGTATCGACGATGGATTTGATCAGTGACCATCCGGTTTGCTTTTTTCTTCGAAAAGAGCAGGTCCATTTGCGTCTGTTTTTCTAGGCTTCCCTGCAAGCGCCTTGTCGAGCCTCTGCCAAATGCGCGCTGGAGTAAGAATTGGTGGCGGGGCAATTTTGCGGGGCTCTGAGGACGGAGACATACTTGACTAGTTCTTGCAGCACGGAGCAGTTGTGGCCTGCATAATCCAAAGTTGACTTGTGCTACAACCGAGAGGGGGCTTTCAGAACGAATCCCGGCTTGTATGCATGTTCCTAGCCTAATGCAATAGAATACTCGCCTCATCTGGGGGTAGTCCCGGCCTGATTGCTACTATGGTCAGGTTCGCAGCGCTGCTTAAAACCCCCCCCCAAGCCTGCGTCATATGCAGTCGGAATATGCAGCCTTTTACCCAATGAGGAGACCATGAATGAACAAGTTTTTGAGAGCATCCACCTGTTCCGGATACGGCTGATATTAGAATTGTCTCACTGTCAGCTTCAGCATTGTCTCTTGCTCTATCAGTGGCTGCCAGTGGCTTGCTGCCGTGGTTGTCGAGACTCTTCCAGGGAACCCATCGTCGTAAAAGCAAGGGAGCTCTCATCCTCTCACAACACTAACCACGACTCCCCATCTCCCCATTATACACAGTTTACTTGAAGCTATAGGGTCTCGAACATATAGGCGACAGTATGCAAGGCTGATCAGAGCTTGCCCATGGTGTAACGTTGGAAGATGCATGGTTCCTACATACGCTGACTTGACCGTAGATAAGCGATAATCAGTGTCAATATCTCAGCTGAAGGTGTTATGTGTGTCACCTAGACGAGTAAGATTTTTAAACGTATCCAGCCGTACTGCTGGGCAGATCTCAGCCTTGCCCACTTTGGAGAATTCAAATCAAAGTTTTACAATAATATTTGTGCTGGCATGGCTATCACACATTTTGTATGCTACTTCTTGCTCAGCGCCAGAAGCTCGCACCTTTCCCTGAGCTCTCTCAGTTTCATAGCGCCCTCTCTCTGGCCTGGCGGGAGATGCTTAATCAGTTCAAGGGCAGTCTCACCTATCAGAGAGATGCAGAGAGCATCAACATCTGGGCCGTAGTGCATCTGAAAAGAGGCGAGATGCATACCACCTGCGATGACAATTTTGATCTGGCTGGCTACTGGGAAGAGCCTGGCTCGGAGGGCTTGCCTAAGCTGAGAGCAAAGGCTGGTTCTGTGACGATCATTGCTAATGCAGAATTGACAGTCATACCTGGAGGCCGCGATAGATGGAAAATGAGTGATTCTAGCCAATATAAACCCCCCGGGTCCCCGCTTTCCATCACGAATATCGCCCTCAGCCTGATCATCAAACTCAGTCTTTAACCTAAACCAGTCTTTGATCTCTCCTACACGCAAATTCTCTCATCAGGCCACTGCCAGCCCAGGATCATCATGAGGCTCATCTCACTCGCCACTGCTTTTGCTGTCGTGGCAGAACTCCTGCCGATTGTCGCTGCCGACTTTGATGTCTATGACATGGGACTCGGAGGCGGTGGTATCGTGGCAAACTTCTGGGGCTGGCAAGTATATGACGGTCTTGCAACATGTGATAACGACATGGGCTGGGTCTGGCCGCCGCGAACCGACGCTAGTGGAAACAAAGCTGGAGTCCTCTGCAAGGGGACAGGCGATGCCTGTCCATTTCGTGGCGATGGTGACCCATATAATATCGAGCAGTTAGGGCTCAATTTCGGGAACAGGGGTGCACGCCACTGGAGTAAGTATTCACCAGGCTAATGAAGATGGATGATCTGTCTAGTACGTTGTTGACCTTGGCTCTTTACTCTCTTCTCTAGCTATGTATCTGGAGCGTGGCAACCGGGTTGGCCATTGCGACCCGGCACCCAAGCCCCTTCACCACTGGGCCTGCAGCGGCGTTGCTGGCAGAAGAGAAAGGTATCACATGTTTCACTGCACAATTCCTGATGTGACTGCGGCAATCATCAACACGGAAAGACCATAGTGCTTGTAGCGTTGTCTGAAGGAGGGAGATGAAATACGATGGGATGGGATGTGCTCCAGTAAGCCTTAAATTCAACATTTGGCTCTTCGGTGCGCTGTCAAGTGGTGATACTTTCGAGAAAACCATACGCCTGCTAATCAGGCCCTTTCTTTTTTCTAATGTTGATGGGGTTGCAGGTGGACTTACCCCGTGGAGCCAGCAAACAATATCTTTTCGCTTCATTCGAGTCTCATTGCGTTGAAGACGGGGAAGGCTAATGCCAGCACTCTGGACGAGACAAGCAATTCGGCTTCAGAACAGTCGACTATAATGTCTCAGTATGGATTAATTGCTTCGGATGTGTTTGTGGCGAAGATCAAGTCGCGTCCTGGTCTGACATGTCTCTTGCGTCGCAGAAAATGAGACTTTGGTGAGTTGAAAAGTGGCAAAAGTGGCAAGTGAGAGCACGCCGAGGGTTTGGCGAACAGTGTAGAAGTAAGAGACAATGGTGGTCAGTGAGAATCGAATCGAAGGTAAAGTCTAAGGAACAGACTGCAATGCGGGTAGTACTGGGCAAAAGAGTGTGATGATGAACAAATGGAGGCAGGAGGGTACGTGGGAAGATGCTGTGGTAGGAGTATAAGAAGCTCGAGATCTCTAGGAAATTCGATGAACGGTATTAGATTGTGGTTGCGAAACGTTTGAGAAGTGAAGAATCGTAGTTTCTAAGTTGTACTAATACTGTGCTCGCGTATCCAAAGCCGTCAGCAGACCACAAGCAAGCCGGTAAACGGAATGGAACTTGCAGGTCAAAAACAAAATGTCAAAAGTATGCCCTTCCCATGTATTTGCGTGGATATCAAACTCAGTTGTTGGTTGAGAGGGAGCAGGACAGCCCTACTTGGTTGTGGCAGGTGGATGCTTCGAGCAACGCGGCCCCTTCAAGCAGAGCAGGCACCATTTAACGCTGTCAGTAGCCTTCTTCATCCTGCTTTCCAATTCGTTGACAAGGACGTTGTGCTCAACGCAGTCACGACAGCCACAGTCATCGCGGTAGCTGATATGCTTCGGCCTACCCTGTCGTGTGGACAGGCCCTCTGCCGCTTGATGGACTTGAGCAATGCTTCTGTGATGATATCGAGCCGTTCCAGGCAGAATTTCCCTTTCCTTCAGGGCTTTTGTATACTCAAAAAGCGTATTCTTGAGTCGATTGCAATCGGTATGTGTGACCTTCCACACCGGGTCCATCAATGCATTCTCCGTCCTGCGCGCGATTGACGTTTGTAGTTTGTCCAGTTTTGCTACAAAGACAGCTGGTAAGTATGCGATCTGCTGATGGATACGACGACTGACCGATGAAGTCCTCTGAGAAGAATGCGTTGTTGTTGATGGCAAAGGTCCAGTCATGGAACTGGCCCTTGCGTTTCTGTATGAGACTCCTTGATACTTGCACAAAGCGCGACTCCCATCCTAGAACATACGCCGCCTGTAGGAGTTGCCAGAGACCTTTTTTGAGGCGCCCTTTAGGCATTGTTCTGACCATGCCTCGCAGGTGTGCATCAAGAGCGCGGCACATGCGTACTTGTCTAGAAAGATTGCTAGCGCGAGCAGGATGTCAGGGCTGATGGTAGATGGTAGAGCCTCGACGTTGTGGTGGGCGTAGTAGGCGAAGACCCGAAATGCATCAGCGTTGTCACTTGGGAGCTCGATGTTTGCTCGACCGTCCGAGGATGATGGAGCTCGTAGGGTCACGCCCTCCTTGAATTTCGAGGTAAACATGGCGCGAAATACTGGCGAGGCTAAAGAGACGGCCTTTGAGGAGACGAGGAAACACACGCCAGAACAGTTGATGACCACATCCCCATCCGGGTCCATGATTTCTGGAGCGGCTTGAGGCATGGGACCGGTTCTCGTCTCAGGCGCCATTGTGCTCGAAGATGGAGATGAAGGTGCTCAAGAATGTTAGTCACTCCTCGAGATGTGAAGGGGCATGCAGGGGAAAGGAAACAGGAGGCGCTCACCTGTTTTAATATACGTATAGATGTTTCTCACTTTCACTTTTGATCAAATGGCTCTCATCTGCAATAGAGCTCAAGCTGCTTCCTGAGTTTTCGGAGATGGCCTCTTGTCACGGCCTGTCCTTGATACTTCTGGCTCAATCTCAGATTCTCCTCGATTTCGGCCTCTCTCTTTCCCTCCAGCCAACCGCCAACATGACAGTCGAAGAAATTGATTCCGAAGACGAGGTTACCATCAACTGTGCAGAGTAGTTTGAAGTATGATGGTATGTCAAGATTCTCTCCGCTGATAATGCCCGAGCGCACTGGATGTACAATATAAAACTTCTGTGGCCCATGTTGCGCGGATCACCACGCATATATCACCGAAATGCCTTCCAAACAAGAAGCACCGTATTCTCAATTCAACAACATCCAGTCCATCATATCGCCTGCCGACAAAATCACTACCTAGAATGCCATACTGCCCAGGGAATGTTGAGAATAATCCCGAGTTACATCCTGAAAACGTGGATACATACTCAATTTGACATGCTGTCCAACAAACTCCCTCCACATCCACATACCAAGCCAAGACTCAATTCACCTCTCATCCAGGACCGCCTTCGCATGCTTCCGGCACTCCTTATTGTTCCTCAAGCAAAGCAGACAAAGCCCAACTTCCTCATTTACACATTTGTTAAGCTGATTCAGCAATTTCTCAGATGATACGTACTCCTTGACCGTAGAGCAGTCGTCACAGCCGGGGTGGAATTCGCCCAGGGTGTCAGGTAGCAGACTCGCAGCATCAGTGTAGATCCTGGAAAGGGTCTTGAAGCGGAACTCTTCAGTGCCTGGGAGGATTCCAGCATTTCTCAATGAGGTGGCGTAGGCGACGATGAAGGCCGCTAGCCTTCTGCATGTTCCGGTCCCCGTCTTAGTGAGTGGTCTGAGCAGCGTCATTTCAACTTTCGAGCTTACAGTTTCGCGAAACTCGTCCAACAGATCTGGTAGTCGAGGCAGATTAGTGGACTGATCTACAGCAGAATAGTCAGGAAATGTGTACAAACCCAACGCAGACGCCGGCAAGAAATCCAAGTTATTAACCGCAAAGTCCCAACGGCGGAAACGCCCCTCGCGCATACTGACAAGCATGCGGGAAATTCTCGAAACGTACTTTTGTGAGTCTAGAAGGTACGCAAGAAGTAACAAATCCCAAAGATCCTCTGGCGGCGCTCCCTTGGAAGCGTGCTGAATCCATCCCGAGCAGCGCTCAGCCATGGCAGACGCGCAGCGATACTTCTGAATGAACAAGGTTATCTCATACAGACCTGCGATATCCACGTTCTTCGGCAGCGCTTCGATTCTATGATGCGCGATGTTGCAGAAAATGACGAAAGCCTCGCGATCCTCCTCGGGCAGACTGAACTTGCGGAGGCGGCCACTGGAAGGGGATTCTTGCTGCCGACTATTTTTGAACTTGGCGCGAAATACGGGCGATGCCAGCGAAATGGCCTTCGAAGAGACAAGGAAAGATGACTGGGAGATTGTGATGATCATGTCGCCATCCTCATCAATCACCTCCTGCGTTGTATGTGCAACAGGACCGGAAGTCTGCGATCCAGGTGGTGTTAATATCGCGACTTGAATGATTGGGGAGGACATTATGCTGCAGGAGAGGGTCGGTCAGCTTCTCGAACAGGGCAATAGGAGATAAGAGCGGGGATGAGCGTTGAGAAATAGGGATCGGGGTCAAGACAATGCTCAATACGTCCCCATAACACTTGCAAGATAGCAGCGGGGCCCAACTCACCTCTGGTGTATGTTACGATATAGAAGGTCAGATCAATGTACATGGCTGAGGCCTACAGGACTGCAGATGGCTGTATGCAGCCGCCTGGTAGAAACATCGAAGTGAAAAGCGCCTGTTGGGAAGAAAAAGTTGCAGAGAAAGACCACCACCGAAGAAAAGATTGGACGAAGTCGATCAAGAGGGTCGCCTTTCCTTGACTCCTGCCGTGTTATTCTGCTCATCTTTCTTTGCCCACCACCCACGACCAGCAGAACAGTCATCACATTTTCCAGGACAACTCCTAGAAGCTACCAACCTGCTACTACTGGATTTCTGAGATTGTTGTTCTGCCCTTCTCTCTCAGGCAGACGTCTCTTACCTTTCTTCTCGTCCTGGTCCCCGCCACCCATCCTCAACCGCTTCTCGCTTCAACATCACCATCCACATCTTAACAATGGAACCAGAAATCTTCGATCCGGACGGCGATCTGATTTTAACCTGCACAGGCGTCCCGCTCCTCGTCTCTTCAAAAGCCATCTCCCTCGCCTCGTCCGTCCTGCGCACCACACTGATGGAGCAAGAAGCCGAAACACGAATCGTCAAGCAAGAACACCCCCAGACCCCCACCGTCGTCCTCGCGCACAACTGCCTCGAATCCTTTCACGCATTCTGCGATGTCGTGCACCACAAAACCGAGTCTCTCCCGCAGAATCCTGACACTGACTACCTGTACCGCCTGGCCGTGTTTACTGGGGACTATTGCTGTCGCGCCGCGATGAAAGACCGTGGACAGATATGGCTGATGACGTTGCGGCTGATCGACCGGTCTGAAGAAGATCTTTGGAAGTTATTGCAGTTCGCGTATATCCTCAAACTCCGGAAGAACTGCTTTGATATCAGTCGCAGACTTGTGGCTACGCGATTGAATCGATTTCGGGTTTGGAGCTTTGCCCTTGAAACTGATCGCTTGATGCCAGACACTATTCTAGGTGTGTAATCCCTGCCTGCGTTGAAAAACACTGCTGACCAGAAGCTTCCATAGACAACCTCGACGAGAAGCGAGAATCAGTCGGAAGGTCTGTCCAATGCGCCATCATGGATCTCGTGGTCAAGCTCGGCCTGTATGACTGCAAACAGTCCAAGGATTTCCTTTTCGAGTACCTCCGCTCCTTGAACGAAGTGGGAATCCTACCGGGTTCATCACAATTCGCCGAAAAGAACTACCTGCAGATATACGCGGCAGCAAAGAACCTAGCCCGCGCCGTTTACGCCAATCACGAGGGGTGTGCGTGCTCAAAGTATGCGGGATATAAGCAGAGGGTGGAGCTGATGAGTCTGCTGGATAAGTGCTATGAGACTATGGGGCTGTGTTTGGAGTGTGTCGAGGGTGTGCATTATGAGGGTCATCCTAATACGGATTGAACAGCGTCAATAGACATGTACAGGAAGAAAAAGTGTTTGAATAAAAGAGTGAGCGCTGGCGTTGGGTAGGACTGCTGGGTAATGGATGTGACTTTCTGGTAGTGTTATGGATAGGCCTGATTCACGCGCTCCACGAATCTCATATGGCGCTCTACTCTGGGCTTAAAATGTTGTCAAGAAAGACTCCGAAGATTTCCAAGATTGCAAGACTGATATGGCACATAAGAATCACTTTTGTAGCTCATGGGCAAAGATTGCGCATTACAAAAGATCCCGTTGTTGAAACGTGATTGGCAAAGAAGTTTCCATCCACTCCTGACTTTGTGTTATTCCTCATCTTCCTCGCAGCTCTGAGCCAACCCATTCAACGTGAACGTAGCCTTGCAGTCTAATATCGGCTTAAGATCCCCTTTCCTTCATTTTCTCTCCTAGGCTTGCACATCTGACTGACTCAATTTGAACCAGGCTGACACGGAAGACGCTTTAGGTGCCCGGGCACAACCACCACCCTCCCCTCCTGCCCTTTCGTTCGCCTCTTCTCCGCACCATACCTTTTCGCAGCAGCAGCCTCTCCACCGGTGTACTTGGTGTCGATTGCGAGCAATCTTCTCGCTTCCCACAGCTATACATACCTTCTCCGGCTACCCCCACCGTCTCGCCCCGCCTCGCCGGCCCCCACCGTCGACTTCCGTCACAACAATCGACCGCGCGCTACTTGTTTCCACAAATGACAACTGGCGAAAATCACTTCCACTCCAATCATCCTTGTGATACCTGGTCGACTACGGGATACGGACAGAACTCGCTCCGTGCGCCAGTTAAGATAACGGCCGACATACTCGGTAGAGATACTGTTTGGTTGTGTCCCTTTTTGGTGGAGATATACCCCGCCTAACTCTCTTGACTTCCGAGCCAGGGTTTGGAAAGCCGGCGAGCGGTCTTCGTCCTGTCGTAGCGGTTCAGCGATACAAGCAATTCGGGAGCTGTCAGACGCAGGGACTACGCGGGTGATGCCGGCCTTCGGCTCTTGATGCGTGTCAGTTGCTCTTCGGATCGAAGCGTGAGCCTATGAAACAGGGCAATGACACCATGTGCGGGGCTGTTCTCGGTGATAGGCCGATGCGAGCAGGGGGGCGATCGGCCCTTATAAGCGTGAGCTCCCACCTGTTTTGCCTTTCGTCGGGCGCTAACATTGACGTTTGACACAGCTGTTACAAACCTGAGAAGAAAGAAAATCACAAATTCTATGCATTATGGCGGCGAATACGCTATCTACATACTCGAATTCAACATGCGTAAAGACGCAACAACCCAAAGCGACAAGAACTCCCAAAGCGACAAATATTCAAACTAGATTGGCTCGTCTCGTGGCTCAATCAGAATCTCGTTCATTGCGACATGTTCAGGCTGGCGCAGAGCATAAACGATCGAGTTGGCGACGTCCTCTGGATTCAGAATCTTCGCGCCCGAAGGCTCGCCGTACTTCTTGATCGCCTCTGCGTCTGTAGACATACCAAGAAGGTCTGTCGCTGTGTTTCCTGGCTGCACAGCCGTTACACGCAAGCCTTGTCCAGCCGTCTCCAAACGCAGCGATTGTAGTGTCGCCTCCACGAAGAATTTGCTGGCAGAGTAAACACCCAGGCCAGGAAAGACCTTGCGACCAGCGTCAGACGAGATCGCCACAACGTGACCACTCCCACGCGACAGCATTCCCGGTACTGTAGATGCCAGAGAGTTCAGAAGACCCTTACAGTTCACATCAACTGTACGCTCCCACTCATCCATCTGCACATTCGCCATCATTGTGAAGTACATTACGCCCGCACAGGCAACGAGAATGTCAACGGGGCCAAGTTTGTCGGTCGCTGCTTTCACCAGACTCTCAACCTGTGCTCTATCCGTAACGTCGGTCTTTTGAATGACGACCTTGTCTCCGCAACCAGAAAGTTTTGCTTGGAGAGCCTCAAGAGCGTCTAGTCGGCGAGCACCCAGCGCAACATGGCAGCCCTCTCTTGCCAAAGCAGTAGCGACAGCAGCGCCGATTCCGGAGGATGCGCCCGTGATGACAGCAACCTTCCCGCTGAGAGCGCCTTTGCGGACTGGGCTTTCGGGCTTCTGGCGAGTTGGAGGCTTCCTAAGCCATCCTCGAGCAAACCAATGCCGGGTGTATGTTTCGAGCAGGAAGCGGTCTACTCTGGGTCGCTCAACCTCCCGCCGGATGGGGCGTGTTGCGGAATTGTCCAGGACAACAATACCCCGAAGGAATTCAATCGTGGGCATACCACTACGGAGGATGTCCACAGTGAAGGCTCCATCACCACCCTTCTTAGAACCTCGCTTCTCCGTCCACAGCGCAACCCAGTCGTCCCATGCAAGCGGCTCGGTAGGATATCCGAGGGTGTTGAGATCTCGGAAAACAGAGCTGGTGTCGACAGGGCTTGGGTCACCAAGGTGGAAGACGGTTTGCTCCGCCTGGGTTTGATTTGCAAGATGTACGATGGCTTTGCTAACGAAGTCGACTGGCGTCATCTCTGCGCGCCATCCCTCTACATCGGGGTATTTGCCGATCTTGACAGATTCAACAATCAGGGCAGACAGCAAATCCCAAGCATTGGCAGCGCCTGTCTGGCTGTGACCGCTGATTGTGCCTGCACGGTGAATGCGCACAGGCAGACCTCGACGGCCAGCCTCTAAGACAAGTTGTTCGGCCACCCATTTGGTCTGGCCATATCCATCGAGCAGCTTTGTGGGAACATCATCTACATCTAGCATGGTATCTTCAGACCAGCCCTTCTCTCCGGAAGGAGGCAGGACACCATTTGTCGAGACGTACTGCACAGTGGCATTGCCAAGACAGGCGAGGCGCAGAATTTCACGAGTTCCACCCACATTGGGAGCACGCAGAGTAGCGTATGGGTACACAAGGTTGACGGTCGCAGCGGCGTGGACAATCACGTCGACACGAGAGGCCAGCTCTTGGAAAGCCTCCGGCGAAAGGCCAAAGCGCGACCGGGACAAGTTGCCAGGGAGAATGTGAACACGCTCCATGATCGAGTCATCCCACAGGCCCAGGTCTAGGAGGTTGCGGCGAATTCTTGCCACACCACCTGGTTGGTCATCGTCTTCGGGTTCGGTGAAGCGCACCAAACAGATGATATGCGCAGACGTGCTCTCGACGAGGTCTTTGAGAAGGAAAGCGCCAAGGAAGCCGGTTACACCGGTCAGAAGAACTGTCTCTGCGTCGGCGAGTGAGCAAATCTTGGCGTTTGACGGCTTGATGTCGTCCTCGAGCGTGGCATCGGCGCGTAGCACCGCCGGTAGGTCCGCCTGAACCGCCGCTGTGTGGCCGTCTCTAATGGCACGAACAGTATCCAAATGCCCAGTCAGAGTAGAGTTCTCTGCCAGACGTGCGATAGGTACGCGGAATCCGAATTTGCGGGACAATCTCGAGGAGAGGTCCGCAATGGAGAGCGAGTGGCCACCCAGGTCAAAGAAATTGTCTTCAGGCTTCAATACCGCCTTTGCGACCTTCAGAGCAGCGGCCCAGATCGTCGCGATGTCATCGAGACCGATCGGATCCGTCTTCTGTCCATTTCCGTTGACGCCGTTCTCGGTTTCGGCAGCTCCTGTAGGCGGCGCGGGGAGAGCTTTGAGGTCAATTTTTCCTGACACCTCGTGAGTGGGCAACTCGTCCATTATCACCCACAATGCAGGAATCATGTAATGTGCAAGATACTGGGTCAGAGCTCGGCGCGCCCCAGGGCTGTGGCCAGATGCATTGACCTCCACCACAGGACGTTGCTCTGAGTGGTCCTTGTCAGGAACAATGTACGCCACCAATTGTCGCTCCAGGCCCTCGCCATGCGCAACTACAGCGCAGTGACGGACAGCCAAATGGTTTACAATATCATTCTCGACTTTGCCGGGGACAACAGAGTAACCGCGCAACTTGATCATTGCGCCTACGCGACCGGTGATCTCCAGGAAGCCCGAGGGCAACACGCGTGCCCGGTCTCCGGTGCGATACATGAGAGATCCGGGTGTGGGGTTGAAGGAGTCGGGAATAAAAGCCTTTGCTGTTGTCTCAGGACGGTTAATATAACCCCTTGCGAGAAGCGCACCGCCGACACAAAGTTCACCACTGGTTCCGTTCTCAACCTTCTCTCCCTCTTCATTCACGATATATGCGTGTTTCGGATCGAGGGGTGGTCCAACTGGGCAGTACTGCGACTCGTCATCCAGCATTTCTCGGATGTCGCCACAGGCGATTTCGTGTGTCTCGCAGGCGCTGTAGCAGTTGAGAAGACGAGTGTTGGGAAGTGCCTTGATCGCTCGGCGCGCCAGATCGGTAGTGACCACTTCTCCGTTCAACCACAAGGTCCGCAATTCTGGCAGTCGGCTGCCGATGTGCGGGTGCCGCGAGAGAATAGTGGCGAGAAGGGTTGGGGTCATGAGGGTCTCGGTAATGTGTTTCGCGGCAAGGAGATCAACAAGCGCGGCGGGGTCATAGCTGGTATCGTCTGGAACAGCAACAACGGCAGCTCCGCGCAGTAGCGGACGCAGAATCTCCCAGATGAAGAACACGTTGCAAGCGACACGATCGCCCGGTTGAAGATCTTGCACACCGAAGCGCAGGTTGTATGATAGAACTGGAGCTCGATGGGGGTTTGCGATTCCTTTCGGCTTGCCGGTGGTTCCAGAAGAGTACGAGACGAAGGCCAGTCGGTCCAAATCATCGTCTGCCGGTAATGGGGCGGCCTCAACAGTGTGGCCGTTTGCCTCAGTGGCCGGCTCATCAAGGGTAATGACAGGTACACCGCCCTTTATCTTGCCTGTTTCCGCTCGGTGAGTGACCACAACAGCTGGACAAGCATCTTCGAGCACATCTGCCAGCAGGTCAGGAGGGTATGCCAGCTCCAAGACGAGGAAAGCACCCCCGGCGCGGAGGGCCGCCAGACAGGCGATAACATAGTGAGCACTGCGTGGAAGCAGCACACCCACCAAGCTATCCCGACTCACCCCATAATTCCGCAAGCGCTGCGACAGCACCTCAACCTCATTGTCTAGCTCCGCATAGGTGTATGTGGCCTTATCGTCCTCCAAGGCTAGGGCATCGGGTGTCGCACGGACCTGTTGGGTGAAAAGAGCCGAGAGATCTTTAGTGATGTCGATGATTGCCATGTTCAATTATCAATGGCGAAAGCGAGATCGGAGTCGCAGTCGGTTGGAACGAAAGAAATCGAAAAACGAGCGAAGCGAGCGGGGAGTGAGCTGTTCTTATAAAGTCAACGAACGCACAACAGTGGGATGTGGGATGGGATTTATTGGCAGCCTCACAGTCAATCGCTGCAGGGAGGGAAGGCGCGAGGAAGAAGCAACGAGAGAGGAAGGTGGGAGTGCAAGGGTGAAGTCTGGAGGTGAGGCAAACGCAGTGACATTGCAGAGTTGACCGACTGATAGCTGTTATCGCTCGCTCCAGTTTCTTCGACTGGCTGTGGGGGTTCACATGTTTTTTTCTCGCACTGTGCTAACCGTTTCTTCACTAGTGCCAGCAGACTACTTTAGACTCTTCTGTCTTTACGCCAAATCAGCGATTCCAGGGACAGCATCTCCTCTCAACAAAGAGGCCGTTTCTCGTGCGAGTCCTCCAAGGTCATTTGTGAGTGATGAGATCATTGCTGTAAACATGTACCTGGATTGGTTGTTCCTCGCAGTGAGCCTGGAATCGGCGGCCAACCCTGGAATTGGACCCCATAACCAGCTGGTCCACCCCCACCAGTTACCTCATCCAAGCCCGCTGAACCGCCGCTTTGGTTTTCCGGCCACAGCTGTCACACCCACGATTTTTTTTTTTTTTTTTTTTTTTTTTTTTTGCTTCTTTAAATCCCACCAGGCGTTGAACTCATCTGACCTTTAAATCACGACAGCGGCCGGGGAAATGGCGCCATATGCAGCCCTGCAGCTCATCAAGGGCTTGATCATATATGAGCCGGCTGTTGAGGCGCCGTATTCCAGATCGTGAGGACGGTCGATGACCTCCCCCGCACGTATCCCGACTCTTTCCGGCCTCTTAACGGCGGTTCAAGTCTCCAGATCTTATCGCCCTCGTCCCTGTCATTCTAGAACCCAAGTGGAAGGGGGCAAGGTCGGTGGGGTCCACTGCCACCAAAGACGGCAAAAACCTCGCGGGATTGGCGCCCAACAAAGCCATATCTGGCTTAGTCCATCCCACAAAGCCAGCTTCTAGGCAATTCTTGTGGATCTCCAGCCAGGTTCTTGATTCTCGCCGCCGCCTTTTTTGGCGCTCGGGCGCAATCACATGACTCATGTCTGCCATTTTCCTGGTGCCCCAGGCATCAGCCCTACCATTTCGGTCCTGTGCGAATAGCTTCACTTTCCACCCCATTTGATCCCTGTCGCCACATTTCGTGTCCACGTAAGAGAGTGGGATGGCATCCCGGCTTGGTTAGGTGAAAGCCAAGGCAACCAACCAAGAAAACGCTGAGTCCGTGCAACCCGCATTTGAGGGCCCTTGTGACTCGAAAAGGCCGCATCAAGTGTATCCCAGTCCATGTGCTTGTACTCGTGCTGAGTACTCGTGCAGGATCATGCATCTGGATGAGATATCTCTTGGAATCGCCTTCCGTCTCGACCGACACGTATAGAAGAATTCCAGGTGAGACGAAGCTTGACAGGATTACTGCGGAGGTACAATCTCGCCTATAATATATTTCTTGCCTTCTGGTGCAGGTTGCTGACACAAATAATTAAGGCCGAAGGCTGACAGTCGTCAATGCTGAACAATACTCCATTCTCTTTATGTTACTTGCTATTCTATAATGAGTCCTGTCTCTGGGGCCTGGTTGATACCATTTATTGGGGTGTCGCTTCCTAGTATATAGTGTCAGCAATTCCGGGGGGATAGTATCTACCCCACAGAATGGGCTACATGGCTCCTTATCACTTCAAGCCAATGTTGTATCATACCGCCAGCCCTCCTGGAACTTGAAGCCTTTGAATGCGGATGCTACAAAGTCCGAAGTCACTTCCGGAGCAGAAAACAACGCCACAAGCCTAGACCGAACCCTGAAGCAAACCCCAGAATTTCAGCAGGGCTCTACCTATGCCCTCTGGAACAGAAACTTCTGCATCCAATGTGTGCCGCCTGCTCATAACTGGCGAAAATGCATAGGAGCGCCAATGCATTTCCCTCTCCACATCTAGTTGAGATGCTCGGTCTTCGAACTCTGCGCAGCCCTGAATCTCGTGGCCTCCGGAGTCGAGCCGAGTTGAAAGGATGCTGGCTAGTCTGTCTGGGGCTAGTGTCGGTGCCCTTCAGCTGAGGATGCAAGGTCCAGAATGCTACTTTGAACGGCTGATTGGTCCACACGTATTTAAGGTCCGCTAGTGCACTGACCTGGCTTCAGCTCGTATAAATGAGCAAACTCCTCCCTGCCACTTGATGTTTCTGCGACGCTGAGCAACTTTCCACCCTGATGGTCTGAGAACGAGTGCGAACATGACTGTACTCGGGATCATCACCTTGTCTGCCATCCAGACCGCAGTGACAAGTCTGCTCATTTACTACACCTCCAAGAGATCTCTCTTACGCCCCGCCGTCATTCCCATAATAGCACTTACCACATACAAAACATGGTCCGCCCTCGACTTATTCGGCCACACTCAGCCGCTCAATCCCCTCATGGCGGCGATCGTCTTCGGATTTGGCCTTCACCACTTTAACCTGCTCTGTACGGGCGCGATAGACGTTGACGATTTGAAAGAGGATATTCGCAAGTCATTCCCTGCCAGTAAAAGTGGCCAAGACGAGTTAGAGATAGCAGCGCGCACGACCTTCCGTCGCACGATGTACATAGCGACGTCTATCCGCGGAATCGGAACAAGCTACGAAGTCAAGAACATCACCCATGGAAAGGAAAAATTTGAATCCCGCCTCAACTTTCTTATCCGCAACATAGGCATAATCGCAGCGAAATACCTCGTCCTCGACATCATGCTCTACAAACCCCTAACCCAGGAAGACTCAAACCGTTATTTTTACGAAGGGAGCGAGTACCTTTTGTTTCGACCAGAAGGTCTCCCGCCTGCAACGATGCAAGATGCCGCCAAGAACCTTGCTATTGCACTTTTCGCCTGCGGACCTACGGGGCCGTGGTATATTGAGCTGCAGTATCGTGCTGTCTCGGTTGTTTCGGTTGCACTGGGGCTATCTACGCCAGCCCAGTGGCCGGAGCTGTTTGGGTCTATTACGAAGACGTATACGCTAAGGGGGTTTTGGGGGTGAGAACAACTTCTTATAGATGTCCTCTCTCGCACATTTCTTTCTGATACTAACATAATTAAGGAAATACTGGCACCAACTATTCCGCTGGCCCATGACATCCATCTCCAGCTGGACCACCCGCAGACTCCTGCGCCTCCCCCGCCCCAGCGTTCTCGAGCGCTACATAAATCTCATGATTGTCTTCGTGATCTCGGCGCTTCTACACGTCTCAATGGACGGCCGCGCGGGCTTCTGGCCTCCGAAATCCGGCGCATTCCGCTGCTTCCCTATACAGGCTCTGGGCATTATGCTTGAGGACGGGGTGCAGGAGGTTTATCGGCGGCTGCGCGGGTCGAAAGGGCCAACGGTGCGGGATAAGCTCTGGCCCAGAGTGATTGGATACGTCTGGGTCTGGGGGTTTATGGCCTGTGTTCTTCCATTGTATACCTTTCCGCTGCTGCGGTATCAGAATGCGGCGAAGAACGGGGTGCCGGTTTCTGTGGTGCGGTTGGTGGAGAGTTGGGTTCGGCTTGAATAATTTGGGAATTTTTGAGTGAATTTCAAAAACTATAAGAGTACCGCGTGCTGTGCCACTAACCAGTATGAAAGAGTATGCTCTAATATATGACCGTAGTATTTGATAGGTTTTGTATAGATTGTCTGTCTGCTCCAAATCATGCAAACAAACAGGCTCAGCGTGGTTTGTTGCTGCGTATGTCCATTATTAGTCGGGCTAGACTTGGCCCTATTGCCTTCACTGAGCATTCAACTCATTCGTCTCATTGAGTTTGCGACGATTCTCCTTACTCTCTTCAGCCGCTGCATAAAGTCGTCTAGATAGGCGACAGGGGCGTCTAGGAAGGCCCCACTCACCTCTTTTGTTTCCCTCTCATGGCCTTCAGGCGAGGGGAGGTTGAGAGTTGATCAGCTCGGGGGTATATCTCCCGAGTCTGAAAACACCATGCGCTCGATTGGGATTTTCCCGAATCCCGGAGTCCCCTCTGGTTCGCTGCCGTTGCCAGATGGTGCGGGCGGCTTAGCCAAACTCGTCATCGTACTGGGCAGGCTTAACTGGTCGAAATAACGAGTCTCGAACCAAGTACGAAAGTGGGCTCATGGAGAGAGGTGGCCTTGATCGGGCAGGCTGCGTGGAAGGGGAGGGGGAGAGAGAAGAATGAAGAGGCTGGAGGAGCAGCTAAAGCACGAGGGGCGACACCGACTGACTTCCTGCACCTGTGCCCGCCAATCGCTGCAAAACACCAGATGCGCAAATTGGCAAACGAACCGGCGGTCGTTAATTCGCTGCTCAGCTGCGGCCAAGAGAGCATCCCCTGCACCTTGGATCACCTCAGCCTCGCCTTTGCTGACCATAAATACGGGCACTTTGCTCTTCTCCCTCGCTCATCAGATACCGCTCACGAACAATGGTGGAACCTCTGTCAATTGTTGCGACCGTTGATTTGTGCATCAAGTAAGTCGAACGGCCCTAGAGAGAACGAAGGCTAATGATCTGTAACAGATGGGGTGCAATACTGGTGGAAAAGTGCTCTGCCTTTGCCCACGCCGAGGCCGAGGTCACTGACTCACTACTTCGCATCAGGAACTGTTGGATACGAACGAAATCGCAGCTGCAGCTCGTCCAAAGGCTTGCCGATACCCTCGATGACGATCACCGGAAAATCCATTACGAGACGCTTGAGATGCTCGTGGGGAAACTCCGGACCACCGTCCACCTAATCGAATCCATCTCCAGCGACGAGGGCGTGCGGCGTATCAAGTATGCGAGGCTTCAGACCAAGATTAAAAAGACAATCGACGACCTCGAGAATTGGCAGAGACTGTTCGATCCATCCTGGTACTTGCTTATGGTAGCAGCAGCCCCTCAGATTGACGATTATCTGAAAGACTATGAGCAAACCGCTACGCCTGCTACTCGAGTACCTATCTCCTCTGCTCGTCGCCTGCGAAGCGTCCGCCACACCAAAACAGTCAAACAGCCTCCTATATTCTACAAGGAGAGTGACACGGCGTCTCTCATAATCCACGACATTCCAATGTCCCCAGCGAGACTCGGACTCCGGGGGGATCCATCCAAAACTCTCATTTTGGACTCACGAATTTACCCGTCCGACATGATAGGCCGCAGTCAAATTGAGAAAGATGTGCGTGATCTGGCAAGGAAGCTGGTTCAAGCAGACCCATTTGAGTTCGGGCTGCTCCAGTGCAAAGGGGTTGTTAAACACAGCAACGATGGTTCTTCGATACCGCCTTCTTTTACCTTCATCTTCAGATTACCGCCAGGGTGCAGCCAGCCACGCAGCCTTCGTCACTGCCTAGTCAATGTCCAGAGACCTGATTCACTTTCCGATCGCTTTAGACTGGCCAGTGAGTTAGCAAAGTCGGTTCTCTACGTCCATACCTTTGGCTTTGTCCACAAGAACATCCGTCCGGATACCGTCCTCGTCTTGAAGCGCCGTGATACTGCACTGGGCTCTGTTTTTCTCGTCGGTTTCGACACGTTCCGATCAGAGTATGGGCATACCGCGCTCATGGGCAGCACAAAGTGGCAGCGATCTCTATATCAACATCCCAGCCGCATCGGCGATCATGTAACCCAGAACTATCTGGTGCAGCACGATATATACAGCCTGGGTGTCTGTCTGCTGGAGCTTGGGCTATGGGATTCATTTGTCGTTTACAATGAAAACGTTTCAGACGCTACAAGTCCACTGATTGGAAGTCCTGACCCGCCTGAGTTCAAGGATCGTCTTCTCGATCTCACCAGAGGAGAATTAAAGAGCCGGATGGGAGATCTGTACTCCCAGGTTGTCGAAACATGCCTGACCAGTTTGGATCCGGGAAACGCTGATTTTGGAGATAAGAGCGAATTTCAGGATGCGGATGGGATCCAAGTGGGTGTTCGGTATATTGAAAAGATCACGATGCGTCTAAACAGTATTTCAGTTTGATCAATAGCCGAAGATCTCGGGTTGAATCTAGGCACTGTATTGAAATTAGGATAAAAGCTCTGGTCCCGGTAGGCTGGGTTCTGCGTCGGATCGGTCAGGTTCGTAACAACAACCGCGAGATACTGCGCCGGGTGGTCTTGAAAGTTCTCTCCGACACCAGGGAGGTTGATTATCTGGTTGGTACCGAGACGATCAAGGATAGACGAAGAGTCGATCCCGGAAAGCTGCAGGATCTTCGGTGTATGCAGCGCACCCGCTGCCATGATGATTTCCCTACGCGCTTGGACTCGTCTTGTCGTCGCGTTTGGAGCCATTCCATTCTGATCTGGATCGTACCCTGTAACGTACTCTACACCAGAGAGATCTTTAGTCAACTTTGTGACGAGTGATTCGGTGAGAACGTGGTAGTTTGGTCGGTTGCTGTACAGCTCGTGATATGTTGTCCGCGCACACGAGCGCTCCCGGAGCGCGGGATCAAGCGAGTTGGGATTCCAGAAACCGCTTATTGCATCTGCCGTGTCATCAACTGGATAGGAATGCGAAGTTGACGCAGAGCTGCAATGAATACTTCTGTTGCTGTCAACCCTGAACAAAGGAGGGTCACTGTGCGCTACTTACTGCCTGTGGTAGAAATGAACGGAAGATACGACGACTGAACGGACCCGGACGTCCCATGAACATCCACATCAAACGTGATACCGCATTCGATCTGCTGCTCTAGCGTAGGAGGCATAAAAGTCCCGCTCTTCTTAAAGTATGGACGATGCCCTGCCCAGCTCCAGGAATTGTCGCCGATCAGCTCGCCCCAGATATCATAGTCGCCTGGAGAGCCCTGGTCAAAAGCCATGCCATTGATGGCGCTTCCGCCGCCGAGGAGTCGCGCAGCTGCGATCCCAGCGGTGCGATTGTTGAGTCCGGGGATGAGGAGCGAGGTAATGGGCCAGCTGTTGTTGCCACCCGCGAGCGACGCATATCGCGCGCGGGTATTGGATTTCCTGAGAGTAGTTGTCGCTTTACATTGTGAGCGCTCTGCGCAACAAAGTAGCGCAGCGGAAAACATACATTTTTCCAGCCTCAATTACCAGTACAGTGGCTGGTTTGTGTTAGTGATGGCTTTCTTTGTAGAAATGAAAGGTGGTTAACTGACTTCTCGGGTCTTCGCTGAGTCGATTCGCAACAATCAGGCCGCTCACACCCCCGCCAACCACGACATAATCGTACACGGGAGACAGATCCGACCCGCGGTCAATTATCGTCCCGGAGAAGGGAACCCCTCCAGCGCGTCCCGAGCAGGTGAAGGAAACGGCAACCAAGGCGCCCAAGAGCTTGGAAGTCATGGTGGGCGTTGCTCTGAAAAAAGTGGCGACGTGAGGGGCGGTGGAAGGATAAAGTCTCGCAGGATCATTGATGAGATCCGGAAGTTTCAATCAGAGCAGACAGTCTAGGGTATCCGGAAATTTGCCAGAGGTTTAGCTTTACCCATCTGGCGCAGAAGTCTGATCCTCGCCGGGACCACGAATCAGGGTTTGGGTGTCCTCCGTCCACCATAGATAAGTGCTTCAGTTGGCGGAATACCCTCTTGGCAGCTCTCCCTTTAATCCTCAATTTGATAGCAATATTTAGGACGGACATTGCTTGTGAACTGCACTGGCCCCAGTGAAACCTGGCTAAGGGCCCCGTTGGATGTCATCATAAGCGCCCCAAGCCTGGAGCCATGATAGCCAGAATACGATGAACCCGCACGCTATGCAATCAGAGAGGCTCTCACAATATTTGAGCAGTGTCCATCGTTTCTGGTCAGGTAGCACGCGGGCGAGAAGCATGTATCCTCCATACGAGAAACCACAAGGGAGTTCAAACTTCGGCATTTAAGAGCAATCACACGCTCAGAATAGGCACTGACAGAATTCGACCCTCCGTCACTGCCTGGAGATTGCCCGACGCGAAAGTATCCTCCAGCAACGCAGTGTTTTGTTCCCGTATCTCGGTTGATGCCCATGTTGGCATCCCGCACGAAGTCTGCCCCGGGAATCAGCTGTTCGTCCAGGAGCTCTAGACGCTCAGCTCGGATTCATTCGAGGCCCAGTGGCCGTCAGAAGGCATTGCTTATGGTATGAGCAAAATCCACAGTCATCGGTTTCCAATAGTCTATCGCAGCTGAGGAAGGTTCAGCGTTCGGAGGCTCTCGCTCTGGCGGGGGTCGGGGATTCGTGCCACTGGTTCCACACAAGCTGTTTGTCAGTGGGTCTCAATTGATGTGGAGAGTTTTCATGGTCCATACTTAGTCCAAATTTCTCAACTTGTCATTTCTCATTGCCTCTCCCCACCGCGAGCGAAACTTGCGTCGTGGCATGTGTCGAGATGGCATAACACCGGTGCGGGGCTTGTTCTGCAGGGAAGGCGGGGTAGTTCGCTGCTGCCAAATGAGACCAATAACCATCTCACATGCACATGATATTCTCGGAAACACAAACGTTCCCCTCTATCTACTTACGCCCCAGGCCTACACCTAGATTGTTCAGATTCTGAATGCACGCCATTCCAGGAGGTCTCGACGAATTCGGCCTCGAATATGTCTCCTAATGCCATCTTCCTCTGATCCAGCCGCTACGAGACAGCCTCCCTATCGCATCATATATGCGACAGACGCGCCGGATGCCCGCAGGTGAGAACAGTGTATACTCGTCACCACACACCAGTTGTTACAATACGAAGACATTTCCATTGGCGGGAGGCTCAAAGCACAGGCTTTCAACACCCTGCAATAAGAGAATTGCCACGCGGTAGATGTCATGCTGTCGTCTCGGTACTTTCAGCCTCTCAAACCCGTCAGAAAAGCGGACTTCTTGCACCTCTGACCTTGTAGAGCATTTGATTCCAGCATAGACAAGGTATGTGCTATCTTTGATCTTGCTCAACCACTAGAAAGTCTGTCGAGCAACACAGGTCATATTGCAACTGCTCGGACTTGCCTGAGGGACAGAGGCAGCTGTGAAGGATAGGAGTTTATGCACCGAGATTGGGTCAACGTAAGTCTCTGGCGCGAACAGATGTTTCCATCGCGCTGATCAACTACAAGCCCGATGACGCGGGTGGGGAAGTCGCGATTCCAAGTTTCACATGTGAAGACCATGAATCGCCTCTTCTGAGTCGATACTTCGCCCCCTCCAACAAGCCCCTCGAATAACAACAAAGAAATCCAAACCACCTCGGTCCGACACGAGCCGCTGGCATCTAAAGAGATTCAATATAAGACGAACACAGGAACCTTCCATAGTCTAGGACCCAGCAAGCACACAGCCAAAGCTATCAATATGTCCGAAAAACATCCGATACAAACCTCACCCCCATCGCCAACAGCCCTACGCTCTGTCGTCGAAAACGACATCTACCTCCTCGGCGGCCAAGTGGCTATCTTGTGCCAGTTCGCGCACCCCGCCCTTGCCAAAGGAAGCTACAACCACTCCTCGTTTGCAAGCCGAATCCCGCAGCGCCTCCGCAACACGGCGCGCTTTCTGAATGTCGCCGTCTGCGGCACGGAGGAAGAGAAAAGGGCCATTTTCAGCGTCATCCACAAATATCACGCACGTGTAAGCGGAGATGACTATAGCGCCGATGACCCCGAGCTACACAAATGGACGGCTGCCACGTTATTCGTCTCAATTGTCCTCGTGAAAGAGACATTCTTCGGCCGAATGGAGAAAGCCGAGATGGAGAACTTGCTACGCGAGAGTGCAATCTTCGGAACGAGCCTTCGAATGTCGGCAGACATGTGGCCACAAAGTCTTGAGGAGTTCTGGAGCTATTGGGACTATAACATCGCCACGCTAGAAGTAACGGACATGGCGCGCAGCCTTGCAAAAGATCTGCTGTATCCGAGGAACCTGCCCATGAGCATGGCGTGGTCGCTACCGCTTGCGCGCGTTTTGACAGTGAACTGGTTGCCGGAGCGTTTAAGGCGCGAGTATAACCTGTACCCGACGCTGACGAGTCAAGCGGCGTATTTGGGGATTGTAGCCTGGACGAGGACGGTATATCCGTTCTTACCCGAGGGGATCAGGGGGAGGAGGCATGCGATGTACATGGAGGATTTGAAGAAGGCTGTCCAGAAGATAAAAGACACGGGGCATTGGGCTGGAGTTTGACCGGTTTTACTGCTCATTAATCGTTCAGGGGCAGATTTGGGAGGATGCTCAAGTTGGAGCCTGTATTTGTAATGATATATGGCGTTATAGTGCATTGACATACACATCTGGCTTCGCCCTTTTGTGCTCTTCCTCAGGTTCGGGTACCAGGAGGCGTCGGTGTTCGAGAACTTCAGAGTCGATCTTGATCGAGTCGGTGGTGATCAGGACCTTTTGAGTCCCGACTCGCTTGACCCATTTCTCCTCTGTCTCGGCTTCTGCTCCCCGTGGCGCCTCCGCGGGCTGGATGAATGGCGACAGGATGCGTCCAACAGACGTCGACTCGAGGAACATCGTCATTCTCTTCAACCCAGTCCGTCTCATAATCAAAAGAACGATCAACATCCCCAGCAGCAACGTCGTGATACCCAGCGTCACAAACGCCGGGACGGCGAATGGAATCCTGTAGCGAATATGGCTTCCATACACCATAATGGGCACACTCGCACTCTCCAAAACCGACCCCCCCTCGACATCCCTCTTCTCAATCGCCGCCGACGATGGAATCCCCATATTAGCCGCAACAGCACTCAACCCCCACCCCTTCGTCCCAACAACCGCATTCGTCGCCACATCCGTCCAGATGAGATTAATAATCGACGCAGTTCCCTCCGCCGTCTTCGACAGCTTCTGCCACTTCGCATACAACGCGTGACTATCTGCTCCCGAGTAATCGGCCTCGGACTCGTACCAGCGCAGACCAACCGTGTACGCCATCTGCAGCGCTTGATTATAGAACTCGACACCTGGCAGGTTCTGCGATGTCGTCCGGCGAACGGAGCCTAGACCCCGGAGGACCCCGTAGAATTGGTCCATGTACCCCGGGAGATACAGGTGCTTTGCAGAGTGGGTGGAGATGTTGTATTTCGTGATTGTGCTCTCGAGATCCGTCGCGTTGGGGCCGACGATTCCCCACATTGGCGGTGCGTCGTTGATTGTATTCCTGGTGATGTCTTCGACGCCCCAGATGGGGATTGCGGCGTCGCTGGGATATTCCTTCGGCTTCAGCGAGTGAACTGTAAGCGCGTCGAAGCCCGTTCCGTTGTACTCCAGGGAGACGGTCTTGACGACGGCCTTGATAGCCGTTGCGCAGGAGTATAGGGGCAGTTTCCAGGGCGTTTGTGGGTCGAGGATGAGGTTGTTGCCCCCGTCAGTGCGGGTCGCTGCGCCCATGACGAGGCCGCAGGTGATGAGCGAGCTGTTGATGTTTGCGGGGCTGCCAGAGGTTGTGCCGGCGCAGGTTGTTGCTGTCCATGGTTGTGTCAGATATGCTCAAAAGCAGCTATTCGCCAGAGAAGGAAGTATTAGACCTACAGGCAGCTGCAAAGTGCTCAGCGGTGACATTATGAGGGTTATAGGTGCGGTTAGCAGACCGCGTCAGGTCGAGATACGCGCCGTAGTCGACATTCGTCTGGATACTCGAGAAGCCAAGGCTGAAGTTCCTGCTTGCTTCGTCAAACATGTCAAAGCCCTGTCCTTCGCTCGAGTCAATGCGCGTGCTATCAGAGTCGGGATCAGTCAGGTTGAAGAAGAGCATCGTGTAGTAGTTGTTGACCCAGGCAGCTTTGTACGCCCGGTCTCGAAGATCAAAGTCTGCCTGCCCATTTATCCTGCGGGCCATGTCGGGCGTTGTCCGCGGGAGATTCGAGAATCCGCCGTCGTCAACAAGAGTCATGTTCCTGAATATCTTCTCGTCGTTGTTCCACGGCGGCGTTATAACGTGGATACTCAGGTTCAGGGGCACGCATTGCGTCTCCGGCTCGATAAAGAGGATATCCTCGTCCCAGCTCGCGCCGTACTTGAGACTCGCCTCACTCGGCGCCGTATGATTCCGGAACCCAATGCCCCCTTCATGCAAATCCGTAATCAACCCTTCAACCAATCTAACATCATCCTCGAGCAGAAGCAACGACATGGTCCGATAGTCCGGCTTCGTAAACCAGCTCAGGACGCTCTTTGGATCCGTCGAATTCCTATACATCCGATACTGCATGTCGAAGATACTCGACACGGTCGGACTAAACGCCGTCGCGCCCTCGTTGAAGACATTCAAAAGATCCGACGGAATCCGCGTCTCGTATGTCGAGTTGCACACTTGCATCAGGCCGCGCGTCTCGCAGACTTCCTCTTCCACCGTACCGGGACATGCCCCGCCGCAGAATCGTGTGAATGGTCCGGTACTACGCGCGGGGGTACCAAAGCCAAAGGCGGAGGTGTCGCCGACATACTGGAATGAGTGGCTGGTGGGTGAGCTTGCTGGTTCGATCGAGGTGTAGAGTCCCAGTGGCGAGCAGATGGCGGCGACAGAGATGATGAAGAGCGTAATCGTTTGGCCCCATGAGGTCAGGAAGACACGCCAGGGGACGTTGGCGGTTTCGGCGGTGCTCGAGCTGAGGATTGTGGGCCAGAGGGACGAGTGCAGGAAGCGGCCGAGGACGGTCCTTTCAAAGTCAGCAGCATCCCGATTATTCTTCCTGCTGGACGTACCATGTGATGATGGAATTCTCCTGCGACAGAAACGCAATCAGAACCCAGGGGATCGCAAGCGGGATGAGGATCTGGAGCACAAAGACCCCGGCAGCGATGAGGCCAGAGACCTCTGCCACGGTCAACTCCATGACGACCAGCAAGAAAAGAGTTGCAGATCAAGCCTGGACTCAAAGAGTCGAGGGGCAGGCGGCTTCTTGAATCATTTGAATGTGCATCCACAAGAGCCTCTTCTTGTGGCTTATTGGCCCTTCTGCCCGTGAATACGAGGTCAATTTGCGCCAGGCAGCGCTAAGCACGCTGGCCACTCTTGTTTGGCTGCCAAGTAAGACGCGAAATTAGTCTTTGAATGCAAGACGGTCATTGGTGGCTATTTCGCCTGGGTGGCTCGTATTCAGCCTCATGTTGCTCAGCGCTGTGCCATTTCTGGACTCATTTCTCGTGACGAATGAAAGACATGATCTTTGGCCTGCAACAATACGTTGATAGCCAGAAAGGCAATCATAGACTTCTCCAGGCTATGCTTATGCTTACTCTTCACTGCCTACACTGTCTACAATAATCCGACGGATTCCACATGAATCGATATCATTTCCAAACTATGAAGCAGACTCTCCATTGCATCTGATGTTCAAAACCCGAAACAGGGACGAAAAAAACAAAAACCAAAGGAAGGAAGGACTCTTACCTCTCCAAGATCTCTCCTACTTACCCTTCTTCTCTCCCGTCCCATCCTGAGACCCTCTCCTAGAGGTCTCGGATCCCCTCCTGGAACTCTCATTCGACGACCTGGTGAGATACTCGACCTCGACCCTCTCCCTACACTCCTCCGCCGTCCCCGCAGGAACAACCCTCAATCTCTCCAACTCCTTGATAATCCCCATGACAAACTTCTGCGACATCCTCGGCGTAGCCAACCTGACAACCTCATCAACCGTCTTCCGATCCGCCGCCGAGATCCGCGCGACGGGGACCGTGTACGCGATCGGCCACACCTCAAAGACCTTGTCGACGACCGCGACGGATGTGAACGGGGCTGCTGCAGGTGGGTTAGCGGTGCCGCTGGGAGTGATGTAGTAGTATGTGCTGAGTTTCTGGATGGCTGCAACTATCCCGGTTCTCGGTTCTGAGCGGGTTGGCCAGAGGGGAGTTAGGGTTAGTACCCAGTCTTGGGGCGCGGAGGGGTACATGATGGAGATGCCGATTTCGAGGTCGACGTTGTCACCGGGGCGGTCTTGGGATGCGAGTGCGGCGACCATTGTTGTTGTGTTGGTGTTGTGGTGGTGTTGTAATGCTGTGATGTCGGAAAGTAGGGTTGAGATTGTCGAGGTGTTGATGGTCAGTATAGGAGGCGGATTCAGGCTGGTTTTATAGTCTTGGCGTCTTTGTCAAGTAAATCGCCTTGTTCGCCAGTTCTTTGTTGCAAAGCTCAGAGGTGCTTTGTATAGAGACCAAAGGGGGTTGCCTACCACCGAGGCAAAGGGGAACAATGCCTTTATCTGGCAATGAAAGAGCTCAAAGATGTTTCTGATCATTCCAACTCAAGACCCTCAACCCGGCCTCGAATCGTATACAGCCAGTCCTTCTCCTCTAAAAACTCCATCAACGTCTGCCCACCAACATCAGAGTCTATCCTACACAGCCCCTCCTCCAGAAAAGTCGGCAAGCACTCCCACGCACGCTCATCATCAGCCAGCACCATGTCCAATAGCGACCTGCCCTGCTCATCCCTCGTACTAACATCGGCTCCAGCCTCGCGCAGCATCTTGAAAACATACATATCCCCCTTCTCCACCGCACAAGAAAGCGGCGTCCGTCCCTCCACCGTCCGACAATTCAGATCCATCCCTCCCTCCGCTAGCAACGTCTCGATAAAGACCGGGTCCCGCTGGTTCAACACCGCAATATGCAGCGCTGTCTTTCCATCCTCGAGAAGCTGTACTTCAGTATCGACCCCGAGCTCGAACATTGTCTTTAGCGCCGGAACGCACCAATCGTCCGGCGCAGGCTTTCCATTCATCATCATGAGATGTAGGGCTGTGTTTCCTTCTTCGTCGACGGCGTTGATATCCGCGCCATTTTCAGCAAGAATGCGCATTGCAGCAACGTGCCCGTATTTAGCGGCGTAGTGGAACGGCGTCCGGCCCTCGTCGTCCCGCGCGTGGATATCGCCCTCTGCGCCGTGAAGCAATAAGTACCGGATAATCTTCGCACACCCCCCGAGCGCAGCCCAGTGCAGGGCACCCTTTTGATCATAGTCGCTTACAGCTCGGACGTCGGCGCTGTGTTTGACGAGGAGGATCACGGAGGCGAGGTTCCGTTCGCCCGCGGCGTGAAGCAGCAGGGGTTTTTCTTGGCCGTAGCCATTCGTGCCCGTGACGAGATTCAGATCCGCGCCGTACTTGACGAACTCGCCAATGACTGTATCCCGCGCACGGATCTCGGCTGTGACGGGGAGGGGCAGGCCCGAGGGGCTCGTTGGCTCAGAGGGATGCTCGTACTCGTCGAGATCGACTTCCATGTCCTCGAAGAACGAACCAAAGCGACTCTTTTTCTCCAGCGGCGCGAGTTGCTTGATGAGACCGGAGCTGTGGCTGTATTTGACGTTGCGTCGGTAGACGAGGGGCATGGCGAGGCAATGGACATGGTGGGATGTGCGCGCGAAGCGGGAGAGTTGCTTGACGTTGAGATAGTAGGCTATCGAGAGGATGAGCTCAGATGGGAGGTCCAGGAGGTTCATTGTCTCGAACTAATCCTCTCCGGTGCTTCGAGAACGGAAACTGGAGGGGCTTCGAGGCCGTATTTATCGGCCCTGAAGGTGTGGGGTTCGTATTCGAGCGGCTGAGGCTTGAGTCATGGACGCTCTTTGCCGCTTGAAGATAATATTCCCGGGGCCGTTGACGTCGAAGTCACCGTCAGTAGAGCCTGATGATCTATGTGACGAATCTTTACATCCAATCCCAATTAGCTGTTAAGCGCATACCTGATAGAAGAAAGCACTCAGCTGGCAGCATTGTGCCTTGTTCAGGATATCCCAAGGTAGCCCTCTGCCTTGGGTAGTGCTCGTCCAAACCTTTTATGTCTATCGCTGAGAGCTCGTAGAAAGGATTAAGCCAAGTGGTATACGCTATCGTTACAAAAACTACCCAAACCAGCAAATGCCCAAAAGCAACGGATATAAAGGCCGTATACGCATCCCGCCCACGTCTGCCTCAAGCACTCTCTCCCTCCTTTTCCTTCTTGCCCCGCCCATAATCCAACTTCTCCCTCTTCATCGCAAGCGCACAAACCAGACAGATTGCACCACCAGCAACAACAAGATAAAACTCCCGAGCAATAACCTTGGACACAGCCTCAACACCACTATTCAGCACATCGCGATCCCTCGACTGCCACACAACAGATGAAACACCCGCGAGAGCCTGCCTGATGTCTTCCTCGCTGTACCCACGTCCGCCCAAAGCATCAGACAAAAGCGAGTACCCGACGTTCTGGAAGATTGATCCCGCAATGGAGAGGACGATTGCGATCGCGCCCATCTGCGCCATATTGAACAAGATGGCGCTGTCAACGCGGTCCTGCGGGATTTTGTTCATGACATTTGATATCCCGACACCGTGCTGGAAGGAGCAGCCGAGGCCAATGCCGATAAGGGCTTCGAGGCCCATGACCTGGGACTCGGAGACGGTGGGGGACATGTTTGCGGCCATTGCCGCTGCGCCTGAGATTGTTGCAGCGCCTGCGATGAAGTAGATGATGTTGTATCGACCCAGTATGGGTAGTGAGCCGCCGACGAGGATGACTACTACGATAAATACCAGGATAAAGGGGAGGATGCGGACGGTTTGTTGCAGGGCGCCGTGGCCGCGGGCAAAGGAGAAGAATAATGGTGTGTAGTAGAGGGTTACCGCATAAGAGGCGCCGGCGCAGCCAGAGGCAACCCAAAGAGGAAGTAGGTCAAGGCGCTTGATCAAGTGTAGGGGAATGGAGCGCTCGGTGGGAGTGGTTAATATGCAAAGGCATTGCTGGACGACCCAGGCAATTGTAACAAGACCGAAGATGATCCAAACAGCGATTGTAGATCCAGAGTCCCACGACCATGTAGAGCCGGAGAACTCAAGGGCAACGGCGAAGAGCACAGGCGAGCCCATGTTGAGGGTCACCCCAACAGGATCGATCTTCGTCAACCGTTGCGTGACAGGAATATCCGGGCCTAGGTACTTGTCCGGGATGCAGAGGAGAGCTATGGCAAGGGCAAGGCCCACAAAGGGGAGGTTCATGTAAAAGGCCCAGCGCCTGATAGTGTGGTCGTTGGCAGCGAGGGCTGAGCCGATGGGGCCTCCAATAACGAGGCCGACAGCCCAGACGGCGCTCAGAAGGCCAAACAGACGGGAGCTGTCAGCCGGGGGAGCAAAAACGGCGACAAAGGTCAGGTTTGACTGGTAGACGATGGCGCCGGCTACGCCCATTATGATGCGGCCGACAATGACTGCCGAGATGTTTTGTGCTGCTCCGGCCACCGCGGCCCCGGCCATGAAGATGGCGACGTTGACAATGTATACCCAGCGCATGTTGAAGCAGTATAGGATTTTTCGCGACAGACCGAGGACAGCGAAGCTGGCGAGACTATAGGACAGACCGATCCAGGGGAGCAGTTTAATGTTCCCGAAGGCCTCATAGATACGGGACTGGATGTTGGCGACGTTACTGACATCGTACCCTACACATGTTAGTCACAAGAAACAGGTTAGGCCAGCGACATACCATTGATAAGGGTCGTCAGGACAAAGACGAGAAGGCTGCCCTTCCATTTCCAAGCAGGAATGGTGTCCAGCGGCGCTTGAGGCGCTGGCTGAGTTGTCTTTTCAGACTCGGGCGTGGCAGACGTGCTGGATGTGCTTTCTGCCATTTCGACTTGAATCAAAATGCGTAAGATTCAATAAAAAGAGGATGGCAGGATGCGCTCTCCTTATAACCTGGCCGCCCAGGATTCCTCCTCCGACGCCCTCCATCATCCTCGTCAGCATCCTGCAGCTCATCAAACAAAGAACACAAGTATAGAGCTCGGAGGCAGTGTTTAGCCGCGCGCGATGCATCCCAATGGGGCTAGAAACGATCGGCACTCGCGGCGAGGCTTTCCTCTTGGTCGTTAGCTCTCCGAGACAAGCACCGGTATAATGTCTGGATTCGGTGGCCAAGGCCGGGGCTGCTGCCGTGGGGGCCACTGATTCGCGGGGGGTGCCCTTCCACTTTCATTGTTCAGAGTATCAGCTAGCCGACTGGGGCCAACTGCGATAACGTTCACGGTAGTACATCTGAGCTCTGACAATCAGGCTGACTGAGTTGTTACACCTTGTCAGCATGGCTGGCCAGTGTCGCGAGCCAAGACAAATAGGGGCTGTAAATATTCTGCGACCGTTGATCGTGACGTCGTCAGAATTATGGTGTATTAGACGACGCACTGCGTTTCACCTGACTGGCGTTACATGACAAGCTTCTCGTGTTATTTTTAGGCTGCGGTACATCGTCGTTTGATGCCCTCGAACATCAAGATGACCATGGTTCCCCTAGATCATCCCTTCTGGCGGGGCATCTGAGCGTGCATACTGTCATACCCACCTCTAGCGACCTTGAATGCCCTCAGCCTCTATTAATTCTCTCATATTTCACCATCTTCCCGGCGATGGAATACCGAGCACGCCCGACTGCCTCTTGCCGTACGGGCACATCCAACCGTAACGGCGGAATCACAGCGGAATCCGACCGAGTCCATCGGTCGATTTGCGGAAATTCAACCGCTTGAGCGAAATCCCGCAGCAGACTTCAATGCTACCAAAAAGACCGAAGCCGGCCGAATTCTATTAAGAGAACCATGGAGAGCTTGGAGCTCAACGAACTCTCATGACCCGCCAAGCCGCAAAGCTGCCCCCGGATTCGATTACCACTGGGGTTGGCAGTGGTTGGGATGATCAGTACCATGGAACAGCAGCGTGAAGTCACCCAGCACTCATCTGCGAGTCGGTTAAATGGTTACCCATACTCGAAAGGCACCTTGAAGGCCGGCAAGCCTTCGCCTTCCGGGGTTCGATGTTCGCCACACCCGCACTCTCATATTTCATCCATCATCCCGCCAACCATCTCAGCTTTTGAGATATCGCATGCTATGAGGTTTTGAACTCGTGTGCGCCAGCTCTGGCGGAGCTTATTCTTCACGATGGATCCGCCAGTCTTCCTCGAAACCAGCTGGGGCATCCTCAGCACCATCGGTGTCTTCTTGACCTTTGCCAGCATCTCGGTCATTTGCATGACGAAAATCTGCACGTTGAACTTTGTCCCCCTTGTCGTTTCCATCGCCTGCGCGCTCGCAAATGGGTGCTGCTACTATGCGTACTATACCGGCGGTCCTCCCTGTACGGGGAGACTTGTTGCGAGTATCTTTGCGGACATCTTCTGGATGGTACGTACCTGCCTCTAACAACAGGAGTCAGCACATGAGGTGAAAGCTGACAGAACCAGATCCAAGAACCAGGCATCTCCTTTTACAGCTACCTCATCCTCACGCACATCCTCTGCCGGCGCGCGCGAAAGATCTTCCTCGTCGTCTTTTGGGCTTTTATCATTGCGATCGTCGCCCTGCGCGTCACCATTGCCATCGGACGAGCCATCCAGCTCGAGAGCTGGGATACACGCAACCAAGTCGTCATCAGCCGCTTGCATATCGGGTATTTTGTTTCCATCGCGCTCCTCGAGACTTGGAGCTCGTTCTTCCTCATCAAGCAGATGGCCAGGGCGTACCGTCGGTCTCCGAGGACCTCGTCGGCAGGCGGGGTGTTCTTATACCTGATGCGCAGTGCGGAGCTGCGGCTGGCGGCGCTGTGTTGCATCGGTATAGCGCGCGCAGTGACATATTCGTCGCAAAAGACGAGGCAGAGGGCGACAACCGTTGCGTCGCAGGTGGATCGATTTACATATACCCTGGAATGTTTGTTCCCGGTTATTCTTCTGTGAGTGCGCCTGTTGATTGCGAGGGCATAAGCTAATATGGGCAGACTGGATATTCTCAGCGCGAAGCGATATAGACCCAGCGATGCGCCATTAGAAAACAGCTCAGGCGACCCCGAGAATTCTTTTGGATCTCATCATCCGCATTGGATCAGTTGGTCACCGTCGAGTCGGGACAAGACGTCTGATTAGTTGGAAGAATATATACCCTGCATCGCTTTGATTGTAACTCAGAAGTATAATCTATCTCAATTGTCTACTCCAGATGTCGTTCATGCAATGTTGTCGGGTTGCGGCCGTCGCATAAAGGGGATTCTGGGCTTCGGCGGCCACGCGCTCGAGAAACGAATCCAGTCGAATGGCACCGAAAACTGGTGTCTCCCCGACCCAACCCATCTTGCCTCGCTATCCTGTGTAGTCGACCCGTCACTAGGCATCGTAACCAACGCCCGAGAATTTGGCGGGACCAAGAGCTCCATCGCAAAGATGGTTTGATCAGACTTGATCGCCCATCGGCATTCCAATCGCCCATATGCAGTTTCGTAGATCGCTTCCGCCGAGTCAATCGTCCCACCAGGGATAGGGCACACTCTGATCTCCTTCCAACCAGGAGAGAGAGGACTCACACCGGCTACGCTGGTATGAAGCCAGTTGATGATGGAGCCCAGCGCGTAGTGGTTGAAACTGGTCATCTCACCAGGGTTTATTGAGCCATCTGAAAGCATGCTGTCCCATCGTTCCCAAATAGTCGTAGCCCCCATTGAGATCGGGTACATCCACGATGGGCAGCCCTTCTCGAGCAACATCCTGTAGGCAATCTGCGGGTGGCCACCCTTTGTCAGAGCATGAGCAATGATTGGGGTTCCGGCGAAGCCAGTGGCAACGCGAAATTTCGCAAGGCGGACAAGATCAACAAGCCTCTCTGCTGCAGTCTTTACCTGCTCCACTGTCGCGTGGAGGTCGAACATAATTGCAAGACTCAGAGCGGTTTGGCTATCGCCTACTAACAGACCAGACTGGGTGATGTACTTATATTGGAACTTCGATTTCAAATGGTCGTATTGGGTGCTGAATCGTTGAGCGTCGGCGCTTTGGCCAATGATGGTGCTAATCTGGGACATCATGGAGGTGATCCGGACCAGGTAGGCATCGGCCACAAGTGTCCCGTTTGTTCGTGTATCGCCAGGTTCAACAGGCGGTGCGGTGGGATCGAGCCAGTCGCCCAACTGCCAGATCTCAGGATCCCATAGACCATCAGGACCACGCTGGATACCCCTATCAATCCAGGCAAGCATGCTTTTGTATTGTCGGCGGAGAATATCAACATCCCCATACGAGCGATATAGCTCCCATGGTCCCAGGATGACAACATCGTCCCACTCAGCTTGTGGAGTTGGAGGCCAGAGCTCGTCGCTGATCACGTTTGGGACTACAAATGGAGGAACGCAGCCATCCTTCCCATCGTTGAGCTGTTCTGCGGCCACGTCTTCTAACCACTCCCCAAGCATGCCAGCCGTGTTGTACAGGAAGTTGGCGGATGGACCGAATATCTGAATATCTCCTGTCCAGCCAAGACGCTCATCACGCTGGGGGCAGTCGGTTGGTATAGAAACAAAATTGCCCCGCATACTCCACCATGCATTTTGATGGAGTTGATTGACCATCGGATGTGAGCAAGTAAACCAGCCAGTGCGGGTTAGATCCGTATGCATCACGAGTGCGGTCAAACTGGATGACAGATGGCCGTCCTTCTCCTCGTCCCATCCATCGACTTGGACATAGCGAAAGCCATGAAATGTGTACTGCGGTGTCCAATTGGCCAGTTTCGCACCTGCAGAAATGATTTCGTCAGTGCACTTTGCGCGGCGTAAAGGGCGTGTCCCAAGCTCCCCATGCTCCAACACTTCAGCATGAGTGAAGGCAACACGATCTCCACTGGGCTTGTTCAACGAATGGACGCGCAGACGACCGACAAGATTCTGACCAAAGTCGACAATTGTCTTTCCAGAAGGTGTCTGATGTACGGAGACGGGTTTGATTTCTTCGGTAACGCGAACCGGAGGCGCGTTTGGTGAGATCAATTGTGCAGCCGGGAATTCGATCTCCTGCACGATGTTCCAGGATGAGTTGTCCCCCGTTTCATCGGTGTGGAGGTTCCAGTTGGGGTTTTCTTCGCGAGCGTCGTATACCTCACCATCGTAGAATTCACTTCTTATGATTGCACTGGGTTGGCAGATCCATGAGCGATCCGTAACCAGGGAGAAGCTCTTGTTCGATTCGTGCTGAACTTCCAACTGAGCAATAGCGGCCAGTCGGTCGCCGTACAGCTTTCGTCGTCCACCACGGAAGCCTAACCTCGTGGCATACCACCCCTCTGCAACTTCGACCGCGATAACATTCGTACCATTACTCAAAAGATGACCTACGTCGAAAGTCTGGTAGTTGAGTCGGTGGCGGTAGCTTGTCCAGCCTGGAGCGAGGCAGTGATCGCCCACTTCACGGCCGTTGATGAAGGCTCGATAGATACCGAAGCTCGTAATGTAAAGTCGCGCGCGGTTGACTGTTCCGCTTCCATCGAAAGTGAAAGACTTTCGGAATCGAACCGGTCTCAACGGCCCGTCGATAACATCCGTTTGCTCTGCGACGGGCACGGCGGTCCAATCATCCCGACTGAGCAGAGCGCATTCCACCACAGTCCAGGGCGACCAATCAGTCGGCTCCACAGCATGACCCTCGCTGCGACCGAAAACGCGAACTCGAACTTGGGCGCTTTCCCGGGATTTCAGCGGGGTGTCCGGCCATGGGACAAGAACGGACGCATCGCTAGACACAGAGAATGTTTTCGGTTCTGTTTCACGTTCACGAGCGATCTGAATCTCGTATGCCGTCTTCTGCTTGAAAAAAAAAAAGTCATCAGTGGTGAGGAATCGCCAAGACAGGCGTGGAGTGGCAGTTCCAACACCAAAACCTGTGGAATGCTGCTCAAATGTTGGGCCAGCGACTGAGAAACCCGCCATTGTGAAGTGAGTATGTCGAGTAGACAAAGAACAGTGGTAAACTGGTCAGAAACGACGAGTCTCACGCGTGCACTGATTCTTATAGCATCGGGAAATTGCCAACACGGCCAGTAAACTGCTCGGGGAACACCACACCGAGAGATGGAGCATCCGGAATCATCAGATGACATTATCCGCTCCTGGACGGGTCCAATTTGGAGTTGGAGATACCCCAGCAGGGCATCTGATTGCTGCTGCGACGAGAGGAGTATTGCGGAGAAGCCTGTACAGCAGCGGCGTTCTTGTGATGCTATTGGTCACTCGCCGCTCCCCCGAAAGATCTCCGCCTGGGATTTAGCAGAACCTGCCTCCAACTGCCGATTGACTCGCATATCGCTGCACGTTTTACCCCATGGGGTGATACTATACCTCGCTTCTCTGAAGTTGTGGGCAAGCTGACTGGTATGAAAGCCTGAGTCTCTCCTGCTCGGGTGATTGGTAGTCCGGTTAGCCAGGCCCTGGCCAGGAATATATATTCGCCTTCATCCCGTGCCAGATCAAGTCTCATCACACGGAGAGTTACCGCTTCAGCTTCTACTCAAGATGGTTTCGTTTTACGTCCTCCTCATTGCCTCCGTGGTTGCCCTGGGAGGATTCTCGTACGGGGTAGACTCGGGTTCGTCTGGCTGGCGTTGATCTCTTCTGACCTTGGCTAACCCGGACACAGGGATCATCGCAACCACTCTAGGTCATGACACGTTCAAGTACGCTATGCTGGGCCCAACAGGTGTCAATGCTCCCTTGACAGGTATTTGATTGTTGTGAATTGCCCCCAAATTTCTCGGCTGACCTGGCGGAGGTGCCATCGTTTCCCTATACAATGTCGGCCAGGCTGTTGGAACCTTTGGCGCGGGTTACTCAGCCAACAAGTTCAGCAGACGTTGGACTATCTGTGGTAGTGCTGTGATCGGTATGGTTGATCTTCCGTATCCCATTTGAGAGATTGTGCTGATGAAGACCAATCTCGTAGCTATTGTCGGTGCCATCCTCCAATGCGCGGCCGTGAATGCGGGAATGATGATTGCGGGAAGGTTTTTTGCAGGCGTCGGCTGTGGTATAATGCTGACAGTCGTTCCAATCTACATCGCAGAGGTCTCTCCGCCCGAGAAGCGGGGAATGATTGTGGGGTTGCAGGGGTTCATGATTTCCATCGGGTTCTTTGCGGCCAATTGGATCGGATACGGTGGCGCATATGCGACTGGCGATGCCCAGTGGCGGATTCCTCTTGCTATGCAGATCCCCATACCCCTTGCGTTGGCGGTTGGGTGCTGTTTCGTCCCTTACAGTCCGCGATGGTGTAAGTCTGTTCCATGACTTGTTGAAGTTGGCAACCACTAATGCAAAGCAGTGGTTCAGCAGGAGCGTTACGAGGAGGCCCAAGCTGTCTTGGAGACCATCCATGCTGGGACGGGAGACGATGACCGAGCACTGCGGGAACTGAGTGAGATCCGGAGCCAAATCCAAGTCGAGTCAACTCAAGTCACGAACTTCCGCCGCGCCGTCACATGTCTTCTGTCTCGTCAATACCTGCACCGCACGTTGATGTCCTGTTTCATCCTGGTCATGGGTCAGTTCAGCGGTTCCTCAGTCATCCAAAACTACCAGAGCAGCTTTTACGAGACGGTTGGGTTTACCGGCAAAACCTCCCTTCTCATCAGCGGCATATACGGAATCATGGGAGTGCTGGGTCAAGTCGTCTACCTGTTCTGCGCAGCTGACAAGTGGCCGCGTACGCGTACACTTTGGGTTGGGTCTATCTTCCTCTCAGTCATGATTGCCATTTGTATGGCCCTGTCCTCCGTTTATGGAAGCGAGAATAACAGTAACTTGAGCGGCGCCAGAGCGGCAATCGCTATGATCTTCATCTACTCGTGTGGGTACGCCGTTTTCTTCAACGCCACTATCTGGGTTGTGCCTTCGGAATTATTTCCCTTCTTCTTGCGGTCAACTGGAATGGGGTTGGCTGTGTTCTCCAAATCAGTCGCAGCCATCGTGCTGTCCCAGATTACACCAACTGCGATGGAGAATGTTGGCTGGAGATACTATGCTCTCTTTATCGCGACAAATTTCGCGGCTGCTTTCGTGTACTTCTTTCTGCTCCCGGAAACCAGCGGTAAGACACTGGAGGAGATTGCCGAGCTGTTCGAAGACAGCATCGTACGGGAGCCATCAAAGATTGCCGATGACCAACCAGGAGTGGAATATGGCCAGACAGTCGAGAAAAGCTCCAACCCTGTACATGTGGAAAAGGCAGTCTGAATTTGTGTCTATTGAGATAGAATCAGCGGGTGGACTCTGGAGCGGGAAGTGAATTGGTGCAAATCAGGAGAGGAGTTTCTGAATATGTTGTGAATAGTATTAAGTTGGAGTAGATTGATGTGTTTCGCAGCTGCCATCTAATAGCCAGCTGAGGGCGCTATTGACGAGGGCCTCCCCGGTAATTTCCTGATCATGTAGCAATCGCGCAAGGTCGTCTGATTGAGCCAGTTCTTCGCCAATATGGATTGCTCCATCCAATTCTGTTTCATGATTCGTGAGGAACTCGATACTAGGTAGAGATGCAGGCGTGGCACTACTGGAGCCCGACCTCCGCTCGGCAGGGGCTACCACCGCTCCAGATTCGAGTGACCGAGAGGGAACAGGCTGTCTTTCAGCCAAAGGTGATGAATGTTCAGTAAGAAAGCGAGCCATCCAGTTGTCAAGCACAAACGGATCGGACATGGAGTCCCTGCACGAATTTTGGAATGTCCGTAGATGGGTGGTCTGCGACACATGTTAGCCACATGGTGACGGGAGAACTGACAATAGAAGAACATACATAATGTTCTACGATGGGCCAAAACGACTTTACAGTCATGAGATACTGAAAGTTGGATACTAAGCGTTGCCTTGCCATTGAGAGTTCGCGGTAGTCGTCGCTGAACAAAAGAGTGTGTAGGTGGACGCAGGAGCTCACCACTGCAATATGCCCGTAGATGAAGTACTCCAACTCGCAATTCTTGATGTTCTTCGAGTACTGCAAGATAGATGACACAAGGGCAGCGCTGTCCTTGCATTTGGTTGCTCGGTCGGGACCTGGGTTTCGGGCAGCTCTCGAGTCTAGAAATGGAAAAAAAAGCATCTGTCTGAAATGGAAGAAGCCGATATGCATCGCTAGATATATTTGGCCGAGACGCTGCCCTGCTAGGAGCATAAGATTGTCAAAACTCCACGTTAGCTTCGGGGGTAAGTTCTCCGCCCATTGTTCAAGCATAGATTCGAGCTTGGCAGCCTGGACGCAATATTCGTCAAATGAAATCATGTTGCGGCTCAACTGTCGCATTAGGGTATTGATGCTTGCATAGATACCGAGCGTCCGCGCCATCTGAGCCCACATGTCACAGCGTGATGAATCCTGCACAGGTGTCATATTCCACAGTTCGGGACTAACAGTGCGAAATGTAGCATCGTCGATCTTGGGTAGAAAATCAGGTCCGTCGGGCAGCCGTATGGGTTCCATGGCCATATCCCAGGCCGACCAATGACTTGCGACGTGTATAGAGAGCCAACTGCGTCGGTATTCTTCCTGATATACAGCGCTTGGATTATCGCTCAGCGATAGCCTTTCGGCGTGCAGTCGAGCTAGCCCGACATATATATGCTTCCCGTCAACGTTCCCTTCTCCACTGAAATAATACCCGATCAGGAGAAACCCTTGCACTGTGTCGAGGCTCGGGGAGATCATTTGGGCCTGACAGAGTCGAACAGCTTCGGTCGCGAACGATTTGCCACGGTCGCAAGGAGGTATGCCGTCAAAGAAAGAGTTGCTGGAGAATCTGCGCCGCATGTTACTAGGCTGGGGAATTACAGACATTGCGCGTCAATCGTTACCTAGCGGCCAACGCGCACATAGCGTAGATATGGACCGTGGGCGCTGTCCCATTATTCAGACGACGCAAAAACGACGGCTCGTGGAATATCGTATGCGGGATATCGTGAATAAATCGGAAATAGATATGGACCAGCTCCACGCACAGGTCTCGGGACGCAAGAACCTCGAGCGGACCTTCTAATGCGACTGGAGACTGACGAGGGGGAGGGATCGACCCTACCCGTCCACCATGGTTATTCAAGACGCATGAACGCGGGGCGAGGCTAAGGGTACACGGGATCGAAAGGGAGTGGCAGAGCTGGCAAGCCTCCCCTTTAATGGTCGGGATGCAGCGACGCTTTCGAGTGCTGTGTGTGTTGCAGTGAGCGTCGAGTCGTCCCAATTGTGGGACGGCACTTACCGGCAGGTGGCACAAGCCCCAGCTCTCGCCCTCCTGGAGACATTGTGGGACATAGCATGAATCGTATGGTTGGAACATCGCCAGGATGCGATGGACGAGAGTAATGAAGATGGAAGCTGTTGGTCGCCCGCGTTTGCGCGTTGCTTCGGTCGCAGCTTCCCTGACGATTACTAATCTGCATACTCTGGACTCCAGATTCTGTGTCTGCACAGCCCACACCAACAAAACACAACACTAGAGACACCCATGCACGCTCTTCACTCATTTATCTTGTCGAACTACTAGTGTGCACATCAAACAATCAAGAAGCGAGTCCCATGCTAGATTGAATACCCGAATATCTCAATTCGCACGCCTGTCTAATACCGCGAAATATCCCTCCCGAACAACCGATTCAATAACCACCGCACTGCAATCCTCAGTTTATTCCGCCAACTGATTGTCATGGTCAGATACGCCGAGTTCCACACCAACCAGGCCATGCGCCCGGTCACTTTATGCGGAATATGCCTTTCACCATCTGGCAATTGCAACAGCGCCTTTGCGTTTCCAATATACGCGAGGGTCCCCATATTGTTGAACGAGAACCCGGGAGTCTGGCCCAGATCGCCGTGATTGAGGCGCACCGCCAGCCATTTCGCTTCTTGTGCTGCTACCTGTGCAGTTGCAGGAGGTGCACCGGTCTCGAGCATTGCGTTGTCGCCAATGGCGAATACATCGTTGAGGACTGCTGTTGCTCCAGAGGAGTCCTCGAGCTGGACGCGAAGATGGCCGTCCACGAGAAGGGCGCCGGTTCGTGGTGCCTTTTTGTATCTCCAGCCTTGTGTGCCCTGGACTGGGATGTCGTCTTTCATGACTGCTGACTGTGTTGGAAAGGATTTGACGTCGCGCAGTGACCCAGTGATAAGCTCGTTCATCGCGTTGCCCGTCACCCACACGCACATTCCAACCCCAACCTGCCCTTCTTCTTTCGTTGTTAGGGTTAGGCATCTTCTGGGGTCCATTTCGTACGGCGGCTCGTCGTCTGGTGCTCCCCATCGGAGATCTTGGATGTGATGCGAGGTCCGCACGTCGATACCCTCGCGCTTCATCGTCTCCATCGCATATCGCGATAATGACTCGTCGAACGTGGACAGAACCTTGGGCGCCACATCGTACAGGGATATCCGTGGCATACCCTCTAAAGCTGGGTATAATGTGACGAGATCGGACTTGATAAAGTCGCGCAACGAGGCTGCTAACTCTGTGCCGGTAGGTCCGGCGCCGACGATTGCGAAGTGCAGCAGATGTTGACGCATCTCTGGGCTAGTCGTGGGTAAGATGGCTAGCTCAAAGCATTCCCGGACCCGTCGTCGCACGCGGCGTGAGTCGCCAATGTCTCGGAAGAAGATGGCGTTGTCCTTTACTCCGGGGGTCTTGAATGTCCGACTGATGGCGCCGACCGAGATGACGAGCTTGTCGTATGTGATTTCGAATGGCTCGCCCTTTTCCCATTTCTTGGTCTGCCTAAAGCAGCCTTCTTCTTCGGTATGGGTCTCGGTGACACCGCCCTTGACGACCGTTGGCTCGCACAGGATAGTCTTGCGCTCCAAGTCAAGAGCTCGTGCTGCAGCTTGGAAAAAGTCGACCTTGATCTTGGGATCTCGGACTGGCTCGACAATGTGCGAGAAATCCAGATCACCTCCAGCTGTGCTTGTAAGGAGCGGCGTGAAGACAAAGTATGATCGCGGCGAGATGACCATGGGAGCAAACTTCTTAGGCGAGAGTTTGCGCGATACTGTGTAGCCTCCCCAGCCTGAGCCGAGGATGACGACGCGCTCCTTGATTTTGCGAGGCTGCTGGAGCATCTCTGTGCTGAGGGTCCTTCGATGCCATCGTGGGGAAAACCGCAGAAGCGGACATGTAACCGGCCTCATCATTGAGACTGAGAAAATGCTGATCCCATCCCTCAGTCAGTGAACCTAGAGTATGGTCATTGTGTGGTTGTCGTGGACGAAAGCTGAAAGACGCTGAACACATTATGACCTCATCATTGCAGTCTCCTGTAGCAGAACCATTCATGGAGTGGTCCCTTACATTCTCTATCTACGGCCCTTGAAGGTTATTTAAACCGGTATACTCGCTAGTTATGCAGAGGGAAGTAACTCAGCAGATGTCTAAAGGCGTTGATAGACTGCCTGCGTGCATGATACCTGCCAAGCCTCATCTCGGTCTCCAAGTTGTGGCTAACAGGGGTGGTGTGGCTAGGCTTGGTTATTTAATCCGTGCTGTGTTTCCCCACCTGCCCCGGACCTGCCATTGATCTCGATTTGCTGATTCGACTTCGAAGCCTTGAAGTCATCCGGCTCCAAATGTTTTTTCATTGCTTCTCAACGTTTCCCCCTTGTACAGAACCAGAAGCGCTCGGTCCTTGCGCTATTTTCACCGAGTCACAACGGATTTTGCTCAGAACGACGCAAGAGGAAACTTGGTCACAAGGATAGTGCCTGGTATTGTCGGTAACCCAGGAGAATCCCATGTGTTGATCGACCCAGAAGTTGGCGTTGCCCTCCGTGCTGCCAGTCCCCTCACATCGACTTCTTCAACTTACCTTCTTCCATGATTTCCAACATTTCGGTTTTGGTAACTGTAAAGTTTGCGAGGTTCGGGGGCCGGCTGGTTCTAACTAGTCTGCTTCCAATGCTAGGAGCTTCGAGCTATCCTCCCCTTTAGAATCCCGAGCCAACTTGCTGGACCAACAGAGCCAGAGACAAGTCCTGCAACTTGGTTCTTGAGCGGGAAAATGCATGAGATAGTATTGCATGGAACTGATATGGTGCAGGCGAATCCACCAGTCCTTCTAGCCTTGTAGTTGCTGAACACTCGACCGCTACAGGAAAGCACCTGGGACCTGTCTTTGACCTGTTGAAGGACATGTAATCTCGGGCCTCGTTTTTAGCAAATAAAGCTTGGTGTTCCTGGGCTGATGAGATTTTGAGAAAGGCATAGCCGTCTGGACCCAGTTGGTGGCGCGTGATCAGGCCTGGATTGGTGCAATGCGGCGCCGAGCGCTCGAGTCATAGATGGTCAAAACCTGCTCGACTTCTCATGGATTGCGGAAATCCCATCTCAAGGTCACAAACTCCATCGCCTACACCATGAGAGCCTGGTCGCGAATACAATTGTCATTAAGCAACAAGGCCGTTCCACCTGTTGCGACCGAAGCCACACGAACAAATCAAGCCCTCTCCCTTCGCGACGGTCGCATTCTCGGATTCGCCGAGTATGGCGCTCCTACTGGGTTCCCCGTGCTCTACTTTCATGGCTTCCCTTCATCGCGTCTTGAAGGAAGTGGAGTGGAGGGCAACGCGCGACGGCGGGGCCTTCGCATCATCTCCCTGGATCGACCGGGGTACGGTCTATCAACGTTTAGACAAAATCAGCGGATCACAGATTGGCCCGGGGATGTGAAATCACTCGCTGATCATCTCCGGCTTCCTCGTTTCGCAGTATTAGGAGGATCGGGTGGTTCGCCGTATGCACTCGCCTGTGCTCATGCGCTCCCACACGACAGACTATCCGCAGTTGGAATTCTCGCAGGCGCAGCGCCGTGGGATGCTGGGCTCCAGCACGTATCAACCCCACGAAGGCTCCTGTCATGGGCTGCGACATCATCACCGACTGCTCTGGGAAGCGTGTTTAACGGCATAATCGGTGTCTCCCGATGGGCCGCAAACACCTCACCCGTCACACGCTGGATAGACAATTGGCTTGAGAAACAGGAAAGCCCGGAGAACAGTGATCTATCAACCAAGCAGCGACGCGAACAGGTCCTAGCAATGGCGTTTGAAGCTTTTGCACAGGGATCCGCGGCAACTGTGCAGGAGGCGTCTCTACTCTCGCACGACTGGGGATTTCGGTTAGAGGATGTGAGCTACGATAAGATCCAGATCTGGCACGGTGAAAAGGATGCGAATGTGCCCATTGAGATGATTCGCAATATGGCTGAGCGGCTTCCTCATGCAGACCTGCGTGTGTATGAGGGCGAGACGCACTATACCTTGAGTCGACACATTGATGAGATCTTCGCCGAGTTGGTCCCGGATTCTTTGATACAGCGACACATGAGAGAAAACCGATGATGACCAATTACCTTCGGCTCTCCACTCCCGTTCGATACCTCACTCCCATGTACCTACACTACTAGGAGTTGGTCGCACCTGCCGAGTTGGCGGGCGGCCGAGTGCTCCTTCCTGATTGAGAACATCCGTTCGAGTACGAATAATCAAACTGTCATTTCTCCTCTCCTCTCACAATCTCCTACATACACAGCTCTTCAACGTTCCCTCCAGACATAGCCAGGACCAACACTTTTCCATCGAACCTCTGGGTACACTCGGCACCTAGAAACGCTCAAAGCCTATCAATCAAAAAGCTGATGGCGTCCGGGACGTTGACGGTATAGGTAAAGTGCGCAGCAGTAATGATCAAGCTCCCGGTGCAGACCAGGTCGCCGAGTGCGCAGTAGATCTTAGTCTTATTAGTCGGGAAGTTGGGAATGCGTCCATTGTCCTGGGCGTTCCTGGTGTCGCCGAAGAGCACGACGCCCTTGATTTGGTTCTGAATGTTGCTGGGCAGCTGCGAGATTGAGGCGTGCATGACTGCGGTTCCTTGGCTGTTATTGCGTCAGTAAGATTTCCATACGGATAGGGTAGGAAGGAGGCTCACCTGTATCCTCCCGCCACGATCTGGGTGTTGGGGCACTTGGACGCGGCGAGTTCGAAGAGCTCGACGGCTTCGTCGATGGCGGCCTGGCTGGTTCCCTGAGGGAGGAAGTTGGAGGCGAGGTCTGCGCGGTAGGCGGGGGCAACGCCCTGGCAGGCGACGCGGCCGGGTCTTCTGAGCTTCAGGCCATCGCAGACGCCGGGGCCGGTTGAGATGCCCTACAAGCTTGAAATTAGCGATGGGTCTGCGGCAAGAGCGGGATGGACGTACGAGATATCCGGGCTCGGTCGAGGCACGGGCGAAGATAAAGGTGATGTCCTTGCAAGAGCCGCTGCGCAGTTCGTTCTCGCCAATGGCACCGACTAGAGGGATTAGCTGTGGTTATTCCGCCAGGCAAGCGTTGACTTACTCTGGCGCTCCTCGATGTTGACGGGGCTGGCCGCTGCGAGGGCAGCAAGGAAGGTGACTGCGAACTGGAACTTCATTTTGAGGCACGATTGGAGGATTGAAGAGGCTGTTTGGACTGCTTTGGCTTGCTGCTGTGGGATGAATACTGAGGACCATGGACTATCAACGTCCCTTTATACTTCATCCCCAGACTCATCTTGATCCAATTCCTCGTGTGCAGCCAAAACATGAGACGAAGTCGGCAGTTGAATCTCCTTGGCGAATGCATCTTCAGACTGATACCCTAAGCGAAGACCCTCGGTATCCTGCCTGAACCCTCAAAAACCTGCAGAACCACCGCCATCCCATGGCTGACGAAAAGCCAGAAATCGGAGCCACAGGTCTGGGCGCTGCACTGTGCCTTCGACCAATGCAGCATCCTCGGCCTTGGCCTGGGGTACAGCGCCCATTCCCCTCCAGCTGCGGGGGGAAAAGAGTAGCATTCATCTCGCCTGCAAGACTTGGCGAGTGCCCTTTCATTTATTTATGCGTGCAATTCCGACCGAGGATGCTCGAAACTGCCGTCTTAGCAGTGGATGAAGGGTTTCAGAGTGCGGGGGAGGCGTCCACGATGCAGGCACCCCGCGTTTGCAAGTGCCGTGCAGATTCGGATTGCGGCAGTTTCGCAAATTTAGATCGCTTTTCTGGATGGCATCGGATGCCCAACAATGAGTTTACCAAAAGCCGGTGCCCTACTCCGTCCTACTTGGGTAATCCTCGGTGGACCGCATCCTGTCCTCGACAGCGCATGATCAGCCGCAGATCGTGCGTGGTTCGTTGATCTTTGCCCGGTTGATGCACTTGACGTGCAAATGCGATATTGACATTAGAGGAGAATCTGCGATCGGTCGACGTCGATGCAACTGAAAACTAATGGACCTTACTGATGCTGGAATCAAACAAACGGGCGGTGCATTTGACCGCTGATTCTATCCAAGCCTGCACAGTAATTTGACAACCCCGCTTTGGAGATCGCTGGGCATGTAGTTGGAGTACCTTGTCGGCATTTTCCGAATCATCCAAGCGCAAGGCTCGACGAGCCTTTGTGGGGTGGAGAGCTAACAAGGACATTGAACAGAAACAGCGGAGAGACGAGATCATCCCAGCATCTCTGACCAAGTCCACCGAGAGTCAAGATAGAGCATCGGAGAAAAAGATATGCATGGAAGAAATCCTGTCGCCGAGAGCCAGCGACTCGGAGGACGACAACTTGGAACAGCCGGGGAGTCACCGAAATTGCAACTCGATCAGAATTCGCCCTATAGCTTCTTGAAACCGAGCCTTTTGAGCTAGACTCAAGCGACGCTCGACTACTCATAACTCCGTCGAAAAATTATGGACAATTACTTAACAAAGCGGCGGAAATTAGATAAAAAAACGTTGCTACCTAAAACTGCTGACTACCGGATGCCAGGCCCTAACCAAATCTCTGGCATAAAAACATCGACTCCTCCAAGTTCGATCCACGAACCCAAACTTTGCGAGTCAGTAGTCAAAGTCGATTGATTCGCCGACCTGAACACGATGCCCAAAGTCAAACTCTCCTGAACCACCGCTGCAAGTGGGGGGAATTGGAGTCCAGATAAACTTTGCGTGGCGGCTGGACTCGGAGTCAGTTCCCCCGATCAGGATCTGGTGGAGAATGAGGGATGTCTCGGATCGTGGGTGAGATCAAGGTGGAACTGGGTGCTTGCAAGTTGGAAGGCTCTGGAGGGGGAAAGGGGTTGGTGTGGACGAGGTTACTTGCATGATGATACCTGCGCTGGAGGATCCATTGTGCGGATGCGTAATTGGGAATGCTTTTATATCGAAGTGCTTCGCAATAGGATTCATCTTCCAGAGCTCGGAAAAGAGACATGCTGGAAAAGTGGGAATGAATCGGAGGATTGATGAGGACACCTCGTATAGCTCGCCGAGTGTGGCGTCGAGCCATTCAGTAAGGACGCTTGGAGGAATCCAAGCAAAGGGATTGGAGTCATATCCAGGACGTTTGCTTCTATTGCCTATTCAACTTCTTCTCGGTCTGGACAGAACGAAAAATAGTGGTCACAAGAAATGTGGATTAGGTGGGCTTGACGCCTATATTAATAAGTCTAAGTATGTACATAGTCGGCACCAAATACACTGCATCGCGGCGATTACAAGTAAACATAGCAGAACGGCCCGGCAGTGGTATCGAGCAGCTCACGAAGAGTCAGATCCTCAGCAAGGACATCAAAGTACTGCACATCGTCCAAAGTAGCATTAGGGCTAGGTCCCAACCCTGGAAGGACAGTCGGCCCAGCAACGACAAAAGTCCGCTCAGCCGGGTCGAGGTTCTGCCAGGTCCAAAAGACACGGTCAATAGCCGCGTGGTGCAGGTAGAAGACGGGGTCACCGGGCGAAGCAAAGAAGTCGCCGGCGGGGTCACCGCTGATGGTGTAGTGGCCGCCGCTGTGCACGCCGAGGTAGCCGTTGGGAAAGTCGCCCTGGAAGCGGTCCTGGAAGGAGGAGATGTCGCGGTAGTTCTTGATCAGGTCAACGACGTGTTCGGTGGTTGTCCATTTCGCGGCTTCAACGTTGACGTCGCGGCGCAGGCAGCGCGGGTTGTAGTTCAGGCCGGTGCCGTTCTGGGCTTCGACGCCGGGGACTTGGAGGGTGACGAAGAGGGGGCCGAGGTTGACTTCGAAGCTGGAGAGAGGGTTAGTGTGCTTTTGCATGAGACGAGATGGACCAGGATATGACGCACTCGGTGAAGGGGCCGGAAGTGACACAGCCACCGCCGTTTCCGGGGGGCAGGAAGAGACCAGGGGCCACTTCGGCCGCCGGGTGAGGAATGTACGAGCCGTCGCCACCCATGCTGTACTCGGAGCCGTCGAAGATGGGCGAGTTGAGCGGGTCGTCGGCGTACTTGGTCCAGCCCCAGTAGGGCTGGTATCCCTTGTAGCCGCACTCGTTGCGGAGGGCCTGCTCGTAGGCCCAGGTGAAGTATCGGTGCCACGTCAAAAAGTTACCCTGTTATTGTTGTCAGCATCTCGCGCGCGTTGTACGCAGTGGAACGTGGGGGCGGACCGTGGTGTGGATGTACATGGTCTGGTTGATGTGGACCGCGACAAAGTCGTCGAAGCGAGTGCGCGCCCCGGGGGCAAAGGTCGGGTCGATCTTGGAGGGCTTCTTGGTGAGGCATCTCACGGCATCAGTGTACTCCTTGCGTTCGCGCTTGGTGAGGGTGCCCCTAGGCCAATTAGCATCGCCAATTGCGATTGCGACAGAATTGGGCGACGTACCACTCGCGACGAATAGCCGCGTTGAGAGGGGTGCATTTGCTGTCAGTGTACCGGGGCTTGGTAAACTGGTACAGCACCTGGTTCACCAGGGCCTTGCCTGCGAGGACATCCCACTCGTCAATGTCAAAGGTCGCCGTAGCCTGGGGAATGGCAGCAAGGGCTGCCACAAGGGCAGTGAGTGAGAAACGCATGATGGACGCCTCTGCAAGGGATGACAAGAAGAAGAACAAAGAGAAAGAGAATCCAAGAGAGTTGCCGAGGGTGAGGATAAAAAGCAAGGATCGTCACGCCGGGCAGGGGTGTTTTTATACCAGCTCGCTGCTCTCCAGTCAGGAGTGGTAGATTATGAGAACTCTCTGCGAGCCACGAGGGCCCCGTTGAGCTATCCATCAAGCCATACTCGCAGTGGACGAACTAGTGGCCAGCTCCGATGTAGTTATCGTCTTAACCTTTGCCATGCGCTTCCATGGCGCAGACATGCAGGCGAGACAGCAAATGAGCGCTGTCCTTCTGGCCTTGCATGCCATCTTGGCGGGGATGACTCCGATAGTGCCAGGAACGGCGTGCCACTTGACTCGTGGAGGTCTTGATCAATTTCCGCAGACCGCAGCGGCGCAGTCAGGATGCATATTGTCGCATTCGCTTAGGGCACCGGAAGGGCCAGATGCCGGCCTACAGAGTATGTACATGGTACAGATGTCGGGGTGTGGAGGTTGCTGGGGGGTCGCACTCGCACAAAGTACGCGAGCAGGATCTCAATGCCCCGCTAACAATCTCCTCTCGCGGGCTAGACTCTCGTCTACTTGACCGGACAACGGAGCTCACCCTCGAGTAAAGCTAGCCCGGTGGAGTGCAGTCAGCGCTGGCAGTATCCGCGATGGAAGGGGGACTGGCTCTTTCAAGACTTACATAGCCTTTGCTGTGAGGCTTGAGCGCCCAGGAGCCATTTTTCCAGATTTTCCACGGTGGAATTGACTTTCGGTCGCTGCCAATCGGGGAAATTGCAGTGGGCAACGTTACTCCGGGAGGCGGAGGGGGAACAAGAGGCTAAGCGATTAGGGGCCGGAGGAGCGAGCCGCGATTGACAGGGTTCGATATGGACTTAGTCTCTGATCGTATTGCCTCTGGCCCCAACAGGGATGCGCATCCTGGAGCCTGGTCCGTCTCCTTAGCCTGCGCAGAATCCCACGGAAGCGCTGGACGAGAGATGAATCCGTTAATAATAGCAATTAATGAGCTGGGCGTCCAGCGGTGAAGAAGTCTGCAATTTGATTCTTCAGGACCCTGGCCGGAATAGTCTGTCCCCTTTTCTCCCTCTGCAGTCGGCTTCCAACTCTCGGACAAGGCAGCGAAGCAACCATGAAAGAGAAAGAAGGGATTCGATCGACGATCTCTGCGCGACGCTGAATCCGCCCCCACGCAGCCGACGCTCAGAGGCAGAGATCGTGCCTTGTGGAGTCGGCGGGAAACAAGGTTTGCCCGGCGCGGTTTTCGGCCCCAGCAAATGTTTCACTCTGAGTGCCGTTAGCGGAAGGAACCCCGACCCCCAGCGAGACACGGGACGAGATTGCACTATTGGCACTCGGATGCGTGGGCTCGTCGACAAGATTGACAAGAGACAACACTGACAATCAAGGCTTGCGTGCTGCTCGTCCTCGCACGGCCACGCCGGAGTATCGCCGGATCAGCAGCAGATCCAGAATCGACGAGATGCTGTCCACAGTCCTCCCCCTTCCCGAGATCCTGCTGCTCAGATCTGCACATCATTCATTCGCTGTGTCGGGGCCAGTATCACTTCAGGCTCCTCAGTTCCATTGTTGGTTCCAGTCCAAGCTGGACATCAACTCTGCATATCTACAGAGTTCCAGAAATCCAGAAAGCTAAAAGATGACAATTTCGAGCGCTTGGCATGACCAGGATGTCTCCCGGCTGTATGCAACCCCCTGGTCCTCCAATTCAGCCGAGTTTCGTGCGTGGCTTTATTGGCAGGACAGTAATATCGCCTGGAACGGGCAGCTCGGCCGAAGGGCTCGACGGAGTGCATGCCTTTCATTTCCTCCAGCGAAACGGCGCAGCAATGTCGGGGTGCCCGTTCCTCTCTGGGAATTCTGGCATCTCACACGATTCCCGGGGTTTTCTCTTGAGTCGGACTGGTAGAATTCGAGCCAGGCCTTGGCTGGTTATCGCAAACTCAAATCATGGATGCAGAATCCCCCATTCTCGAAGCGTCCAGGATGCCATGTGGAAAATCCTTCATGCGCTCGTCAGACAGTAGACTGATAGGCCCATCGCCACGAGTTGGCTGGCTGGCTCCAGGTCCAGGGTTAAACTTTTGCTCAGTCTCACCTTTGTCCGTTCGAGCCTAGTCGCACGTCCAGTGGTGGCTTTACTATTCTTTGTGAAACTCTGCTCCAGTCACCCCGAACGGCGGTTCCTGCTCGATCCTCTGGGTCTCTAGTCGATAGTCCCAATCATGAACCCTGGACTTGTATAAAGAAGGATCCTCTCGACATCTGGATATACCCCCCTCTTGGCCCCCTGTACCCGTTCATCCTCGCTGTCTGCTCTCAACACCCATGCGGCGGCGATGGCTCACTACCTAATCCCACGGCAGCTGCCTGAAGCAGACAGTGCAGAAATTGATTACTCGTCAAATGCTCCCAAGATCCTTGCCATCACGGGGACCCTGACCGGGCTCTCGTGCCTGTTGGTGGTGCTGCGATGCTACGTGCGGATCTTTGTTCTGCGCCGCTTCTACATTGAAGATTACATCATGGTCTTTTGCGGGGTGAGTGCACTTGCTATTGATGAATTCGCTATCGTCCACCCCCATGCTCATATTCTGGTCGACTAGATATGTTGTCTGGGAGTACAGGCGTGTTTCGTCGGCGAAAGCCACGTTGGCATGGGCCTGTGGTCGGCGGCAATCGAGGCAAAGAACTACGGGGGCAAACTATCTCAGTGGATCTGGTGGCATTCGTTGATTGTCGTGCTGGGCATCAGTCTGGTCAAGATCTCCCTCGGTTTCTTCCTCTTGCGATTTACAGCCCAGAAAAAGTGGCTCAAGTGGTTTATCATCGGTTCAATCAGTAGGTTTCTAGTATACACTCATGCCCGCGAGACGCCCTTGCTAACATTGCAGTTTTCCTAACTCTGTTCACCATCGCTTCCCTGGGGACACTGATCTTTCAATGTCTCCCTGTCCGTGCCGCATGGGATTTCCAACTGAGATTCGAAAAAGGGACCAAATGTTTCTCCGTCTCGACCTACCTCAGCATCGGTAGATTTAATGCTTGTATGTGAAATCACTCTAACCGACTGGGGTTTACTGACAGCAGACAGCCATCAACATCATCACGGATTTTCTCTACGCGACGCTGCCGGTCTTTATGTTCTACAACGTCCAGGTCAACCGCCGGACCAAGGCTTCGCTGATGGGTATCTTGGGCTTGGGCTACTTGTAAGCTTTCTGCTGTACTGTTCGGAATCGCAACTAATCATCCAGTGCCTGCGGTGCGGCAATTGTCAAGGCAGTCCTGCAGGGTCGCGTCTTTGGGCAGACTGAGCTGTACCGGTACGTTTGCAGACCCAACTGATTCAATACCAGCGATCATCTCGACTGACCAGGAACGCGAATTAGTGAAAACACCTACCACATCTGGAACTAGTACGCCGCTCCCCTGTGCCCTCGATCATTTATCACGTCTAACCCTTGCTCTCCAGCGTCGAACTCGCCGTCGGAGTAATCGCCGCCTGCTTCCCCACGATCAAGCCCCTGGTCAAGAGCATAATCGGCAGCACACGCAGCCTAACCAGCTACGGCCGCACGCGGAAACGCACCAACGAAGCCTACTACGGTCCCAACAGCCACGCACTCAGCGCCATGGCACGCAGCCGCCACGACAACGAGGAGGATAAATACCGAGTGCAGATCCACGCGAACCACCCGAGCCTGTCCGGCTCGGATGGCGGGAGCGAGGAGAATCTGGCGAGAGATCATCATCGGAAGAGTCCGATTACGATGAATACGAGGATCATGCAGACGACCGAGGTCATTGTTCATAGTGAGGATAGCGGCGATATTGGGTCCGCGACGATTGGTCCAAGGAGGACGGTTGAGGATCGGATATAGGATGGGGTTCCTTTTGTTGGGTCCTTTTGTGACGAGTGGGATTCTCTGGGAAAAGGTATAGATTAATGCGTCAGAGTAATAGACCATTTTATTTTGAACTTTTGGCAGTCTCCTCACCTTTTTGATGGATTTCCTCTATGCCACGCTGCCACCTGCGCTGGTGGCCGCATACCAGTCCGCATGTCCCAGTCTCGATTCATCGCATGGCCCCAAATCAGCTTTCATGCATACATCCCCCTGAGTCCGGTCGCCTTGGTAGTCTTGGCTAAGGACCTGTCGAATTCCCTGGTACTTTCTTCTTCGGCCAGGCGGACCTTTGTGATTCTTCACGCGCTTACTCGGTATATTAAGCGCCTCATTGTANTCCCTCAAGCACCCGAGCACCCGAACAATACTCGGATGAACCGGGTGAATTGCTTCGCTACATGGTGGGACGACCTGAAGTATCTACTCCTGTCGGCTGGAATTGGACTTGCACCTAGCTTGAGCTGAAAGCACACACCAGTCCCAACTGCATGTCATGGTGCCCTTTTGGCACACTAAGCCTAAAAACTCATTAGCGAGGCCCGGAGAACCAAGGTCATCTCATGCAAGTAATATCGCCGGCCGTGCGACGTTGTTGGGCGCTCAATAGGACTGCCTGGAACCAGGGACCAGAGGCGTCCTGAGCTATGGACAAAGATCCTGATCCTGGTTCACTCCACGGAAATGATGGAACTGGGTGAGCCTAGTAGTCTGGTGTTTTCAGTAATTGGGCTTACTCAGGTCTGACCCAGAATATTCAATTGACGATGATGAACGAGGCCGTTGTCTCGGAATATTCAACATGGTTGCCTCGACCACGATCATTAAACAATCTGAAGAGAGCACAATGACAAATCCAGCTCGAGTCAAGTGTCACAGAGTGAAACCATTTCAGCCATTGTTCCAGGTGACTGGATCGCCAAAGATAATCGCGATTGCGAATGGAAGGCCAGTTGGTGAAAGCAGGGGTTTATATATTGTGACATGCGGTGGCCGACCAGCCACGACTGGTTGGAAATTCTCCGACCTATAAATATCACGGTGTAACCTCGATTATTTCGTGCCTATCGGTGCTCGTCCCTGCGCTGGAAGCTTGCTCTTGTGTATCCTATCGAGTAATTCTTCCTCGAGTCGTGGTCTGGTGAGACGGTGCGCCCGTTGCCGGTGCGGCTCGACTCGACAAGGAGCGACTGGACTCGAGACTCGAGATGCCGATCGAGAAGACACCAGCACTTACTTTGGTCGTCATGGCTCGTTGCTTGAAGCTTCATTTTGCTTTGAGTGTGAATGCCTCGAACGTGAAGCCTCGGCTCGGCGTTGGTCTTTGATAGTGAAACGCCAGTGAGCAACGGCGGTGTGGGACTCGTTCTTGGCCTCATTTCACGCAGCAAAGCACGAAACTGTTGACCAGCCTCTGAAATGCGGCTCCTCTGAGCTCATGAATACACGCAGATGACCATAGAGCTGGCATCCAGGCCAAGATCCCTCTCTTCCCTGCGCTTCTTGCAGCGTCTCTGCCATGACAGCCACCATTGATTTGTCCGAGCGCGCGGAAAGCGGGCGGCAAAGGCTCCTTCGCTCAGCTTGTGGATGCATGATTGTGAATGCACAAAACAGACAATGGGATTGTCCGACTGCTGCTCTGCACCCCGGGCCCAGTCCTCCGGTAAGTCTGGGCCAGCAGCCGTAAGCTGACCCGACCACCACAATAGGCAGAGAACGGATCAGCAGCTGAATCCTTTGATTCCCTGTTTAAACTGCGATGCGCTGGCTCGACCGAGCGAACGTGCATAGGCTACTGGAATGGAAGGCCTTGATACCCCGCACCTGGGACGCTTCCTCGCCTTCTCTCGCATTAACTCGTTGAACCGTTGGTCGTCGCACACACCTGAAACCTGTTGAACAGATTCTTCTAGTAACCCAGCTTACGAGGTATATTTGGCTTCTTGGGATTCGGGGTTGCCCTCGTCACCCAGGCTGGCTCAGCTGGACAACAGCTGGCCGCTGCGAACGAGGGGCGTGCCGGGTGGAGCTGACGCGCCTGTCTGCAGCCAGATGCACGCCAGGCAGGAAGCGGCAACGCACTGCTCTCACTGCAACCGCTCGCTCATGCGACTAGGTGCCGTTGCATACAGCTATTCCCTGATGCGATTCAGCGGTGTCCTTGCTGGCTTGTCCGTGTATCAGGCCACAGCCTCGGATGACCGCACTCGATCGCGGATTGTGCACTCGACCGCCCATATCCAGGAACTACCCCAGGAAGAATAGACATGGTCGCCGCCGGTGAGGGCCATGTTCGCCTCTTGAGCCACCCACGGCGTCCACTAGCTCTGCCCTAGCCACGTCAGAGGGCCACCATGGACTAGTGCATCCCGTTGCATTGGGAGAGCATACCCGGCTCAATACCCAGGGTAGAATGAGGCGGACCGAACGAGGGTGCACCCCCACCTCTCCAATCCAAAAGACAGCAAGGGTCGGCTACTCTGCCCCTTGCTCACCCCAGGAGCACATGCGAGGGACGTGAGCAGTTGGCGCTCATCGAGATGGGCTGTCCTTGCGACGTTGTGCGCCGTGTGTTCCGTGGATCCTGCAGCGACGTTCTGCGACATGGATTCCCCTCTGGGGGCCAGTGACTCTTGTGCAATCGATCAGCGAGTTCGCTGGTCGATCTCGAGGATATCCATGCAGCCCACCCCGTTGGATTCCAAGGTGGACCGGCCGGAGATCAAACCCGCCTATGGGACTGGAAGCGGTTCGCAAAGAACAGTTCCAGGGACGGCTCGGCCTGCTGAGGAACTCTCTCGGCGCGCGGTTTTCTGCCAAATAATCACTGGTGTAATCCTGGTAGATACGGGCTGACGTCTGACTGGGCTGCACGCCGGCCGTCATTTGGGACTTGCAGGATCAGCCAACATGCGGACTGGTACGCGGCCGCCAGCCCGCATGTGGTCCGCAGCCAAGGTGGATTAAATAGCAGCTCGTTCCAGGTCAATTTGGCCATGTCTGTAGCTTCTGGTCAGTCTTGTTTACAGCCGTGCGGTGCGAATGGTGCCAGAGAGTGAGCCCTTGCGTGTATGCCAGTCATGATTGGAATGTCGGGTGATCAAAAGGGTGCAACCCCAGCCTACAACAGCAGCATCGACCACTTTCGCGACGACGAATACCCCAGCCTGAGAGACGTGGTCTACCTCGACCATGCCGGGTCCACGGTGTATGCTCGGTCCATGATCCAGGCGTACGCCGCCGACCTGCAGACCAACCTGTATGGCAACCCTCACTCGGACAATACCCCGTCTCGCATATCCGGTGTCCGGGTCGACGCCATCCGCCTGCAGCTTCTGCGCTTCTTCGGCGCCGACCCAAATGACTTTGATCTCATCTTCACAGCAAACGCAACCGCCTCCATCAAGCTGGTGGGCGAGTGCATGTCGCATTATGCACCTTCGCCTATGACGTCGTCCAGCAAGCGACGTGGGTTCCACTATGTATACCACCAAGACTCCCACACAAGCCTAGTTGGGCTTCGACAGATCGCCAACGGGGGTAGCGTGTGTCTGGGCGATGCCGCCGTAAAGAGCTGGATCCAAAAAGGCAGCCAACCAAAGATGGCCACTCTCTTTGCCTATCCGGGCCAGAGCAACATGACGGGTCGACGTACCCCTCGATCATGGTATGTTCGCCTTCAAAAACCGGGCGACTGCCCGTGCTGACATGTTAGGCCTGCTCAAATCCGCAGAAACCACAAAGACACGTTTGTCTTGTGGGACGCCGCTGCCATCGCCTCGACCTCACCCTTGAATCTCTCGGATGCCGATTCCGCCCCCGATTTTACTGCCCTCTCGCTGTACAAAATATTTGGATACCCTGATGTTGGATGCTTGATCGTCCGAAAGGCTGCTGCTGATGCTCTTCGACAGCGACGATACTTTGGTGGCGGAACTGTGGATATGGTCATCAACTCGCCCTCGGTCCGACAAGAGGGGTGGCACGCCCTCAAGACAGGCTCGCTGCACGACTCTCTCGAAGACGGGACCCTGAACTTTCACTCCATCGCCGCGATCCCTCACGCCATCGACACACATGACCGCCTCTTCTGTAGCATGAGCGACGTTTCCGCCCACTGCGCCTTTTTGGTTGGGCAGCTCTATGGACAGTTAGTATCCCTCCGACACTCAAATAATGCCCCTCTTTGCCGCATCTATACTGGCTCCGAACATCATGGCTTTGGAGATGCATCTCTCCAGGGACCGACAATTGCCCTGTCCGTCCTAGATCCCTCAGGGAGCATACACGGATACGCAAACGTCGAACGCGCAGCGGATCAGGAGCGGATATACCTCCGGAGCGGCAGCGTGTGTAACCCCGGAGGTATGGCGTACCTCGGCTGGGTGCGCATGGAAGATATGAAGGCCGCCTGGAATGCTGGGCATCGATGTTCAGATCCGATCCAGGAGGTGTACGGACAGACAACGGGCATCGTGCGGGTGAGTCTGGGGGCGATGAGCACCAAAGCGGATACTGATAGGTTTGTTGACTGGCTGAGCCGAACATACATCGATCGGGATATCATGTCTTCGCCAGAAAAGCCGCAAGGATCTGAGTGCTCACATGGCTCTGAATGCTCGCTGGAGTCATCGAAACACAAAGAAACCGTTGGTCAAATGGGCCGAACCCGAGGAACAGTGAAGAGAATTGTTGACCACATCCGTCGGATATTCTGTCAAAGTGCGAGATAGACTATGCTTAGCGCTATATATAAGATTGACTCAATTAATGATAGTAATGAAAAGTTCTCAAGAGTCAGAATGAGGGGTGCGGGCGTTAGTATATGTACCTGAGTCCCTCACCCTCCGCTAGCTTGCGCAATCCTTCAGCTTCATCCCCCACCACGTCACATAATCGCGCAATCCCTGCACTCATGTCGTAAGCAAGATACGAACGATGTAATAGGCTGGGTGACTCGCTAACAGGTCTACGTCGAGCGAAGGCGTATTCGTGGCGGCTTGTGGTGCGGTCGTTGCTGCTGCCTGCATGTGCAGTCAGGAAGACGGGACGCTGAGGGCGGATTATATCAGCTTCACGAAAGGGCTAGAAAGTCTCAAACTAACTAGCGAGCTCACTAGCTGCTTATCATTGCGCTAGATCGAGCCGTTTTTGTACTCTAATGCAGCCTTGACATGTCAGAAGGAGCAAATTACCCTCGTTATTGGATATGCGAGGCTCAGCCCTCCGGAGGTCTTGAGGAGGTACTGCACTGCCCCATACCTATGCCACGGAGCCAATATAACAGTCAAAGTAGTCAGTACGCGCGCTGCCAAGGCGCCTAGACGTCTGTACGGAGTACTTTGTTGTGTGATGCGGAGTGATATCTGGCGCTTAATGGGCGGTTCGGTTGCTAGCGTCGCATATAACTGATTCCTCCCCACTCTATTGACGGTGTGGGAATAGTGCATTGCGGAACTTAGGGCAAGAGTGCACAAGCAGTAGTAGGGTTTATGGCACTACTGTTGATGATACTGATTCTCCCGTCGTAGCCGCAAAGTACGCGCGAGTTATGCATCCGCATATGTGTCTGGCCCAACACCACCACTACTACATTGATCGTCATTGGCGCTGCTAGTCCTCGGCGACAGCTGCGTAAATCAAGGGATACCGTCGCTCTCTCTTTTTGGGTGACATTTATGGGAAGAGAATATTCCAGAAATTGTGCAGTTGGACCATAGTCGGCAGTCTCAGTGTCCTACAAGTATAGATGCTCGTCACACCCTAGGCACTGTAGATTCTGAAGGAGAGCCAGAGATATCATATGCGACTGAACTGCTTCCGTCGTGATAGTCATGACATGAAGAAGATCATTGTTAACGAGAGGTTGTGGGCTAGAGGAGAGGTTTCTATGAAAATCGTCAAGCGCCCTTCGCTCCTTCCCTAACATTACACGCGGCGCAGTCCGAAGATGCAGCCATCACCAAGTTTCCCACTCCCCAGTGTCTTCCCAGGTCATCTATCATGGCCGTGTCAATCGCCCAGAATATGTCTTTGCCGAGACAGCGTATAGGACGGTTTGGAGGCTGTGTGACCTCAAGTGGTTGAAAAGATGTGCGGCTGCCCCGTCCTAAAAATGACTTTAGATGAAGTATCGGGCCAAGATATCTTGGCTCCACAGTTAAGATGTTCGACTATAGCAATCATAGTTCAATCCTTTAGAACCGAATGATCGGGTCTGCCCATGCTAAACTGGATTGTATTGCGCGTCGATGGATCCATCCAAGGCAGGACATAATCCTCATACGTCGTCTCCACATATTCAAAGCCAGCTTTCTGCAGAACCCTAATAGACGCCTCGTTCTCCGTATCGCAATAGGCCCTGAGTACATTGAACTCCGGCCTCTCGCGCCAGAACAACTCAGTAAACGCCTTTAACGCCTCTGTTGCAAATCCCAAGCCCCATGTTGCGCGATGGAAGACGAAGCCCAGTTCTGGTTCCGGATCGGATTTCCAGGTGCCGACCCAACCAAGAAACTGGCCATGGGCGAGTATATCGCTACTTCCCTCGACCGAGGCTTTTCGGCGGCGCCATTCTTCGATAGTCCCCGGGTCCAGTTCTGAGCGGAGGAAGACACCGTAGTTTTCCCCGTGCGGGTTGGCGTCAGGGAGGAGAGAGGACATCCATTCTGTTGCTGCTTCGAGGGTCGAGCATGGACCGTGCGAGCTCCAGCGTGTGGTGATGGGATCAGACCAGATGGCAAAGTAACCCGGGGCGTGTTCTTCACTTAGCCGGACTAGCTGGAGTCGTGAGGTTTGCATTGATTCGGATGTTTCGGTCTGGATTAAATTAGAGACGATTGTTGAAAGAGGTTTGATTTCCAAGACCCTGGTGGTAAATAAATGTCTGGCCTTTGGTGTGGATGAAACAGTGTGTGACTCAGTGAGGGGTTGCTTATGTTTGATACTAGTCCACTTTTGCTCCCCGATCCTGGTATCAACAATGGTTCATGATTGTTAGGATGATCCATGCAGTCGATCTTTAGATGGAAAGCAGCATATAGCTGGCGAGGTCAGTGATTAAGAAATTCTCCACGTGTAGAACTCTGCAGAAATCGCCCACTTCATCAATATCTTAGTTCTTGAACCCATCAAATGAAACGCAAGCTTCTGGAATTCAGGCGCTAGAACTGATCTGCATCGCGGCGATCCATTTGGGCACGGAAAGTGTCCGGTCCTGCAAACTGGCCCTGATACACTGGGTATTTAGCCTGATTGCTTTACCCCACAAAATCCAGTGATTCCAAAGGATCCGAAAGCTTGCTCTCTGGGGTTGGGGCTTAATCACTTCTGCAACACTACCGTGTCTCGACATGTATAGCTTCCGCTCACCCGACACCACCGTCGTTTGAAGGACATCATGCTCGCGGCTAAAGTCGAATTCACGGGGATTCTTCAGAGGGACGACGGATAATATAGTAGCACCCTGTTCGGAGACATGGAAGCTGTCAAGGCCTCGATTACGATTTGAAACTATAAAGCAGTGACCCTCCCCGATGCTTAAAATACCAGACAAGCCCAACTCACAAGATCCTCCATACCTACTTTGACAGTCGGTTCCAAAATGCATCTCAAGACTCTATCCCTCCTCCTCCTCGGCCAAGCCCTAGCCACCCCGCTCGAGACTCGCCAGAGCTGCCCTCAAATCCACGTCTTTGGCGCCCGCGAGACCACCGCTTCGCCTGGCTACGGCTCGTCCAGCACCGTGGTTAATGCGGTCCTCAACGCCTATCCCGGCTCCACTTCCGAGGCCATAAACTACCCTGCATGCGGAGGTCAGGCCTCGTGCGGTGGCGCCAGCTATTCGGCTTCGGTGTCTGCTGGAATCGACGCTGTCGCCTCGGCCGTGAATTCGTTCAATTCGCGGTGCCCGGCTACTAAGATTGTGCTCGTTGGGTACTCGCAGGTAGGTCGCTCAGACTGGAATTGTTATTGACTCCAGCAATAACGCGGTCTACACCATAGGGCGGCGAGATTATCGATGCAGCGCTTTGCGGCGGCGGAGTTCCCAACCAGGGAATCACCAACACGGCCGTCCGCCTGTCCTCGTCGGCAGTGAACATGGTCAAAGCAGCCATATTCATGGGTGAGCCGCTGTTCCGGGCTGGATTGCCATACAGCGTTGGCACCTGTTCCGCCGGTGGGGTACGTAATTCTTCCCCAAGTTGATTGCAAATTCTAATATATACAACTCGCAGTTTGATGCTCGTCCGGCTGGCTTTAGCTGCCCCTCTGCAAGCAAGATCCAGTCGTACTGTGACGGACCTGATCCGTACTGCTGCAATGGAAACAATGCAGCGACGCACAATGGGTATGGGGGTGTGTATGGACAGGCGGCTTTGCAGTTTATTCGGGGCAAGTTGGCGTAGGGACCTGATGAAGTTGGTCAAACAAAGGGTTATTTAGGGGTTGTACTACCCAGAATGTTTGTTCAGCAGGTCCAAGTGTAGCGATTAAGAGAGGAAGCCAGAATTGCAAAAGGACTTGATTTTGTCGCGAATAATGAGGGTTTCCTGGTCAAACTCTATAGATACACGACGTTTTCCATGAATCTATATCCAGAGAAGTGACATACCAAAGGCCATGCCAACTGACAACTTCACCAGTCGACTAAAAAGGTGCCACGACATCAGTCTAGTGACCAATGTTGAATATAGCTCAGATTTCCGGCTGACACCAACAGACCAAAGGCCAGTCCACGCAAGCAGACCGCGTGCATTTTTACCGTCCACTGTAGATGTTTTCCATACGAGTGTAAAGCAGCCCCACTCCATTTCTTATTTGGGACTGGTCTGTCGTAGGTCCGGGAAGATCACGTGCAACAGTGCGTTCCCCGCTGCATTTCGCGTCCCTGCCGAGTCTTTCTGTTCCCCACTCTCTCCTCTGCTGTGATATCCCCATCAGCTGCGATATCCATTGTTTGGTCAATTGAGCTCCTCATCTTTCTGATGAATCTATCGCAATGCGCCCGGCGTCGTCCTGCACACAGTGTCGGTACGGGTTGTTCTTTCCAATCCAATCGCCACTGACCAGCTGCCTAGTTCTCGCAAGAAACGATGCATTGTGCCACAGCTAGGAAGATCTTGCTCTCTCTGTACCAGGAAGAATTGGAAATGTGATCTTCTCAACACCGCCACTTCTTTTGACGGGCATGGGCCAGCTCGGGTTGGCCTGCCAGCTCGTCCGCCGCCCAGCCAGGAGGTCGTCCAACTCCCACAGCCGCAAACTACACCAACTACGCCGGCACGGAGTCCAAATCTTCCTCCGCCTGCCATCTGCAATGAGCTCGTCGACATCTATTTCGACCTGATCGATGAAAAACAAATCATAATGTTTCACCGCAATACCTTCATCACCGCCCAACGCGCCGGGCAGGTGCCTGACTTCCTTGTACTGGGCATGATCGCTGCGGTGGCCAGATTCTCCAACAATTCCTTCTTCGACGGTATTCATCCGTGGGATAGAGGCAAGCCGTGGCTAAAAGCTGCCATACAAGCCTTCTATGCTCGGTCGGAACTGATCGACCTTGCCTCCCTGCAGGGAAGCATTCTACTATCTCACGTGGCTTACGTGGAGGGGGACTCCGCACAAGAGGCACTCCTGGCCTCGCAAGCGATCCGTATGGTACAAATGCTACGTTTACCAGAGAATCTAAGTCCGGATCCTATCCAGCGCGAGATCGAAATACGAGGTTAGTGCAGCACGTACCATTGACTGTTGCCTATCACTAATTTACTGGCGAAGCCTTTTGGGAAATCTGGATGATTGAGCATTGGGATTCAGGACGCACTCAGATACCAAGACAACTTACAGTGAGTCCGAACTTCAAGCGGCCACTGGAGGAAGAAGTCTTCCGTAATATGGACGCAAGCGACCCCCCAGAGCGGTATTCTGAAGCGAATATCGAAGCCTCGGGCCTGCGGCAATGTGGCCTATGGAGTTCTATGCTTGCAATGTCCGAGATACACCTTCAGGTCATGCGATTCAATGACGAGATAGTCCAGAATCTACTCAGTCCAGTCAACACGAGGCTGCGGGTCAGAGAGATAGCGAAGATGTTGGATGGTTGGCTTCACGGACTACCGAGTCACCTTCAAGACACTCCAGAGAATCGACACCGTTATGCTAGCCGTGGGCTTGGCCGGGAATTTGCCGTTCATTGGCTGGTTTACCATCATCAATCCCAGTTATTGTATTACCAGTTTCTCAACCAAAATGTGGAATTGCCTGAGGGTTGTCCAGACCATGAAGCTTCAATGTATGCCGATCGATGCAGAATGCATGCGGCGGCGTTGAGCCAAGTGATGTGGGATACACATTCGGTCCCTGGAATGGAGTGTCTCTGGTCCCCTGTCAATGGACACCTCCTGGTGGTCGCGTCGTCTATCCTTCTATATACTCTGCTGTTCGATACGGATGATAAAAGTATCGCCAGAGCAAGGACGCTACTCGAGCAAAATTTCATCATCCTACTTCAATTTCGCAAGTACTGGTCCTATGTCGAACTATCAATGACCCGCTTACGCGCTTTCCATCGCGCTTGCCAAATGAACAGCACGAAGGAGAACTTCAGTATAGATCAGTGGATGATAGATTTCCTGAACCGCTACGATGCACAGATATCGGACAGATATAGCGACGACATCCGTCCGCCGCCCTCCGACGCCCAGATCGCGGGTGGCAATGCCCCTTCCGTCGACCTGTGGCTACAACTGTCCGAAGTCCGCCGTTGATCCTAGACACCACCACTGCTCATATCTTGCATCCCAAAACTGTTCTACCAGAGTCCTCTTCTTAGCGGTATGTTACAGGTCCGCCACAGCTCCTGTAACCCGAGTCTCCACCAGAACGCCTCATCATCGAGGACCAACGATTAAGGATTAATCAACTTCGGAATCATGGATAGAGCGAAACTTGCAGCATTAATGACTGATCATCTCGGTCATTCTAGTCTATCGCTCGCTACCAATATGCTGGCTTGCTGCACTAAGAATGTCTAGAACTGCTCAAACGCCTGGCCCAGACTGTCATTCCACCGTTGCCTCCTCTGTTTGCCCGCAGGAAATATGGCACGTAGAGCAGGCTCTTCTCATCGCCGTACTTCCATGGGTCTGACGCATAGAGCTCGGGTTTGCCGTTTACCACCTCCCTCCCCGTTGCCCGGACTGGAATCACACCCTTTACTGCTGCGATGTCAATCGGCTCGGCATCAGTCACAGAATCGTCGCATACACCGACATGGTCGATATCAACCTCGTTATCGACGTCCTCGATGCAGTATACCAATGGTCCACGCATGATACAAATTTCATCCTTTCCCAATGCTGGGTTGGGATATATTTTCCGCGCCTTGACTGTGAAGGAGAGGTTGACTTTTAGGTTTTCGGTCTCGGGAATGTACAAGTAACCCGACTTCACCTCTCCTTGGACTGAGCTCGTGTATCCTTCTGCCCACGTGGGAATCCGCAAGGCCAGTGCCGTTGTTCCCTTGACCCTGATCTGGACATCTCCGGACCAAGGCATGCTCGTTGTTTGGGAAACCACAACATCCGTGCCAGGAACTGAGACTTCGCTTTCAATGTAGAGGTGGATGGCGACAACGTTTGCTTTTATCGAGTAGATGAGCGATCCCATAGAGGCAAGCAGCTTTGCAACATTGGGCGGGCAGCAGGCCACTTCAAACCAGTTGCTTCGCTCTTTCCCGTGACCACCATACGTCCTCAACGGGTTTTCGTAATAGAACGACCCGCCGTCCAGGCCAACGGCGCCGAGGAAACCATTATACAGCCCAATCTCCATGACATCCGCATATTTGACGTCTAGCTCGAGTTGAAGCATGCGTTGACACCAGAGGATCAATGCAAAGCACGCGCAGGTCTCTGCATAACATGTGCCAGACTCTTCTGTATCGCCCAGCACATATCTGCTACCAAACCCTTCCCACTGCCGCATCGCACCAATTCCACCGGTCACGTACAGTTTTGTTTCCGTCATGTCCGTCCACATCCGATCGAGCGCGGCCTTGATTTTGTCGTCTCCTGTCAGGCGAACAAAGTCTGTTGCTGCTATAAAATAGTACATGGCGCGCACCGCATGGCCCTTGATCTCGGTAGCCTCGATGAGGGAGCAGTGGGACTGGCTATAGCTATAGTCCCGAGGATGCCGGAACCAGGCTTTCATCTCATCTCCCATGTGGTCGTACGGGTCTCCACCGCGGGCTCTGGCTTCGTGGTCAAAAAATGTCTCCCCATTGGCGTCACGGTAACCGCGTTCACAAATGAAGTATGTGGCAAGCTTTAGCAGCACAGGCTCGGCGCACAGCTCGTACAGCCTCAAGAGCCCAATCTCGATCTCTTGATGCCCCGGATATCCCCTCTTCTTTCCTGGTTCCGACCCGAAAACGCTGTCCACATGCCGAAGGGCCTTCAGAACTGGCTCCAGGAGTCGACCACTGTTTGTGAGCGTTTCGTAGGCTACACAAGCCTCGGTCAAATGGCCGAGACAGTAGAGCTCATGCATATCCCGGACGTTTGTCCATCGCTTGTCGATGCCTAGCACGGTATAGTAGGAGTTGATATATCCGTCGGGATGCTGTGCGGCGCGAATCATATCGACGGCCTCTTCGACGGTCGCCATGAGTTCCGGATCTTCGTTTTTCATCAGAAAGTAGCACGCAGCTTCTACTATCTTATAGACGTCACTATCCCAAAACGGCTGACATGTACAAGTTAGCTCCGACAGGCATGATTGTTTCGGAAAGCGTGCTGGGCTTACATGCGGCTGAATCTCGTGGCCTTCCTTCCACGTCAGACAATACCAGTGCTTCAGTGACTTTTGTGCCTCGATGATTGCAGGGATTGTCTTCTCCTTGGAACAACGTTGCATCTGCGACCAGAACCCGGACGTGATGTCGACGCTGCGGACGGGAACTTGCTGGAAAGCCATTTTCGAATGGGACGCGGCGGAACAGGCTTGCCAAAGGATGGAGGATGGAGATGTATGGGATTCGAACTGGGAGCAGGACAACAAGGGTGCCTTTAAATCATTCAACTTCCCTTTCCCCCCGGTCGAGTCTGACCAAAAGTAAATAAGCCATTAGCTCGGCTAAATGATAGCTATGCCTCCTCCATATCGGCAAAGTCGAGTGCATGAACTCCTTATCAGCTCCGGAGTTTCCCCCCGCATTGCGCAAAGTGGAAACGTCGGCGGTATTTCACCATGATTGGCGCCCGTGGCGGGAAAGGGCGGGGTCAACCTCAACGCCAGCCCGCAGATGGCCGTGAGCATCTCAGGATGCCAATTCGCTAGATGGGCCAAGATTCTTCGACTTTCAAGGAGAGCAACATTACCCGATGGCTGGGGACTATCACTGTTTAGAAAAGTTGTGGTACGCTCGCTACTATCGGTATAGCTTGGAAATTCTTGGCTCAGAGCAATGGAGTCACGGTATATTCATCTCAATTGGTTTATTCGCCGACTCTATCCTGCAATTCCAACTACAACCCTACGCAAGCGACTGGCACAGATTCAACGCAACACCACGCCTTTACACTCCATTTCCGGCACACAGTGTCCGAACTAAGCAATCTCATTGTGCTCCGTCTCTCCCTTGGACAGGTAGTCTCCCCCGTGGGCAAATTCTAGCCAGCAGTCAGTACAAGATTTTACACCAACACGCGGGCATTGACATACGATCCACATGGGTAGACTTGAACTTCCTTGCCGGGACCCGGTGAGTGAATAGCATGTCGATCTCGCCAAAGGTACGATCTTTTGTTTCGGGAAGTCGAAACCAGCACCACATGTTGCAAAGAAGATTTGTTCCAGCGTAAAAGAATGCCGTTTTGGCACCCCAGTTCCAGGCTTCTCAAGGTCAGTCACGGTCTTGTAGGCACCAGGTATCCGCTACTTACATGTCGTCGATAGCATGCGTGGGGTGACAGAGTTAGTAAAGATGCCGGTGACGTTGTACACGAACCGTCCGATGGTAATCGTTTTGTACCGCAATCGCCCGGATGGCGTCTCTGCAACAATCGGGTAGCAAACTGGTCCGATGGTGATCATGTTGCACAAGGTGGAAATCACAAGGAGAATGCCGATGCCCAGCTGTGCATCCGTGCCTGGACCCCAGGAGAGACCTCCGATTGTGACGAGACAGCAGAACATGAAAGTCAGCCCACTCATATAAATCGTCGCCCTCCCCAGGTGTGGGAAGAGAAGCCAGCAGATCATGCCACCAGCGATATAACAGGTTGATAGCGAAATGTTGATGTTGAAGGCCTGAATCTCGCTGAAACCCGCAGCTTGGAGGAAGACCACTGCGTAGCCAAGGATCGCGTTTCCGCAGAGGATTTGGGCGGCCCAGACGACGCAGTTCTAGAGGCTGGGATTAGCTTTGCAAAACCATTGCTCGGGATTGAAGGAAAATACGTACAATCTCTGTTCGCCGCAGATTGGTCCCTTTGAAGCATTCAAGAAAGCTTGCATCGGCTGATTCCAACTTCTCCATCTCAGTGGTGTATTTGATGTATGCGAGGGCCTGTTCCACGCGCTGTTCTCGCCCCGGCATATCTTGATACAACCGGCGCAGGCTGGTTCTCGCCTCTTCTTCGTTATTGCGACGCACTGAATTCCAAGGTGACTCCGGCGCAAAATAGGCTCCAATAATCAGAGGAATGGGCCAAATCCACTGTAGAATGAATGGAAGCCTCCAGCCCATGTCACCTTTCAGACTGGCTACGGCTCGCACGACACCCGATGAAAGAGTAATTCCAGCGCCCCAGCACATGCAGACGTATGCAGTGACATAGGGCCTGAGGATCGTGGGCACCACCTCGCAAGCATATGTCGTTGATAGTGTCTACCCGGGTTAGAAGCCTGTAGTATTGTCTTACTGTGCCAGAATCCTACCTGGAACACGCCCCAGGAAACACCACACATGGCTGCTCCAAACGCCAAAACCGGGAGTGAGGGGGCAAAGACGGGGATGAAAATAACGACAGTCATCCACGCCATGAAGAACATCATCGTCCGGCGGCAGCCAAATCGATCCTGGCAGACTGCGTTGATCACTAGCCCGGCCAATTGGCCAACCAGGGCAGAATTCGCGAGGCCGGATTGCCACTCGGCCGGAATGAGTTTCTGTTTCGATGCTTCATCGTATACACCAAATCGTTCTTTGAACTGGGTCTGACCGTAAAAGGAGCTGACCTGGCGTTGGACTTGATTAGCGGGGGACGAACAGAGCTGAATCTGAGGATGGATTCGCTTACTAGCACAAGATCATAACCCTCCATGACCAGACTTGTCGACAGAAACATCGCCCACAAGACCGCCTTCTTGTACTTGACCACCGCTTGCCGGATAGTCAGCTTTCGGTCTTCTTCGTCGCTCTGTTGGGCCTGGCGGATAAGATCCACCTGGGACCCTGCTCTCTGGACCTCCTCGACCTCACGGTCAGAAGGTACAATGCGTTGTGCTGTCATGCTCGTGGTGATATTGTTGATTGCAGTGGGACTTGAGTTGAACTACCATGTCCTTCTTGAGTGGAGCCCATCCGTGGTTTATATACGCGAAATACCAGGATATCCGGAATTCCACCGCCCGAACGATTGGCTTACTGGACCAGCCCGGTGGTGATGCGGTTAAAACGAGTGCTCTCGGATAAATGTGCGTCGTTCAAAAGCGAAATCATGGTCCTCTTTGGCTGCCGATGATGGAAAACCTCAACACTTTCCAATCACGTACAACGCCTGAGCACATTCCCCGCAAATCCATAATCTGCCATGTACTCCAAGTGGAATGCGGGGAAGGGCTGAATCCCGACATGCCAGCCAATCATCGTCCAACAGCCCCGACAGGTCCGCAGCCAGCGTCAAACGCAATGATCCTCCCTGCTCCAGATCCTTCGCGTGCACCCTATGGGCTTCCAGATACACCTATTTGGTAAAGGAATTTCCCTACCCCAGGTTTCGGAACCAGACCGAGTCTTCCAGGCTGCAACTCCTGGCGCCATCTCTGAGAGCATCTGCTGCGCGATGCTGACTCTTCGCGCCTCGAAACTCAGTTAATATGCGGTGGTCTCGTCATCGGATAATGAACGTTCCGAGGGCAGTGTCAGAGACAGGGTACCACACCAGGCAAGAAGTTGCCCTTCCGTGCAAATACCTGTACCACCGTTCTGCGCGGAAACGCCTTAGTCACACGGAGGTGTTTTGCTAGGCCGGCGCAGACTGCTTTGAAAGGCAGTCCATTCAGCTGAGACTTTCTGTGATCTGTTTAGAGACCAGGAATTACCGGAATCTTTGGAGATACGGTGTGCGGCAAGGTTCTTACAGGAATATACAGAGAGGTAAGGGAGCAAAAACGGGAAGTAGACTGAGCACAAGCGTGTTTAATGTCGCCCAAGCTGAACCAATAGCTCTAGGACTCCAGTGTCATATTCCCAAGCGGTCCCCATGTTCACGATGATTGGGGCACCCAGCAAATTGAACATGAATTGGGCATACATTTCATTGGTTGTTAAGGAGAAGAATGTTCATCAGGCCTTCTCATCCCGACAGAGGTATGTGGACTTATTATTTATGATTTCTATTATACATCAACGTGTACAGCCTTTTGATATTGCAACGTCGTCTCAAACAGTGTTCACGAGGTGGGTCGTCGTCCACTTTGTAAGGGAAGTGGCGAGTCTGAATCATAGGCATTGCCAGCCGAATGCATGCCAGAATTCCGAGACGTGGTAACTATATCATCATCACCCGAGACTACTATGGTGGGCGAAGCTTGACTTCCTGGGATAGTGAAACTGGAGCTAGACACGGATGAGACAGACGGGCTGCGTCCCAGGGAAACATGGTGAGAGGGCACCGGTACTTCAAGGGTGTTTGTACGCTTGCGTGGTTTATCGCGAGGGTCGTCAGCCGAGGAGCCACGGCCTTTCTGCGACTCTGACGAACCTCGAGCATCGCTCGATCTCGAAGGCGATGGTGTGCGGAAAGGGGAGGGAGACCGGGATCGCGAAGAGCGCGGAGAATTACTGGTAGAAGCCATACTGAGATTCGAGCCCTGTCGGGATAGCGATATGTTGCGGTTAGAGTCGCGTTTGGGATTATACTGCTCTCGGATTTGCTGGAGCGCTCCATTTCTCTGCTGCTCGGCCGGGATCTCTGGGAAGTCCGAGGCCGGTCCTTGCTTGAATTCATAATCATGAAGACGGTCGTGCGCAGCGTTACTCAAAGAGATCCCCAGCCGGATAAGGACTCGTCTGATTCTGCGCCGGGATCCAAAATCGGGGGTTGGGGTTCGCGCAAGCTGGGTATGCATGCTCCCCGGAGCCGATGTCTGTGGTTCAATTGCTATCTGTGGCTCAGTAGCAACTGATTCAGTGCCTGCTGAACTAGGTCGTCCTTCTACGCAGATTGGCTCTTCAACCTCGGACGAATGGCAGGTACATTTGCACGGTGACGCATTCCGATTCGCATCACCATCACCCGTGAGGAATAGGTACAACGACCCGAGAACTGCAAACGCGGCACCAGCTATGGGTGCCCATTGGCCTAGAAAGCGTCAGTACATTTGTCTCGTCAACACTATGGTCGGGGACGTACCGATGCTAGATATACGTTCTGTTCCATAGTCCACCGGATCGCTGAAGAAGTTCTTCTCCCCCAGAATGAGGATGGCCAGCACCGCAGCAGCAAAGACCGGAGCTTCGACGGTGCTCAAGACCGTCCTGACCAAATCATTGATGTGCTGCATCATCCCCACAGTCGCCTTTGTACCTTCAATCCGCTTGTCGGGCTGGTCCGCCCCACTGTTGCCATCGAATCGGGATTTCCACGTCTCCTGGAGTATCAATGACCAGAAGTAGAGAAGCGACACGATGGCCGGTATACAACATGCGGCCGCAAGCAGCGTGGCCGTACCGAATGTGAGCTTGTTAGGTGCCGGTACGACGTATATTTCGTTGGTCGAGTCGACACGGATCGGAGAAAATGGACCGTATTCGACGGAACAACGAAGGTCACACGTTGCTCCGTAGGGAAACTTTGAGATATCGGAGGCAAGGAGGGTCCCGTTGTCGTCATGGGTGCAGGTCGAAGGCTTGACGCGGAAGAACTCCACGGTGATGCTCAAAAGTCCTACTTGCTGTTAGTCCGTGGTTGGCCTGTCCGTAAGGGTCCGCCTACCAGCAAGAACAAGACCCGTCCACAAGAAGATGATGTGTCGCCTTGGGTCGTTGAAGTAAGTGCCGGACATTCTCGCAGTGAGAGGAGCAGTCAGGATTCCAATCGAACAAAGTTGGAAAGCACCGTAGACGTCCATATCGATGGCTCCATCCACATGCACTGCTGCAAGAACGATCCCGTGAAGAGCTGCTATAGCGGGAAAGAGCAGAGCACCTGCCAGGCAGGCATTCCTGATCCATTCCTCTTTTCTCGCGAAAACGCAGGCGGCGATCAGGACATAGTACCTTTCAAATCACGATATTAGCGCTCACTCATTCAGGTCAACCAGGCAATAAAGCAAGGCGACTTACAGTACTCTTGTTCCAGGACCATATTGGCCAGATACTGGCCACGCACAAACGACTTCCAGTCCAAGATTAGTCGCATTCGTGGCATTTCCGGCCCCTTCGGATCGGGGCAGGAGGGGGAAAGACGAGGGAGAAAGAGGCGGCATCACTTCATGTCCCCTCCCACGGGTATACAGAGGCCAGGAGGGAGGAAATAACTCGCATGAGGGGTGAAGTCTGAGTTGGTTGTCTTCACAGAGGTTTACTCAAGCTCGGACTATATATCTTAGTACGATTAGGCCTCTGGTGAACAAAGAGCAGGGCAGCCAACGAAGGGTCCCAGCGTACCTCGGGAAAGACCTGGGCAAACGCCAAAACTTGAAGGGTCAAGAGATCAAGAGACGTCGTCATGAAGAGCCGCATGGTCATCATTTAGCCCCTGCCACGGGCGAATGGCAAGGCGTGTTGGCTCGACGCTCGCCTCTCCAGGTCGAGGAACTCGGGCTCGCATGACCACCTGCCTGAAAGGGATGCTTGTCCTCGTGGAGTTGACTCTCTGAGTCTGAGTCTCTGTCGGTCAGCTCCGCCTCTTCCTTCTAGAAGGCCTGAATACGGGGCAAAGCTGGGAGACCCTGGCCCATCGTCGCTGAGGAACATCAACACCGCCAAGACTGTCCGGGCACCAAAGTGGGGATCAACAGGCCAATCAGTCTACAATTTGGTCGCTAGCTCGGGGTTAGTCGGGGTTAGTGCAGCGTCCAAGCGGCGCCCGAGAGGCGGTGCAAGAATTCCTCTCTCGTCCCCCGCCTGCGACCGTCACAACAAGAAAAAGATGCCAGCCTTGAAGATCCATTCCAGCGCTCGACCCGCAACCGTGACAGTCCGGTTTTGCTTGCTCCGCCTCATTTTTGCAGCGGTGTAGATCCCTCAGGCAGGCATGCACAGTCGTCATTGATCACCCTCCTCAGGCCAGCCACCACCTGGCTCAAAATACACGCCCAAGGCCGGTCTCGTCTCCTCGTTATTTTCGCTCTCAGCTACCTTCATGGCTCGATATCGAAGCTGGGGGTTTTGCTATCCGTACAACCTCGATCTCGGAGGTTTTAGTTGACGAAACGCCGCGCAGTCGCACTGCATCTCAGTAGTGGGGTGCCCAAGAGCGTGGGGCTCCTTGCGTCGGACGTTATATATCAGCCTCTGCCTTCCTACTCACGTTCAAACGCAACATGGATCAAGATTTGGATACAAACAGGATTAAGGACTGGCGTTCAATCGTTACCTTGATTGTCTTTGTTTTTGCGAGTGAGTTCCCGGCTAAGCAACTATCTATTGCTGGTGCTCTCTAACCGCTGGTGTGACAGACATCGTCGTCCTTTTCCCCTTCCACATCCCCGTATACCTTCCACGATTCCTTACGAACGCCATTACGAGTGCTCTCACCGTGACGAGGATTATAGAACCGCGGCAGCATGAACCTCACGGCAGCGTGTTTGTGCGTTTCAACTTTCCCTTCAATTTCGTGACAGCGCCCCTGATCGCAGACCTGTTCCTCTTGGCAATACTGGCAATTGGACGCAAGGAAGTGCACGATGGGACTCTCGGCGCGGACAATATCTCACCAATCGATATCATGGTCTTTTTCTTGACCCTCGCATATATCGCCATTTCAATCGATGCCTCGGGCCTCATTCGATATCTGGCGTTCAAGGTGCTGCAAAAGGGAGGAAAGGTCGGGCATCGGCTGTTCTTCTACCTGTACGCCTTCTTCTTTATCCTGGGTAGCTTCATTGGCAACGATCCAATCATCCTGTCGGGCACGGCTTTCCTCGCGTACATGACCCGAGTTTCGAGCAATATCCTGCATCCACGAGCCTGGATCTATACCCAGTTCGCTGTCGCCAACATTGCATCTGCCATTCTCGTTTCCTCCAACCCAACGAATCTCGTATTAACGAGCGCATTCGAGATCAAGTTTATCGACTACACAGCGAACATGATTGTTCCCGTGGTGATCACAGCCATTGTCCTTTTCCCCTTCCTGCTGTATATCATCTTCGCGGATGAATCGCTTGTTCCACTATCAATAGAGATGCACGAGCTGCCCGACGACGCAAAAGGCCGGAAACCTGTCAACCCGAACATTCCCAACGCGCGAGGCAATGCCGAAGAGCAGGAGAAAGAGGCTGCGAATGGGGAGGAGGATAAGCTATTATCTCTTGAGGAAATCTTAAACCCCTTTCTCGACAAGCGAGGGGCTGCATTTGGCGCTGTTATTATGGCTGCGACGCTTATCACCGTGTTGGTGTTGAATGCGGCAAGTCAGGGACACACCCATCCTGTCTTCTGGGTTACCTTGCCCGCTGCGTTTGTCCTGTTTTGCTGGGACGTTGCATACGGGTGGCACCATAGGAAGGAAACACGCGAGATCGCACGCAAGGGGCGCGAAGACGTGGAACGGACGCGAACACAAGCTGAGCGAGCGATGGGAGATGACGAATTTGCTATAGACGATATCCAGCCGCAATCGACTGGAGCTTTGGTCAACCTCACTACGGGCATTTTTGATCATGGCTGCGAGCATGCTGCGTCGCATTCTGCTGGTTTGTCTGACGACCAGTCGACGCAGCAGCCGTCTCCAGAAGGCATTGATGAGAAGCAAGAATTGAGTCTTGCGAATGTCAGTTCTCTGTCCCCAAATTCTGGCTGCACCACGGAGAAAGTGCCACCACTGCCGGAAGAACCATCGCTGAATCTGCCGCCCCAGGGCCAACTGCAAAAGCTTACCTTGGAGTCCCTGTCGATTGATTTGTACCGGTGGCTTCAAGAGACATTTCCCACTGTCACAGCGGTGGTTTCTCATATGCCCTTTGCGCTCGTTCCTTTCGCCTTTGCCATGTTTGTCCTTGTTCAAGCACTGGCCACAAAGGGGTGGATTGAGGTCTTTGCATACGGATGGGACCATTGGGTAAACCGAACCGGAACCATTGGGGCGATAGGCGGAATGGGATTTCTCTCTGTTATCCTCTGCAATGTAAGCATGCAACCCGGATACGACTCCCTCAGAACTAACCTGTATAGTTTGCCGGAACGAACATCGGCACGACAATTCTCCTCTCTCGCGTGGTGCAGACCTGGCAGGCGATCCACCGCGCCAATGGGACTCCAATTAGCGATCGCACATTCTGGGCAACTGTATACAGCATGGCGCTTGGAGTCAACTACGGGGCATTCAGCACGGCGTTCAGCGCATCCTTGGCGGGACTCTTATGGCGGGATATTCTCCTGCGAAAGCATATTCGCGTGCGCAGCCTGGATTTCGCAATGGTAAACCTTCCTATTATTGCTATCTCTATGGCTGTGGGATGTGCTGTGCTTGTTGGCGAGGTGTATATTATGCGGGATAATACTCCCTACGATGCATGACGAAGATATGATATAGCTTAGACCTTTCATTTACTCGAGCAGCATACTCAAGGATTCTCCAACTGGGTATTCTGGAAAGTAATAGCCGACTCGGAGAGCAACCCAAAGATATCCAACGTTGTCAGATCGAAGATATCAGCCGTATCCCCGAGGATATGCCCGAACCCTGGGTAGCCCATCGCCCCTTCCCCATTCGTACGCTGGTTCACTCTTTCCCAATCCGGATCCTGGCCCGTAGACGCTCCCACGGTAGGCGCGATCGAGGTTGCTCCTTCCTCCACTGCTGGCGTCGTTGCCCCGACACCTATCCTCCAGCTGTTCTTTCGCATCGACTCTGTCGAGTTAGTCGTCCGCTGGATTTCACGCACGTACCGAACCCTCGCCATCAACCGCCGAATCGGCCGCCACATATTCCCCTTCCTCTCCGTCTCCATCGTACTCCACTGGTCGTACACTGCATTAACACACTCCCATGCGTGATCGCACTCTGCAGACGGAGGCCGCCAGCACAGATCGGCGAGGACAAACGCGACAGCGTGCCACTGGATGTGGGTCTTCGAGTGCCAAGCCCACGGCTGCACTTCCTTGTTCGTTAGCAGGAAGGCAGAGAGTTGCAGGACTTCGATGGAGTCGCGGAATAGTCGATCGCGGATTTGCCGGTCTTTCTGTGATTGCGTGAAGAGGACGGCCATCCACATGCGCAGGATCATTAGCCTCGCAACGGTGGATGATACGCGGAGGAAGGGGCTAGATGAGTCGCAGTGCTTGAGGTATTGGGTCTCTAGGCAGTTTTGGAGCTCGGCTGCCAAAGCTTCTCGATTGCGGGCGGGTTGGTTGTCTCTTAACGATGGGGGAGGCCTCGTCCGTGGAGCCAGGTAGCCGATTTTCCAGACGGCGCGCATGACCTCGCAACGCATGAGGCAGAGGGTCATCTCCGTGCCGCCGTCTCGCTCTCCTGGAGGTTGAGTCATCTCGGCGGTGATATCAATATCGTTGATGTTCAGGGGCATCTTTGTGTCGAAGACGCACGCGTGTACGATGGGCTCGCGGATCAGGTTTTGCGTGTTGAGCAGGTCCGCACGCGCCAGGGCTTGTTCCACAGCGAACCGATACGTCTCTAGAGCGGACGCTCGGGGAATACCCAGGAGATTCATGCACTGATCCGGGTCCATACTAATGACCGTTGAGTAGTAGATTGCGAAGAGCAGCGCTTCTGTATGCTTATCGATGGCACCCATTGCTGCGATGGCATCCCAGAAGATCCGGTCGAGGGTGGGCACATGGAAGATACGGACGGTAGTGGAGACATTTGTCTTGAAGATTTCGAACAGGGCCACAGCTTGCGACATGGGTGGATGATATACTTCAAGTGAGTGCGCCAGCGCTCGAAAGCCCATGATGGCCGCATTCGTCCCAAGCCCCTCCATGACACTGAAACCCTCATCTTCTTCGGAAGTCGTGGTGTGAAGTAAGTCGCGGAGTTCCTCAATCTACACATTTTAGCCCATTTTCAGACCATCCGCGAGCATACGTACCTCATCTCCTAAGCGCATCCATGGTGTACTACTGACATAGCAGCTCTGCATGTCATCGATGACCAGCCGACCAAACTGCTGTTCGACGGTGGGGTTCGATGTGTCTGCCGTGGCCTCGAGGGTGCTGCTTTGGGTGGCATTCGGGGATTGCCCTTCGATGCGCTTGACGATTGTTTCTAGCTTGGCCAGTTGAGCCAGAAGACGGGCTTCAACTGCTTTGCGTGGTCGCTTTGGGGCGCGCCCGTGGCCGGCGGGGTACACACATTGGGCCTCAACGCGGACGCAGTTGCCACAGGGCTGCTGTCGGTCGCACTTGATCTTTCGCTGGCGGCACAGTGTACAGCTACGGAGTGGGCGAGGGAAATCCATTTTGCGCTACACAGGTGAAAGTTGGGAAGAAAGGGAGGAGATGCAAAAGAACAATCGGTTCATTTAAGCCAAGCCGCATAGGCTTATGCGAGGCCGATCCCGAGATCGCCGAAGCGTCTCCACACCGCAGAGATACATAGTGTGGACACTGTCACGGTACACTGTTGATCACACCTTGCCGGAATTCTCCTCATGAGTGCTACTCGCTGCTTCCTTCTCGAGATCTCTGTTCTGCTGGTCACCTTGCGCTGTCGGAACCTTGCTGAACCCTGTGCGATACCACGGCAGGGAGAAAATGGCCCCCACGCTTTCCATGCTCCGGCCTTTACATTCAGGAAAGGCGAAATATACCCAAACTGTTGCGCAGCCCGTGAATGCAGTGAACAGGGCAAACGGTCCCCACGCGTGCATGGTCACCGTCATATTGGGGAAACCTCTTGAGATACCGAAGTTCAATAGATTCTGATATGTGAATGCAATGGCGACAATGGGCCCTCGCAAGTGCGTCGGACAAATCTCCGAGGCCGTCAGAGAGAATACTGGCGCCCATCCGAAACCATACCCAATGGCGAACAGGCAAATGGCAACAATGGCGACCCACGCAGCGGGAGAGGGCGAGGCCGAGTCGGAGACGTTGGCAACTCCCAGGAAGGCTGCGAGATACAGCAGACACAGTGTGTTGATGGTCGATCCGATAAGCAGCAGTGGGCGACGTCCATAGCGGTCAGTGAGGAAGAACGCATAGAGAAAGACGGACACCACTTTGATCAAGCCATAGACGGCCGTGAAGAGGAGGACTTGTTGAGAGTTCAGGCCGATGGACGCGAGAATTGTCGGTGCATAGTACGTGATTGAGTTGCCTCCGGACATGATGAAGAATGTTTGGATCAACAGAACGAACAATAGAAGATGACGCGTTGCCCCATCTTGGATGCATTGCCTCGCCAGAGATTTGAGGGCATCCACAGCCCGCTGGCTCTCAGTGCCCGTCTCCGCCATGCTCTGCAACTCTGCGTATTCGCGCGCTAGGTATGGGTCGCTTTCGTCCAGCCCTCCGCGAAGTCGGAACAGGCTCTCTCGCGCAGCCTCAACTCGACCACGCATCAACAGATAGCGTGGGCTCTCAGGGAAGAAAGCGTAACCGATGAAGAGGATAATCGACGGAATAAGCTGCAGCACCAAGGTCGTGCGCCACTGCCAACTTGAGCTCCCCGATATGACCTCAAGAGAGGCATAGTTGATCCAATAACTTCCAGCGACTCCAGCCATGATGTTGATGTTGTAAAATGTTGTCATCATTCCTCGCAGTTCACGGGGAGCCACCTCTGAAATGTACACCGGTCCCACGGTCATGCCAAATCCCGATCCCACTCCGGAGAGTACTCGACCGGCGAGTAGCTCAGCGAATGACCCGACATTGGCCGCCATGAGAATGGCTCCGATGGTGTAAAATATAGCAGAGGCGAGGATGACAGGCTTTCGACCACGGCGTTCACCTAGAGGACCCGACATGATCACGCCAGCGGTTTGACCCTATACCAACGGTGGCGTTAGTACCACGCATCAGCTCAAAGATCGAGTAGGACGTATGCACTTACAAGTAACATGGATGAGACGGCCCATCCTTTGTTGTCTGAGATTTGGCTGGCGGACAAGTTGGTCCAGGAGAAGTCGCGAACGAAGGGGTCCAGGCTCATTGCGCCAGAGATATTGGCAGTATTGAAGCCATGAAGACCACCGCAGTACGAGGCCCAGATGACGGCCAGCCAGATGTATAGGCCTCGAGCCGGTTTGGGAACCTTCTGAAAGGCACTGCGGTCGATACCACCGCCTGCTGCTGGCATGATAGTTTGTGCTTGCGCTGTAACAAAGCGAAGAATCAGAGAAGGGGGTTTGGATGGAGGTTGATGCTCAACTCAGGGAGGATTATACTCACCTTATATAGAGGGATATGTCATATTGATTACCTGTACTTCGCCTAAAGCAGCTCGGTCAACGGCCAACCCGCGCAACAAGCAGGCCCCCGGTCAGAGAAAATGCGGAGAGCGGGACGGATCCGCAGGCCTGGATGGCTCCGGGTTCCCACTGCAAGGGGTGGACAACTCCGAAGTCTGGGGTCAACTCCGGCCCTGGGCGAATCGGAGGGCCAAGATTACTACAGAGTATCCACCAGATGGGGTGGCCTTTACAAAGCGTTGGAGCATTAGAAACTGGTGTAGTATTGTCCTATTAGGCTATTGGGCCAACACGGTGGCTTTGATGTGGTTGAGGGCGCTTCCTGCGCGGAGCCACGGAATCTGGCCAGCGTGGTAGCTGTGGTTCAACTGGGCCTCCCAGGGATCACCCTGTAGGGGCTGGACTCGCATCGTCACCTGCGAGCCAGGCCGGAATTCTCCGTCCTCCACTCCCACCAGCGTAATGCGGTCTCCCTCTGCAATGCGATCATATGTTGCAGCATCCGCAAACGTCAGCGGAAGCATACCTTGCTTCTTGAGATTTGTTTCGTGGATTCGGGCAAACGACCGGGCAATGACCGCAACGCCACCAAGATATCTAGGCTCAAGGGCTGCGTGTTCGCGTGAGCTCCCCTCGCCGTAGTTATGGTCGCCGACGATGCACCACCGCACATTTCTTTGCTTGAGGTCGCGGGCCACCTCTGGGACAACCTGCAGACTCGAGGTGAGAGGGTGGCGTGTGTGTCCCAGCATGCCCGGATCGTCGACCTGGAGGAATGCATTTGTCGCAGTTGTGAGCATGTTGTTACTGATGTTCTCAAGGTGGCCGCGGTACTTGTACCATGGACCGGCTGGAGAGATGTGGTCAGTTGTGCACTTGCCCTTGACCTTGATCAAAAGCTCCATATTATCGGCGCATCCTGGCTGCCAGGCTGTGAATGGTTTCAAGAGCTGCAGTCGGTCAGAATCTGGCCGAACCACAACCGAGAGATCCGTACCGTCTACGGAGGGCTCTTGGAAGGTATCCTGTCCGCTTTTGAAATGGGAAGGAAGTTCCTGGCTGACAGGAGGGCTGAATCTGAATGCATTCATCAAGTCCCCGTTCACAGTGACGGCATCCTTCAAGGGATTGAAATCTAGTCGTCCAGCATAAGCAAAGGCGGTTACCAGCTCTGGCGATGTGACAAACGAGTGGGTTGCCGGATTGCTGTCATGGCGTCCGACAAAGTTTCGATTGAAGCTAGAGATGACCGAGTTTTTCTCCTTGCCACGCACGTCAACATCCTTTCGGTCCCAGGAGCCTACGCAAGGGCCACATGAGCTGCTAAGAACAACGGCTCCTGCGTCTCGCAATTCATCGAGGATGCCATCCGCTTCCGCCGTGGCACGGATCTGCTCACTACCGGGAGTCACCATGAATGGCGTCGGGAATTTGGCGACTCCGGCTGCTTTCGCCTGTGCCACAATCTGTCGTGTTTTATCCAGGTCCTCGTATGAGCTGTTTGTGCAGCTTCCCACCATTGCGTGGCTCAGTTCAATGGGCCAATCCTCTCCGGCGACAGCGGTGCTCAGCTTTGAGATCGGATGCGCCAGGTCGGGAGTGTATGGTCCATTGACATGAGGTTCCAAGGAGTTCAGTTCGATTTCAATGACCTGGTCGTAGTATTCATCCGCGCCTTCGTCAGCGGTCAGCAGCGATGCCTTCACCTCATTTGCCCGTTCGACAACGTGCGCACGTCGCGTGGCGTTGAGGTAGCGGCCCATCGCATCGCTGTAGGGGAATATGCAAGAGGTCGACCCAATTTCAGCAGACATGTTGCATATCGTCGCCATGGCTGTTGCGCCCAACGTTTGCGCTCCGGGGCCAAAGAACTCTATAACACGGCCTTTTCCTCCTGATACCGTCAAGAGGCCAGCGAGTTTGCAAATTATATCTTTCGTGGATGTCCAACCCTGAAGCTGGCCGGTCAGACGGACACCGACAACTTTGGGTGCGACCAGTTCCCATGGCATCCCCGACATCGCATCGACGGCATCCGCACCCCCGACTCCGATTCCCATCATGCCCATGCCTCCCGCGTTAGGGGTATGTGAGTCTGTGCCGATTATGAGTCCTCCGGGTCTATTAGAAATCATGTTAGCCAACAGACAATTTTTGCAAAAACAGGACTGGGTATGCTGACGTCGCATAGTTTTCGAAAATGACTGTATGTATAATTCCTGAGCCGGGCTTCCAAAATCCAATACCATATTTGCGCGAAGCACTACTGAGAAAATCGTATACCTCGGCATGTTCCCCGAAAGCGCGCCGCATATCCTCTTCGGCGCCCTTTTCGGAGATAATCAAATGGTCGCTGTGCACCGTCGTGGGTACTGCGACTCGTGGCAGTCCTGCGCTGATGAATTGCAGCAAGGCCATGGTCGCAGTCGCGTCGTGACAGGCCACCCGATCTGGGCGAAGCTCCAGTATGGTTTGTCCGCGCTCGATTCGGTCCACATCCCACGCGTTCTTATCCGATATAATGAGGTGGCTGTAGAGTAATTTCTCCGTCAGGGTCAATGGGCGTTTGGTTCCTTGCTTCACGGTCTCGAGGTTTTGAGCTTGTCTTGCGTAGTCGACTCCAAAGAGCTATACAAGCATTCCGCCTGTTAGCGCGAGCCTAAAACAAACATTCGGCGTAATACATACCGGGGAGATTGACTGATGTGTCGCAAGTCCTCTCCGGCGCGAGTTGCCGGCGACATGGCGAAAGACGCCTTCGCGCCGCAAGGATAATGGTATTCGCTGCATTCTCAGAGGAGTCCGGATGGTTAGCTCATTACAGAGCAAGTCAAAAGGAAAGTAAAGCTGAAGACAAAAGGCTATCGCGAAATAATCCCTGCCGTTCTGGTCGAGCTCTTGAGCGATTGCGGAGCTCAGGGTAGCTCCGCGTTCCAGACTTAGGGAGTCCGGAACACTCCGGCCGCTCGCACTTGACCAACCTCTCAATGCTCCGCGTCTCGGATAATCCAATAATACCAAAGCTCGCACTCTCATTGTGATACCCTTCACTAAACAGTTCCAAGTATACCATGGCTTTGAAAGCAGAGGCAATCCGTGCCCTCCGAAAGTTCGCGTCTTGCGATGTAGGTAACTGCCCCAGTCCGATTCCACGGCAAACTTCTAACAAGCGCTCACCAAAACAGATTGGCGATGCCCTTGTCAAACTAGGAGTTCCTAATGGCGGATACCTTGCCGGCCTAAAGATGTTTTCCCCGGGCGTCATGTGCACCAAAACTCGAATGTTCGGACCGGCCTACACAGTGCGCATGGTTCGTGATTCGGACAAGTCATCACCCACTCCTCCGAAGCACTTCGCAGACGCCATTCCCAAAGAAAGTGTTGTGTTTATCTCGCAGCCGAAGGGGTTGGTCAGCGCGTGTTGGGGCGGACTCATGAGTACCAGGGCCAAAACATTGGGGGCGGCCGGCGTGGTCATAGATGGTCGATTCCGAGACCTTGCTGAGCATCAGGAATTAGGAATATCGCTATTCGCGCGCGAGATCAGCATATTGGGTTCGGGAAGTTTCACCCGTTCGTCTGAGTTGAATATTCCGATCACATACTCGAGCGCCGAGGGCGGAGAGGCTGTTGTTGTTCGCCCAGGGGACTATATTGTGGGAGACGCCGACGGGGTTGTGGCTGTGCCGATTGAAAAGATCGAGCGCTGTGTGGAGCTGTGTCAAGAGCGGTATGATATTGATGAGGAGACTCGCGAATGCTTGGAGATGGGCGACGAGATGGGTCCCACGATCAAAAGGCTGAGGAAATGATAGCCGCCAGCCTCATACCATAATGCAAATGCTATTCATGCTACAGTATTGACCGGATTGATTTCGGTGCTGAAGGACTCTTGATGACCGGCCAGGCCATTCTCTAAATGTGAAGCGATATGTAAACGATAACGACTGTGCGGGACTCGTTCATCCGGGTAGACAGCTAAGCCAATATCTGTATCTCACGGAATTGAAGTGTCGAGGGAGGCTGAGAATGGATCCCAGCTCCAATCACCGTGCAGGTACTCTGCAAAGAAGTTCTCCATAACAGATTCCACGGGAGTTGTTCCATCGAGATCCGAATTTAGCCCGGCATCATATGGAAATATGTTAGATGCTAGTAGGTACGTGTCTTCGACCACAGGTATGGCACCGGGATCATCTTGTTGTGTGACAATATCCTGTCTCGATAATTGGGAAGCATCCACTGCAAAGGACATCGGGGCCGGTTCAAGTTCCAGTGCGGAAGCATCTGGTTCTCCCGCACGGAGCTGTCGCTCACGGTCGGCGTCGGTCTCAAGTTGTGGCCGCCGCCGTTTTGAAGGGTGGTCAGCATTATGCAAATAGCTCAAGCGCTTGATTGTCAAATCCACAATCCTATCAAAGTTGTCTTTTCCATTGCGCACTGAGGGCCACCATTGTCCTCCGATACTGAGAAGGTTCGAACAAACTCGAAGATCGCGGAGCGCCTCAGTAAAAGGAATCATCGACTGTATTTCAGGCGAGGCCCAAAAGCAGTATACAATACTTGCCCCGGACGAGAAAATACCATGGATATTTCGCCAATTATAGTATAGGTTTTCGTCATTGTTTAGATGGTTGTATATGCGAATCCGCTCACTCGAACAGCGATAACATTGGAGAAGTGCAGAACGTGGTGGTGATGGGCACGCTTGCGATGGTTGATACAAAAGAGCCAGAGCACCATGATATAAGACTTCTAGTTTGAGTCGTATGCGACGTGACCGGGGAGTCGTCTCTTCTCCTGGCATATCTGGTGAAGGGCAAATGTGCTTGAGCTCCGCGAGCCAGGTGTCAAGGGCAGACTTGATGCGCAGCTGTTCTGCTAAGGGATCGGTTGGCCAGTTAAATATCCCTCCACCGGTCGGAAGATGATAGAACAACATCTTGATTTCTGATATGTATCGATCCAGTTTGAAGCGATGGATGGTTACTCTCAGATCATCCGGCAACCGGCGATCCCACCCGGAGCCGGCCAGGCCAGCTGGCATCTGGATTGGCTCTTCAGCGGAAAGATCGGCAACTTCTGGCATCCGAATGTCGAAGGTTTCGTCACGAATACCGAGCGGGCGCCCCTGTATAGTTGAAATTGACCTACCAGCTATCAGTATTAACAGCGGGGCATGTCGGTGTCACTATACGGACCGGTCCAGATTATAAACTGTGTAAAATATAAACCTCCTCACGAGAAGAGACTCCGGGGACGACTCGGTAGGATTCCTTGGCTCTCGATGGAGGCCCAGATCAATGCAATGAGACATGGCCACATAAACCAATGTCCATATGTTGAGGTTGGTGGGCGCGATCATACCTTGCACCGTGAAAAGCAAAACGCTTTGTAGTGAAGGTACTGATATACTTGACAAGCACTCCGAGGCCGCACTAGCTGCGACTTTGTAGAAACGTGCTGGAGAGAACTCAAAATTTTTGGTTCGCGTCAGAAGCGTAGCAGCGAGGGAGAATGCCATAAACACATGCAACACAGCGGTGAAGATGGAGATTGGAGTAGCGTCCATGTCCCCAGTTCTGTCATACCGTCCATTGTAAGGGAATGGCGTCATATCCTTGGGCCATCCGTTGTGATCTACATTGTCGTAACCACGTTCTTCACAGAAACGAAGCGCATTATATGCGTTGAAAAGAGATGTTGGGTGAAGAAACGGGTGATCAATATGTATTTCCTGGAGGTAGATATTGAGCAACGTGTTGGCCTCTTCGGTAGAAGGAAGTTCCTGTTCCATCAGCGAACCCAGTCATATGAGCAGATATGAGACTCATGGAGAGCTATAGACATACCTTGGATAGTTTTCGGTAGAGCAAGCGGTATGTCTCTGGCGATGGGCCTTTACCAGCTTGCCGTTCGCTGGGAAGTGTGCGGTTGATTTGGGAAACAGTGCCAGTCGAAACCGGGCTCGCGGTAGAGAGCGCCTCGCTGTCGGCACCAATGAGGTTGGTGAAGAACAGCCCTGATGAAGAGCCTAGATAATGCTTTTGGCGAGAATCAGAATGAAGTGAGAGCATTCCCAAATCCATGGCAACCGAGCGTGCCTCTACAGCCGGTGGAGCGTCAGAGCTGCGATCTGAATCAGGGCGATGCATCACTGAATGTCCTCGCTTTCGAGTTGAAGCTGTAGACTGTTCTTGTGTACTCTGTGGCAGAGGTTCTGGAATGGCGAGGGGGAAAGCAAGAGACTCGAGCTGTGGCCCCTGAGTCAGATCAAACCCCGCGTCAAGCGATTTGATCTGTTGCTCCAACCACTGGATGCGGGCAACACACCGGGCCGCATAGTCGCGAGGGATAGAGCGATCATTATTTCGACAATCAACATCCACGCAAGACACACCGGCACGAGCACAGTTGGAGCAGGCTGGGATTCCACCGTCGCACTGAAATTTGAGCGTTAGAACCGTTTCTGATGTAGTGAGCGCGACAGCGACATACCTTGACCCGCTTGGCTCTGCATCGCACACACGCCAAGCGCACCTTCTTGGGCGGAGTGGGAGCAGCGCTAGCTTCATCCTCCGTAGGGCGCATCTGTGGGAGTGGGTACAGGAATGTAATCAAGTCATTCCAGTCAAAGCAACAAGCGACGATGCAGACTTTGGAACATTGAAGGAGGAAAGAACGACCAGAGCGACCAAAGAGGAAAGTGCCAAGACACGTCATGTGCCGTTGATGCCTGGGGCACCTAGCCGGGAGTCGGCCATTTCTCTCCAACCCGCCGACTCCGGTTCTCCACCAACCCAGCTTCATTCCCCAGACTCCAATGCCTCCCCGTCGTCGCGGTCCCCGGCCAAAGATCTCTTTCTGGGCTCGTTTCCTGGCATGGGTTCGCGCATGGCACTCTCCCCTCCGACTACGCAGTAGTCTCATCCGACTCGGTCACAATCACAAATATCCGTTGCTCGCCCTCCTGCGCCTGTTCGTGCCGTATCCCTCGTGGTCCTTCCCGGTTCCTGGTCCATTTCCCCTCCGCGCACTCATCGAAGACAAGAAAAACGAGACGGGTATCATTCGCTCTCACTTTGGCGACATCCATAACCTCCGCGCCATCCCGATCTGGCGTCTACGCGACACACCGCTCCGATCCGTCTACCGTCTCTACGAACTTCACCTCTCCGACTCTTATGAGCTTATAGGGTGGGAAACCGAATACTTCTTTTTTCAATCCAATTGGAAGATACGAGATATACCAGATCCGTCAGATCCCGACCCGCTTCGTTATTCTATCCTCGCGTCCATCGTCGAAGAATTGCATGAGGCTGTCAATTGGAGACTTTCCTTGGGCCTGCGGCGGAATCGCCAGCATGTCTACCGCGAGAAGAACAGCGACCCATTGCCGACCTTTATTCCCGAGGAACTTCCGCCGTGGACAAGAAATGTAAGTCCTCTTCATAAAGGTCTCCTCAAGGTATCAGTGCCCCCTGAAGTGCTCGATGCGGAGGGAAATTTGGTTCTTGAAGTGGGCGGGAAAAGTCTCAACTTTGCTCGTCGTAATATCGTGACGAATGCGGGATGGTTCTACACGATCTAAAAGTACCCGTGATTCAAGTAAATGCGATCAGTTGCTTGCATGAATATGCTCTGACATAACGGAGGCGACCGAATCATCTGTTCCAATCAGGAGCCCTGCTACCCCGCGTTAGCTTAGGAGCAAGAAACACATGGACCCTTGTCACCGCCGCCCCCGCCTTTACCTCCCACGTCTGATACCGTACATTCCTTGCATCAAGCGAAGTCCGGACGGTGAGCTTTGGTCATGACCGAGCGCAAAAGATACCTCGGCGCGGATGACTTCAATCAAGGTAATTCGATGGCAATCAGTACCGGGCGACGAGGTGCTAACCAGGTTTCTAAGGCCTTCGCGCTCTCGATCGTCAAATGGGTCGCAGCGCCTGGCTCACTGCATTCGCGCCGATCAGACTCGTCTCCGCCGGGGTATTTCTTGCAGTGACCTATCTCAAGAATCGCGACAGCACGGGTGATATAGACTACTTGATCGAACCGGAATTCGCTCAGGACAAGGACATCCAATATGCCCTAAAGGAGGCCGTCGCTTCCGTAGCAGAACAGCTTGCCTACAACGATGATTGGATCAATGAGGCGATGGCCATCTTTGTCACCAAGGAAGCACGAGAGTCTCTGTTTGAGCAGGCTGAGAAGCAGGATATTATACTGTTCAAGGGAGAAAACCTCGAAATCCTTGCTGCGCCACTCGAATGGTCTCTTGAACGTAAGCTACGGAGAATCTATACTGGGAACCGGGACCGAAAGGCGCAATTGGATATGGCTGATGCAGTTGCCCTTTTGAAGCAGTTGAGAGAAAGGAATAAAGGTCCACTCAATGCAGAATCCATCCGAACGATGAATCTCAACGGATTCGATGTGAGCCCTGATTATGGGACCATGCAGCGAGTGGCCGATGCCTATCGCAGCACATATAACGAGGAGATCTTCAACTAGGGTAGAGTCGACGCTTTGAAGGCTCGTGGACACGAAATCAGACAATCGTTTTGATTTGTATTCATTGAGGGACTCTATCCACCTATATTCCGATTTCTGCTTTAGTAGTCGCGTAATTCAGGGACGAAGTCCACCGAATAACTTGCTCGTATATGCTGAAGCTCACAGCTCCGGATATCTAAGCATATTAGCTTCTGCAACTGACCCTAATGGCTCGGACTTACACTCAATCTAGCCAGCCTCGGCGTCGTCCCACGCCACAGAACAGAAACACCTTCCCGTGATATTATCGACCGAAGGCAGTCGAGAGTTCCTGTATACCGTTGACGCCCATCCAGCGCTTGCACACGCGTTTTTATGGTATCAAAAGGCATCGTCGCATACACGGTCACGACTCCAGCCATCGCACCTGCGATGGCCGTCGACCCCGTTACAGGAGTCCCGTTGCTGGTCAGTGCCTGCAGATGCCCCAAGAAAAAGTTGTAGCTGGTGAACCGAACCATGGCGTTGGCGGACTGCTTCAGCGTCACCGGGACAACGCCACGGTAGAGCCCCGAAAAGCCTTCGGTAGATACCACCGAGCGCACTGCATGTGAAGCTGAAGTATACCGTTTCGGTCCGGATTGATCATCGATGATCTTGGTCTTGAGTGTCTCCCCTGGCGTAACAACGAGGACGCTCTCCGCTGTACCTGCTATCATTCCGGCGCATACGTTTTCCATTGCTGTGGTTTTCCCAGCTCGGTCTGTAGGCATCCATTGACGCGCTGTGTCGAATGCGAAGAACCGGACTCCGGATTTGCCTGCGTTGGACAGGCAGAATGCGGCGCTTCCGGTGTATATGTGGCGCAGACCATGCTGCTGGATTGTCTGGACAAGAAGGGTTGCTGGGTTCAGAGGCTTTCCGGCTGATACGGCTTGTAGCTGCTGTCGTGTTTTCAGATACTCGGTCGGATACTGTGTTGATCAGAAGGGTCAGCGTCGGGATGGTCAATCTGGGGTGGCAACGTACAGTGAGGAGGCTCTCGAACCCACCGGCAGCACCACCGGCCAAGATCGACTGCCACGGGGATGGAGACTGCTTTTGCGACATGAGTACCGTGCTGTTTGCTAGACATCGGCAACCACCACCGCCGATAACCCTATATAGTTCGGGCCGCCTCCGACCTGGACCTGTCCGGGCTACTCCGCATTCCGGGGTTTCGCCAAGCCAGGATCACTCCGTGCCCCATGGAGAACATATAGAGGACGCTGATAGAGTCGGACTTGGATCTCGAATAACGTAAACAGACCCTGAGATACAGAATGGACGTCGCATCAGAGCTCTTCCCCAACGGCGGTTGGGATGTTCACCACCACATTTTCGACCGTACGTGAATCGCTTCCTTCAAGAACTGATATACTCGTACTTAGACTAACTGAACCAGCCTCTCGATTCGCATACTCACCGACCCGCCACCTCACTCCTCCCCCAGCGACCATCGACCAATTCATTGCCTTCAAGAAGAAACTCGGAATCAGCAAGTCAGTTCTCACACATGGATTGTCGTACGGCTCCGACTGCTCCTCGCTCCGCGGGTTCGTCGCCGACCTCGGGGAAGGCAACTCCAAGGCCGTCGGCGTCATTGATCCCGATACAGTCACGCCAGACGACCTACACGACATGCATCGCGCAGGAATTCGCGGCATCCGCGTGAACTTATACCAGTACCGCGCCATGCACGACGTCGAGCTCCAAAAGGCAGCATTGCGCGCTCATGCATCCGCGATCCAGAAGCACTGTCCAGGCTGGAGCATGGCCTTTACACATACGCACCCCGAGTTCTGGACTGAGTTGAAACCGTTCATCGAGGAGGAGATTGTGCCTACCGGAATCAGGCTGGTGACTGATCATTTTGCGCTCCTCAAGGGGTCCAGTATGGCTTCGGTTGAGGGCGTCACGCACCAGCCGGGGTTTCGGGAAATTCTGGACCTCGTGCGCGCTGGACATCTTTATGTAAAAATCAGTGCGCCGTACCGGGTGAGCACGCAGGCTCCAGCGTATGAAGATTTGAAGCCTCTGGTCCGCGCATTTTTTGATGCAAACCCGCAGCGGGTTCTGTGGGGGAGTGACTGGTGAGTGCAATCGCGTCATGCTCTGTAGACAAGGCTAACAGCGCAGGCCGCATACGCCATTAATGAGGGTTCGGACGCCGGAGGAGGCACTCACAGAGACACCGTACTTGAAGGTGGATGATCTGGCGTGGCTGCGGAGTCTACGATCGTGGTTGTCGGATGAAGAATGGAATACGCTCATGGTGTCAAACCCAGCCGGACTGTATGACTGGTAATTGCATAGTGTCTGTTTAGCTATACAATTATGTGCATCTAGTGGCCGGCCGCCCGTTCTCCTGTCATTCTTTCTACCGCGTCTTTCGCCCTGCACCATGTTAGTCTTCCCTCTCAATGAAGTCCAAGGAGGTGCATACATGTCTCCCAACGCAACCATACAAACAGTCTGCCAAATACCGAGTCCAATCCTTGGAGTAGCTCCACGGTACAGCCCCCGAATCCCCGTCTCCTGGTAGATGTACCGGAACGCCTTTCCAATCGTCAAATCAGCCGGCCGACTAGGATCCTTCTTCATACTCTGCATCTCAACTCGGATGACTTCGATCGGCTGGTTCCAAGCAGACAAACCACCTCCAACCGAGGACGCCAGGATCTTTTCCCACGCGCTTAGTTTCCGTCCGTCATCTTTGCCCGTGACACGCCGTATGGTATCCTCGGCCAGCCGCGAGAATCCGAATCTGGATCCCCAGTTCGTAACCTGGCGAATTGCAACTGCATTCACGCCCTTGTTAATCCCGCGCAGCCCCTCCTTCGCATAGATATTTTGGAACATCTGTAGTGTACTGGGTGGTTTTGTGCCCGCGCTGGCAAGCTTCGAGCGTGTGATCTCGGCAGTCTTCATCGCGGTGCAGAATCCTACAGTTGCGTAGGCTTGCGCAACACCTCCGACCATTCCTCCTGCCATTCCAGCGAGTACATCTGCTGCGCCGTGGCGCTTCGCGTGATATTCGGCTTCTGAGGCCACGAAGAGGAGAACGGCGCCTTTTGAGGAAGCTTCAATCCACGCCCATGGGATCAGGCCTTGGTAGACTGCACTGTCTTAGTGGATTGTACATCGAGGTCCTCATAGCACTCACACCCAAGAAGACCGCCACGTGCCCAGACGCGCCGCATCGCCGCCGGAAACGAATCGGCGCGGTTGGCCGCCATGGTTGTTTTGACAACCTCCAAAGGCTACAGACTTAGCATGGAACGACATGAAGGGCGTTTGAAGTGTCATACCTGGCCGAGGGAGGTAACCCTGAATGACAATGTCAGTAACCTGATTGGCTATTTCGAGGGTCCACATACTCGAACATGTTCAGCGTGGCGCCAACTGGAGGCGAATTAGCATTGTGGCGAGTATGGATGGCAGAATCGCTCACGGAGAAGATTGCTAAGAGAGACATCTTTCTTCTTGATCTCGGCGTTTTGTCGCACTTGAGCAGACATTGTGGGCGATTACTGTGAAGATTCCTTGTGGTGTACATCGCCGGCAGTATATAGAGCTCTTCTGCCGATAATCGGACGATGTTCAACATGTTGTCAAGAGACGATGGGTCCAAGTGGAGTTGTTAATCAAAACCAAGGCCGACTTCCGACTATCGCTCGTTGCCAATGGAGCGCAACATCCCCGCAGAGGGAGATAGGTTAAAGGTGTGCTTCGGAAGTCTCCGGTGTGTTCAATTCTCGTGTATGAAATGAAAGGTATATGCCAGTGTGTAAGATTTGCCCAATTTACCCATCCAAAACGCCACAACCATGCAATCAGGAAGTATTCAGCCGTAACGTATCATCATCACGTTCCAATCCACTTCCACAGAGTACTCAGCAGTTGATCACGGTGGACCGGTTTGCCGATGCAATCGGTCATGCCCTTGGCAATGTAGCTTTCGGCGTCCCCTTTCAGCGCATTCCCCGTGATGGCGATAATCGGCATTTGCAACCCCAGATCCCGGATCTGTCCTGTCGCGACGAGGCCGTCCATGACCGGCATGGACACATCCATTAGCACGACGTCGTATGATAACGGTTTTTGCTTGATCATCGACAGTGCCTCGGAACCGTTCCAGGCGCCGTCAACTCGTGTGAAGCCGATGCTATGAAGTAGTTTCAACATCATGGTGTGGTTGACCATATTATCCTCCACCAGCAAGACGTGTTTGTGAGGTGCAACTGATCGCATTTCAGCGCTGAGGTCGCGGCCAACGGGTGTCGATGTAGCGCTGCGGGGCTTGGGGGAAGAGACAACCGATCGACCTCCCATCCTGGCGGTAAACCAAAAGACACTGCCTTGACCTTCTGGGTTCGGTGAATATCCTACTGTTCCGTTCATGAGCTCCGCTAAACTTTTGCAGATGGAGAGGCCTAGTCCTGTCCCCTGATATTTTCGGGTGGTTGAATTGGCGAATCGGGTAAAAGGAGTAAAGAGGGTATGGATCGCATCTTCAGGGACGCCAATCCCGGTGTCCGCGACTTCAGTCCTTATAGTAAAACAACCTTCATCTTGGTCGTCGGTAGTGCAGACGGTAGAGATCCGGACGCGGCCTTTCTCAGTGAACTTGACCGCATTTCCCACTAGATTCTGCAAGATCTGGCGGTATCGTAGCGGATCTCCGCGAAGACGCTTGGGAAAGTCGGGTGGGATGGATGTCGTCAAAACAACCTCGGGTTTCAACAGTGGTCGACAGTTCCGTACGACGGCTCCAACCACGTCGTTGACGTCCAGGACATCGGAATGCAGCGAGAAGGAGCCGGACGAGAGTTTCGAGTAGTCAAGCACGTCATTCACGATTTGAAGCAAGATCGACATGGAGTCCTGGATGATGTTGGCGTGTTCTTTCTGTGGCGGAGAGAGACCGGTATCGGCCAACATGGTCATGGCAATCTGCATTCCGTTCATAGGTGTGCGAATCTCGTGACTGATGTTGGCCAGGAAGTCTGTTTTCAGGCGCGACGACTCTTCAAAGGCGGCAATCATGCGCGCCTCGGCTTCTTTGCGCTCAGTGAGGTCGCGAGTGACTTTGACAAAACCGACGTGTTGGCCGAACTGGTGGACGGGGGTGATGAGCACGTTGGCCCAGAATCGCGAGCCGTCGCGCCGATATCTCCAGCCTTCATCTTCCATACGGCCCTCTCGCAAGCACACGGCGAGTGCCCGGTTCGGTTTGTCCGCCATGCGATCTTCGGGGCCGTAGAAGACAGAAAAGTGTCGACCAATAATGTCCTCGGTTTTCCATCCCTTCAAAATGGCAGCGCCCGAGTTCCAGGTGGTTATGTTCCCGTGGGTGTCCAGCATGAAGATGGCGTAGTCTTTGACAGTATCAACGAGGATCCTGTAGGTCTCGTTCATGTAGGCATGCTGCGTGCTGTAGGTCTCTTCGGAGAGCCTGAGGGCCTCCAAAACGATGTAGAGCAAGGTAGACTCGTCGAAGATGGGAGTGACGCGAAGGTTGTGTATGATCTTGCCGGGGGACAAAATCCTCTCGATGACCTGGACTTCCTTGGTCGAGCAGGCTGCGCGCAAGGCACCGTAAAGGGTAGGGATGTTGGGAGCGGGGATGGCGGCAGGGTCGATGTCACTGATGGTCGCGCGGAGCAGAGATTGGCGCGTTTTCCCAGAGAAAGCGAGATGGCTATCGGAGACCTCGACAACGGTCATGGAGGCATCGAGGACGATGGTGGGGGTCGGGGTGCGGCGGTAGATGCAGGCCAGCGATGGCGATGGTGACGGCGATCTCACTGGGGCATTTCCGTCTGGCAGAAGGGATTTTGCAGCTTTGGCGTGCTTCTCCTCAAGGGAGAGCGCGGACAGACGACCGTCGAGGAACATGGCGGCCCGTGTGGACTTACATGAAGCGCAGCAGGAGAGAAAAGGAACATATCCTCTTCCCTTGTCGTGGTGTGGCGGAAGGAGGATGTGACTGGTGGAAAGCGAGGCCGGCGACGAAACCAGTCATGACGCTGGACTGCCGCGTCCACAGGCGCATCCAGTTTCCGGCACGAAAAACCCCCCACCTCCGCCTCTGGATCAACTATTGTCCGTTCCACAGACACAACGAATTGGCACAGAGGAATCAATTTTTAGTACTGTTAGTCTAGACCTTGAGTTGACAGACACTGCAGAGACGGTGGATAAGGGGCAATCGACGATCATTCGACCGGTGCGACGAAAAGCCTGCTTTGTGGGGAAATATATTTCTAGGCGCTGTCCAAGAAATGGCCACTCCCTTGCCTCTCCAGCATATGCTATGACAACAACCAAGGTCCGCAGCTCATTTGCCAATTTGGTCAAGCATTCAACTGAGAAGCTTCCTCAAACACTTGACGCTTGACGCGTTGCTACAACGTGGATGCTTGACCTGCTGAGTGCTTTGGCAGTGGCACGTGTGACCGGAAGGAGCGGCCGCCATTAGTAGCGACTGGCGGCACAAGGTCACGTGGACCAGCAAAGATGCTAAGTTTCTGTTTTGCAACTTGCCAGTCAACTACCACAACATCCCCAGTTTCTTCTCTTACCAAGTACTGCCTCTGAGATGGGATTCTGTCCTCCATTCATTCAAGGCCCATAGTTCTCTGAAGTCATCTCCGAAATGGAAGAATGCCCAGTTTCGGACCCCCGGACGGGCCCCGAACCCGATCGGAAAAATCCCGTCTCTATAGACTATACAACGACCGATGGCCATTCTTAAAAAGGACAACTGCCCGCTTCACGGCTTTGAGCAAGTCTGAACAGAATACGACAAGAATCTATTCATCCATTCCAGATTCACACGCAGCAAAATGGGCTCCCTCGGACCTCAAGTCACAGTCAACTCGCCCTTCCGCGCCCGCGTCACATCTGGCCAAGTCACGCCGCTCATGTCCTTCAAATTCTGGACAGGCAACGAGGCCGCGCTGATGGCACGCATGGCCGGTTTCGAAGCGGCATTCATCGACATGGAGCACTCGGCTCTTTCCATCGAGTCCGTCGCGCAGTTTGTCATCGCGTGCAACATGGCCGGTGTTTCGCCCGTCGTCCGTTCCCCGTCCAAGTCACACTGGCATATCAGTCGGATTCTCGATGCTGGTGCTGCCGCCGTTGTTATCCCGCATGTTGACTCTGTCGCGGAAGTTCGGGAGCTTGTCAAGCATGCCAAGTACGGTCCGCTTGGGACTCGTGGGTCTGCGAATAACCAGCCGATTCTCAATTATGCATCTGTGCCGACGTTCGTGCAGACCGATGTATTGAATCGCGAGACGATGCTGATCCCGATGGTCGAGACGCCGGCTGCCGTCGAGTTAGTGGAGGAGTACCTAGCTGTGGATGGGGTCGATGGGATCCTGATCGGATCGAACGATCTCTGCACCGACCTGGGCATTCCTGGCAAGTACGACGACCCGGTCTATCAACAAGCTGTGGAAAAGGTCATCGCTGCGGGCAACAAGTACGGCAAGCCGATCGGCATCGGCGGGATCGGAGGGCGCCTGGATCTACTGGAGAAGTGGTTCGCAATGGGCGCGACATGGTCGCTCAGCGCTGGAGACGGCGCGATCCTACAGGCCGGGATGAAGGACGTTACGCGCAAGTACACGGAGATCAGCGCCCGGGTGGAAAAGCAGCGATCGATGGCTTAGCGCATGATTTATGATGTATATTAAATTCAGAAGAAACTACAATGGATATGAACCGCCGTCCCAGAGTGATATCCCCGGCGGGTTGCCGTACGCGTACTCGCCCAGCCCGGCTTCCATGCTCCACATCGTATCGTCCCAGAAGAGCGCGCCAAAGGAGAAGGCTTCCTCGGGTATGTTTCCCTGGCTGTCGACGGTCGTCAAATCGGTTCCACCTCCGCCAGTGAGGCTATTCGGGGTCGGCAACGGCCAGTCGCCGAGTGCTCGGGTGGCGGATGTTGGTATAAGCTGTGCATGGGCCAGAGGTTGGATGATCCCAGCGGCATCGTAGCTGTGGGATAGATCCGGCGCATTATCATTCCCGTGCGTCTGGAACCCGCTCCATCGCCCGCTCTGTCGTAGCTTCTCAAGCGTGTGTCGATATAGAGCCTCGTAGACAGTCACGTACTGGACCGCATCAGGCAACTCGTCGCCCATCCGCTTGAGGACACGCTCCGCCTGCGAAAGTGCGTCGACGGCCTGGCCGACGGTGGTTTGATCCGAGTCTGCGACGACCGAGAGGTAGAAGACTACCGACAAGCCGGCAGTGAAGAGGGTTTGGAAGTAGCTCCGCGTGTACGTGAGTCGCTGGCTCTCGTACAAGCGGCAGAAGACGGTGATTGTTCCCGTCGCGTATTGGGAGCAGAGTGAAAGCAGATCGCGAGGCGGGAGGTGGCCGCGGCGAGGCACCAGGTCCATTGCTTTCCGGACGAGGAGGAGGCGCTCGCGCATCCAGCGGAGATCATAGAAATCTTGCGATTCGTAGAGGCAACGGGGGTGTTCGAGGAATGGGACGGATCCCCGCCAGTCGTCCAGCTCCTGCAGGAGACGATAGAGGTTCGTGTATGTTCGGCCCGGGGCAGTCACGGAAGAAAGGCTCCCAGCGGCTTCAGGCGAGAGGGGCTTTTTGTACTGGAATAGGGAATGGATCTTGGATGTAATCTGCCGGAGACGGATGCAAAGGAAGAACACGGAGAGGTCGGTGGTCTCGACCCGGCTGCGCGGGGAGACCTGGAAGATGTCGAGATCTGGCACGGATCCTTCAGCGGCCTCGATCTCGTCGTCGTTGGCGTTGACCGGGAGGAGGACGCGGATGTCGCGGTCTGCGATGGCGAGGGGGCGGTCGAGGGTGATGGAGCTGTAGCGATCGATCACGTAGCATTCCCAGAAGACTCTGCGCTGGAGTTGTTCGTGCAGGAGGGACGTGCGGGTAGTTGGAGGCTGATGGAGGCCCTGCTCGACGCAGAGTCGCATGCATAGTTGGGTGATTTCCCAGATCGATGTCCCTAATCACGAACGTCAGTCTCGTTCCACTACGGAATGCAAAGGGCGTTTACCAATGTGGTGATAGATTCCAAAACGACCAATCAGTAAAAGGTTCTGGATTGACTCGAGGCCACGGGACAGGATCGGGGCTGTAAAATGATGCATGGCCGACAGAAAGTATCCATACGGATGGTGCTCATGTGTGCCTCGGCGGAAACCATGGATAGAACCGATGGCAAGGATCATAAAGGCGCGAAAGAGATCATGAGAAGCTGGCTGAGAAGCGGCTCCAGGGAGAAATACCCTCTGGTAGACATTTTCAATCTCTCGACGAAGGAGAAAGGGGTTCAGAACGTTGGTTCCGGTTAAGCTACAATGTTAGCACGCCTCCTCGGAGCAACGGGATCGAGTCGTACTAGTTATCAAAAACACCTCGCGCTGTCTCAGCCGAGGGAAGAGCGTTTGCAGTGATTGTTGCCTCGACCAGGCGGGCAGAACGAGAGAGATTCTGCAGCAGAGTCGGATTATGAGCTCGCCAGCCGGGGTCTGTGAAGAGAGGGCGCATAAAGCTGGTATTGTCAGAATGTGATGATGATAATAAGAAAACCGCGATGGCCATACCTGAGACCAGCTCCTTCGGTAAAAGTAGGCGAACTGTAAGCCGAGCGCGTGCTATTCCTCCTCTTGCGCTTGCCAGTGACGGGGTCTGGCAGGTCGTCGAGGGCATCCTGGAGCTCACCCTGGAGAGCCTTGACTCTCTGTTCCAGCTCGCTGATATAGCCACGCGACACAGGCTGGTGGCCATCCAAGCCAAGTGTGATGCACTCCGAGTCGCTCCTGACGCACGGGGCGCATTTCGGACGGTTGCTATCACACTGCAACGGTCAAAAGGGGCACATGTAAGGGGCTTGTGCCGCGACGGACCTTGATCTTTTTGGTGTAGCAGGCGTGGCAGGCAGGCAGGCGTGGGCGGCGTGGATCACCGGAGGGCATGGTGACGGTGAGGCTGGACAAGGAGTCTGGAGAGGGCAAGGCGGGGGAAATCCTGGCGGGCGTCGGACTTTGCCCGGCACTAAATGACTAAAAGGTTCTAGTGGCAAAATACGGAGTGGTTCTGTTGCTGATTATTGCGAATGCATAGAGTGTCTCGTCTACGTGATGTACTTGAAATCGGCCAGGATCGCCCGCCGCGCATCATCGTCCAGCCTGTCCATCGCCACCAGATCATGTCTATCAATCTCCCCCTTGAGCCGCTCAAACCGCCGATTCGCACGCTGCAAAGAGTAGCGGAGGCCAGCAATACAAGACAATCCCAAGATCTGAAACGCAAGAATACATCCCCATGACACCTGGAATGTAGGCCCGTACCTGTCCAGCCAAAAGTAGTTGGCGTACAGCGAGGCCAGGTTGGCAAGCGTATTGGCGATACCAATCGCCGCTGCACGCTTCACTGGCGGCTGCGTAATGGTGGATGAGAGCCAGGTGTAGGCGGTCGAGTAGACGCCAAAGGTTCCCGCACATACCAGGAAGGTGAAGGCGTATCGTTCCCACTGCAGGTGCTTGGGAACGGCAATGAGGAGCACACTGCCGACAATGGAGACGAGTTGAGAGAAGCCCGACTGTGGCGAACGAGTTTGGAGTCGATCCGCCGACCACGCGAAACCCAAGGCCCAGCAAAATGCAAACAGGTACGGGGGCGAGGTCAACAGGAGCACGATGGTGTTGTTGTCGAAGCCAATCTCCTGGATGAGGGTCGGGAGCAAGTGAGAAAAGGAAATAGATGCTGTAGTTGCCATTTGGAGGCAGGCAAACAGCCAGACGCGGTATTCACGCAGTGCTCGCCCAATGCCACGAGCCATGGGCACCTTCTCCTCGTCCAACAGGTCTGCACTCCCCGCGTCGACCGCAAGACGCCCCTGTGCAATCACACGTTCAGCATCCGTTAACCACTTGATGGTCCCTGGGAAGTCGGGAAGGACGACCATGGCAAGCAGACCCAGAAGAACCGTAGCAATTCCCTCGAGAATGAACAGCCAACGCCAGGCGGCCAAGTGACCAGCCCCTGCCATACCAGAGAGGATTCCGGCGGATATCAGACCCGCAAAGGCATTGGAGAGCAGTAGCCCGCAGATGAGCAGAGCCATCCGCACCCCGAGTTCCCGCTTAGTGTACCAGCAGCTGAGGAAGAAGATGGCCCCGGGGAAAAAGGGAGCCTCGACTAGACCAAGGACAAACCGGAGGACGAGGAGGCCCGCAGGGCTGCTCACTGCTGCAGTGCAACCGCTGACAATGGCCCAGATGATAATGCAGCATGGCTAAGTAGGTCAGTGAGCAATTACGGATATAAAGAGGGAATAGAGCACCATACCAGGTAGAGAGACGGACGAAGCTTGGTCATCAGCATTGCGGCTGGTAGCTGCATCAGGATATAACCAACAGAGAAGAGGGATATCGCTGTTTGATAGTGCGCCCCGTGAACACCAGTGTCGTCCTGCAGGCCATAGAGGCGGGCCTGAGTGATGGAATTGCGGTCAAGTTAGTTGAAGAGGTAGATGGTGACAATCAGGGGCAGGATGCGAGTGTCAATCTTACGCCAGAGCTGGGCTTCGGTCGTCTTGACAAACTCTTCATTGTAGGAACGGAAGACAGCCATGACATTCTGGCCATCAGAGTCTTCGGTCCAGGCCTCCTTGGGTGGATTGGCCTCGGCCATGTCTTTGCCAGGAGTAGAGGAGTCTGGAGTCATCTTGCAGCTGCGATACATCATGGCAACTGCGGCATGGCAGCATACTTGCTTCTTATACTCCAACTCTGAGAGCAGGACCCATCGGAAAAGTCCCGGCCCAATTATCAGCGTCTACAAGGACAAGCATACTAAGCAAATGCCCTCTGCGGATTCTCGCAGAGCATCTTCCTCCATTGGTCCTCGGTCAGCCAATCTCGCAGCAGTCGCAGCTCCGTGGCCACCTCGTGTGGGCCTCGCAGCGGGGGGAGGCTGTCCCCGCCAGACGTGGTATCGCAGTGCGGCCAGTCACTCTTCCAGAGGAGGGCATCCGATGCAGCTTGCGCGAATCTCTGGACAATTCCCCGCATGGCCTGGATATCCGTTGGACTGCGCCGGTACAGAGCGGAGATCTTGACATGCACTCTCCCTGACCGGAGTAACTCCAGAAACGACTCCAGATCCGCTCCACCGAGGTCGGCCGGCGTCGAGCAGGCATTATGGTCTGCAATGAGACGCAGCTGAGACAGCTCCGGGTCCTCCAGCAGAATCTCGCTTAGGGCCGCCCATGTCTTGAGCGGCAGTTGGGCGGAGATGGACCAGCCGTGAGTTCGAACCGGGTACGACGCAGCGAGCGATCGCAGGGTCCTACAGATGGCAGTCGGATCTCCTCCAGAGCCTCCGTAGAAGCCGTGAACGCGAATCGATCGTACTCCGAGCTCGTGAAGAGGGTCGAATGTTTTGGCGGCCAGATCGTCGTCCCAGTTGCTCTGCTGGGCGATAGTGCCTCGAATGGTCAGGGCAGGGTACTGCTCGCGGAACCGCGTAAAACTGCCCAGCAGACCAGCATGTCCATCCTCGACGGTTGCCTGCACAAGCATGACATGAGAGGTCGGACTCTGCTGGACGAAGGATGCTAGTGAAGCGGGGTGCGTTCGAGCTTGAAGGGATGCCTTTCGGGGTCAAAGGAGTGGATGTGACAGTCCCAGCTGTCCGAGGGCATGTCCGGCCACGTGGTCCAAAAGAGTATGACTGACCATGTGTAAGAATGTCAACGGGTAACAGAGTGTCTGATATACCAGCCGGAGCATGTCCGACGGCGCGGGGAGGCCGGATTTTCCCCGAACGAGAAAACGCGCGAAGAGAAAAAAGCAGTCCGATCGCCATTTCCACCACGAGAACAAGCCTGTTGGGCGTTGCCATGTCCGCCAGCTCCACCCCTGCCAGGCGGCCCCAGGCCTGTGAGCGCTGTTGGAAGCGCAAGCAAAAGGTACGAGAGTCTACAGACCCTTTTCCCGCCCTGGACGCAGTGGCTGATTCAATGTGTTAGTGCGACCGGCTGCTGCCAGCCTGCACGGCGTGCTCAGAGGCCGGTTCGCAGTGCATTCCACGGCAGTTTCGAGTAGAATCCTCGAGTGAGGAGAACAGCGGGCTCTCGCACGCTGCGTTACCAGGGTATGCGACCGTAAACTATCGTTGGCTGGCTGGACACTGACCTCTTAGCTATGTGGATGCTCTAAAGCAGCGGATCCATCATCTGGAGAACCTCGCGCAACGAAAACGACAACAGATTACGACCGACGATTCTGACTCGACTGTCACCCCGTCTCGGCCAGCAGACGGTCACGATGGGCTGGACAGTTCGGTACAGACTGCCATGGGTGAGATTGGCTTCCTGTCGCGCAGTGCAATGGCCGAGCCGCGCGATGACACGAGCGGATTTCCTCGACAGTTGGCCATGAGCCAGATGCTGCAGGCCATCCTGTCCCTGAGTGGCGCCAGCCCATCGCAAAACCACAGCGTAGAGGCACACGCTTCGCAGTGGAGTTTGCTTGGGGTGACTGACCCCTTGAAGGCGCTCAGCAGTGACACGGCAGCTCCGTTCCTGCGCGCCTTTCTCGGGCGAGTCGGGTTCTTTTATCTACACTTTGACAGGAAGGAGCTCGAGGAGCAGTACAAGGCCCTCTTCGCGGACGAACGGCGCGGCTCAGGCGATGCATCCGACCCCGTGCGGTGCCATCGAGAGGCCAGCGTGTGTCTGGCTCTTGCGATTGGGATGCTCGTCTCGCCCCAGTCCGGTCGCTACGAGGTGCTGGCCCAGGCGCTGCATGCAGCGGCCGTCAAGGTGTTTCTGCGGATTCTGCCATCGGGCAGCTGTGTCCACCTCCCCCACTGCCTGCTTCTCCTGATCATGTATTCGATGCTGAGTCCGACTGGGGGCTCAACCTGGCATCTGCTCGGTCTTGCCATGAAGAAGTGCGTTTCGTTCCGGCTGCACAAGGACTCCGACCCAGACTCGCCTGCTTCTCCCAAAGAATCCACCAAGAGAGCATTTCTGTTCTGGAACTTGTATATTGTTGACAGGTGCGCCTCCCCATTCGCTGAGAGATGTCGGGCTAACAATGGTAGAACATTAAGTACTGCCATGGACCGTCCGTTTGGAATTCAGGACCAAGACATCACTCTATCGGTAGGTTTTACTTGCAATAGAATGAGTACATCTATAACTCACTGCTGTAGCTGCCAAACGTCGCCCCCCACGACACGGTCGAGTCCGAGTTCGAGCGCCATCTCGTCACGCACGCCCAGCTCACATCGAGCATCCGCAACAGCGATGAACCATGCCCATTATACCACTATCGCAATCTGTGCTTCTGGAAGGAGGTGACACCGGAGATGCAGTCGTTCTTGGACTCGAACGAGGTGCTGCGCCGGCACGTCCAGCGACTTTCCTTTCGCTCCCTGATGCAGATTCTCCCCCTCCACATGGCCACGCGGTACGACAATGCGATTCTGGGGGCGCAAACGGCAGAAATAGACAGAGAAGTGGTGACGAGCTGCGAGAGCATAATCGAGCAGACGTACTGCGCCTTGGACGACGCGTCCTCGGGCGGCGCCTTGACTGACGGCTACGACGTCTTTGCTGCCGGCGTCGCCATCCTCTGTAGTGGAATGCAGCCCGCAGCGAATCACATTCTGGACCAGGCGAGCCTTGTCAACAAGTGCGTCGCTGTTCTTACAGCTCTGGGAGAGCGATTTTCCGGATTCAAGGTGTTTCGGCGAGTTTTGTTAGCCCTTTCGGACCTGGGCCTGGGAAGGAGGTCGCAGGAGCTTTCGGTAAGGTCAATCCACAAGGCAGACGGAATCGCAAGGCTAACCAAGAGCAGCTCCTTCACTCGCTGCCACCTGAAATCCCCAGCGGATTGCAGCGGCTGATCCAGGAGTGTCTTCGGAAATCGCCCGGCCCCAGTCCGACGGTGTGAAGCCGCATCGGACAGCGCCTGGGGCAAGTCCGGGGAGATATATGAATGACTTGCAGATGCCCCTCGTTTTGAAGCTAGGAATAAGCACCCTAAAGCTTACTCTACTACCTTACGCGATGGCCCCCGGTCTTACTCATTCCCCTGAGCGTTCGCCAGTTACCACGGCACCGGCAACCGGCAAGCGCACAGTTTACTTGCTGGATACCCTGCACCCGGATGCCGTCGAACATGCAAAGACTCTATTCAACGTCATTGGCCCTGGTGACAAAGAGCTGAACAGGTGGCGGGAAAAGGCCTCGGCCATTGTGATCCGCAGCTCACATGTCACCGCACAAGACATTGCTCGCGCACCCAACCTCATTGCCATCGGCAAGCACGGCGTGGGCATCGACAAGATCGACCAAAAGGCCTGCGCAAAGCGCGGGATCAAGATCCTCAACACCCCCGGGGCCAATGCTCGCGATGTAGCCGAGCTGGTGGTTGCTTTGACCATGACAGTCGCCAGAAGCATCCGATCCATTACAACGCGTCAGATGGCGGCGCCGGTGCCAAAGGAGACATGCACAGGATTGACCTTGCAGAATAAGACTATCGGTGTGATTGGCATGGGTAACATTGGACGCACAGTGTCTGAGATCTTCCACGGTGGATTCGACGCGAAGCTGATCGCCTACGATGCCTTTCTCCCCGAGGACGCTTGGTCGCACCTGCCTCACACGCGGGCAAAAAGCGCACAGGAGGTGATTGAGAAAGCCGACGTGCTCACCCTGCACATTCCTTTGACGGAGGAGACACGCAACATGCTCTCGTACAAGGAGCTGAAGCAGATGAAGCCCGATGCGATTCTGATCAATGCCGCGCGGGGAGGGATCGTGAACGAGGACGACCTCACCCGTGTTCTCTCCGAGGGCCACCTTTGGGGAGCCGGACTCGACTGTCACGAGCAGGAGCCCCCCAGTGCTGAAAAGTATCGCAAGTTGTGGGAGAATCTGAACGTGGTCAGCACGCCGCATATTGGGGCGGCCACCAACACGGCGCAGAGAGCGAGCTCGATGGCTGCTGTAAACAATATGCATCGTTATCTGTGTAGCCTCGAGGGCAGACAGTAGACTCCGTATAATATGATGCATTTATGAACGAAATTTACTTGACACCTCTTCTTTGTGTTGATCCAGTCCATCCCTGCACAATGTCGCTGGACAGACTGAGTCTACAACAAAACCGACCCTAAGCTCTAAAGTAGAGGTTGCCGTTGGATGCGACGATCAGATCGCTGGAGGAGGTTGGACACGAGTCAATACTAATGGAGATGCCGTGGGCAAGACAGAGTGTTACTTAGGTACTTGTAATCGGCAACGGAGAAAAAAAAAATTTAAAAAAAAATGACAAGGGTGGGATTCGAACCCACGCCCCTTTCGAGACACGGAAACTACATGCCACCACATGCGTGATGAGTATAGTTGGGGGCTCAGTAAACCTGAACCGTGCGCCTTAGACCACTCGGCCACCTTGCCAGCACATGATGCAGGACAATTTCCAAAACAGCACCAACAGCAAGAACAGCGGTAGTGTACCTAAGTTTTTTGTGTTTCTAGTGGGGACGGAACTCATCCGAATTTATGTCTGGTTGTCGGTTTCTCTTGCCGTAACCTCGCGGTGTGAGAGTTGGGAGGAGACAAAGGAACTCGCTGAGGCTTTCAGATTTGCTGCAACGGTCACTGAGACTACTGATATCTACGGATTTACTATTGCCTCACGACTGGTGGGTAAAGAGATTACCGGTCAGAGGGAGAAAAACTCGCGGAGCCGATGACACTGAGTACGATAACACCTAGTATCCGCGAATGGTTTTCTCTGAAGGGGATCACCAACGACCAGGACATGCAATTGTTCGGGGATCTAGGGGGCTCTATTTCACGTGGCGCATTCCTTCTCCTATGCACCCTTTCAAGATTCAGACAATTCAAACCAGACCACCCAAGATCACCGCTTCTTGAAGAAACCGTCCGCAAGCGTAAAGCGCGCGCATTTGACAGGGACACCTTGGACAAATGCGAGGCGTTATACGCCCGGTTAACTCGTTCTGGCTCTCTGCCCGGGGAAATTGTTGAAACTTCTGCTGCAGTTCCACCACCTACCACCGATGTATCAAACGTACGCGGGGAAGCAGAAAGGGACGCAATCACGTCTGAGGAGCTCGAAAAGCTTCCCAGGAGGCCCAGAATTACAGATATCCTTCTGCGGATGTAAGCCTCACGGATGCGGATTTCCAGGACACCGCGAAATCCATTCTCGTTTCAAAACCGCTGTACAGTCTGGCTAAAAACGAAAATTTGGAACGGGAGAGCCTCCTGCGAGGTAAATTCTTCAAAGGGCATATTTTCGACCGTCGGAAATCCCTGTACTAAATTTGGGCAATGAAGCATATACTGACAGTTGTATTCTCCCAGGAGGATGTTGGCCTAGCCGAAGGATTTGTCCTGCAGGTACTGATCAGTCCTCCTGGCAACCCCCATCCATTTGCTTCTGCCACTCATGCTCGCCCTGGTGATCCTGCGACTCGAGTAGCTGTCAAGGTTACTGGGATCAAGGATTCTGGTGAGAAATTCACTATTTATCCTCGACAGGCAGAGCAGTCATGGAAGGCCCCTAGGCGATATTTATACATCAGTCAGAAGGACTTTCAGCGGACTGGAGCCGTACAGCTTGCCGATTTTGTCCAAGCGGGTTTCACAGACGGCAGTCTCTCTGGGCAGGAAAACGCATGGTGGGCCTTGGAGAAATCAAAAAGGCTAGCATCAGCGCATGAAACATTGGAGGAAGAGGAGGAGAGCGAGCGATATGGTCTTTTGTTGGGCCAAGGGTCAACATCTGGCACCTTGAGAACTAGGTCGAGAATTTTCGTGGGATTCCATGATGTATTGCTGTTAGGAAGATATTGTGGAGCGATTGGAGGAGTCCCTCTCCGAGGCAGCGTCCCCTACCTTATTGGGCCGGAGATCTTGCCTACGCGGATTCCGTCGCTGAACATGGCCAATTCAATGTTTTACTTTGGCTACTCCAAGGCGATGCCCTGGCTGTCGGGCTGGTCTATGTGTTTTTTTGCTGCGGTGCACAAGGTTGCCTACGCCAGCAAGGACGATATCCGGATCGGAACGGTCGGAAAAGAGATGGCAGAGTCAGAGCATCTAGAATCGGCAGACAGGGTTTAACAGGGTTTAACAGGGTTAACATACGATCAGGGACATGCCCAGTGGCTTTGGCTTGGAACTGTTTTCCGGGTTTCTGACGGCTGCTTGCGGAAGTCAATCCACCCCATCGATGATCAATTAATCACTACTACATCATTGTCATCATATATATATCTCATCATTGACTCCTCCTTTGTTCCTGTTACCTCCAACCCTGCCCCTGGAATTCCTTACCAGCACCATGCATCACCGCCCTCTGGTAATCTCCCTCTTGCAAGCTGGAGCCCTGGCTGCTCCAGCATTTACTGGAGGCCCCGTAGTTGTCGGCCAGAATGGCTACACCAGTGCCCCTACCCACGGCCCTTACACTGGGACTCCAACGACCACCGGGGCCGTCACGGCTCCAGGCACACTGGCCCCCTCCATCGCTCCCCAGCCCCCCAACCCGACTGCCACCTACTACAATGCCGAGGGAGTGCCTCAAGATCCCATGCCAGCGCCCTATGTCCCCGCGGGAGGCCTGGGAACTAACGGCTCCGAGCCTCGCTACATGGTCGAGAGCGACTGGGACTTTGAATCCATCGCCCTCGGCGTCTACCAAGAGTACATTGAGCTGGATCTGTTCCACGATGGCCTCGCCCGCTTCAGTGACGAGGATTTCAGAGCCGCCGGACTCGACCCCGAAATGCGGTCCCTGATCCAATTCTTCGCCGAACAGGAGACCGGCCACGCCACCCTGCTCAGCAACATGCTGGGAGAAGCGGCTCCGAAGCAGTGCGTGTACGACTACCCCTACACGACGGTCCGTGAGTGGCTCGACTTCAACCAGCGCGTCACTCGCTACGGCGAGTCGGGTGTCTGGGGATTCCTTGCACACTTGGACTCTCGCGAGGTCGCGTCGTTGCTCTCGCTGTCCATTGCAACCGAGGCCCGCCAGCAGTTTGCCTTCCGCCAAATGGCAGGTCTCGCCCCCATCAACGTCTGGTTCGAGAACGGCTGGCCCCAGTCGTGGCAGTGGACCATGCTCGCGCCCTATATTAGCTACTGCCCCGAGGGCACCACGCGCCTAGCGTGGCAGAACTTTCCGACTCTGCGCATCCTCAACAACCCCAATATCAACCGGATAGTCGCCAACAATACCCAGCAAGATGGAAGCGAGCAAGTTGGCGATCGCATTACTGATCCCTCGCGATTCAATGTCAGTTCTGGCGACAGCTGCATCAGCGCACAGGGAGTCGGGGTAAACTGCAGCCCCGCAATCTCTCGAAACCGCACACAGCCGCTCTCGTATCCTGGAAAGAGGGTCTTGTTCGAGTGGGAGGCGCCTGGACAAGCGGTTGGCCCGAACAACTCGTACATCACCTCGACCACCGCGGGCCAGCCCAAGTTCGTGGCATGGAGTAGCCAGCTAAACCTCACCTACTCGCCATTGACTGTGACAGAGGGAAACAGAGGGTGGACGACACAGCCGGCGGGATTCGTCTATGGGGATGATGGTATAATCAATGGGACAATGGCGGTCATGTTGACCGACACTGATCTGTTCGTGACGCCATTCAACTTGACGCAGCTGAACCCACATATTGTCGCGCTTGGACTGTACCAGGCTGGCTGAGTCGAGATAAAAGTGTTGATAGGTGTAATCAAATTAATTTGAGAGGTTGATGATCTGCTTTCCACGCTTCTATTTGTAAGATTGACGGCCAGTTTTCGCCGGCGTATATACTCCTCGACTGACGTAATTCGAGTCTCGATATCCATCTGGACAGTGGATGCATCTTATCATCACCTCCGGTACACCCGAATTTCTGCACATACCGAAACGTATTCCTGAGTTTAGGCATGGGAAAGTCAACCGGGCACTGTAAGTTCATCAGGCTTTCTGTGTGGCGTTACTGCAGTTGGTGGCATGAAGCGCCAGCCGAACTGTGCTCAGTCGATCCGCCACCACGCGGAACTGCTCACGTATGATACGGATGGTTTCAATGTTGGATTGATTATTCCAGACGTGAGGGTATTTAATCCGATATACCATGCGTGCATCCTCAGTGAAGAGTTTGCGAAGCCCTACAAGGTTTCGAGGACAGCTGGTGTAGAGGCAAAGCGTTGGCAGTGTAGAGTCAGTGGTGTCGCAGAGTCTGACAAGCCATGGCTGAAACTAGGAACCTAATCCGTGCTTGAGAAGACGCCTGATACCCCAATAAACGTAGAAGCAAGAGACGTACTCGTTTGGCGATTAGGGCTGTTTGTAGGTTTCGAGAGACCCCACGGATTTTCCAGCAGCCATCGTTGGTTACTGAAGAGCCCTAAAAGCTTCACCTGAGCAGCATCAAACCGGACATCTATCAGCCAATTCACCATCAACTTTGCCATTTTTACTGGGTGAACTTCTCAGCCGAAACTGGTTAAGCCTTCAGTCGACCCTTGTTTACTTGTATGTGTCAATCTCTAATCTACGGCACACCTAAGGTAGAGTTTACCGCCTATTGCGCTTATGCTTTTAGAAAGACCACTAGACTAGGAATCTTGATCTATCAAACCTAAAGGGCATACTTTCTGCCATGGCGCTACTAATATTGAACATGGACCTTTGCTCAAGCCTTGATCCAAGGCCCCTATATATGGATGTTTGTACAGCAGGATTGGACAGAGTATACAATGTTCTATATCTATGAGTACATTTTATCCAATGGGTGCAGCCATCGAACACCAGTAGACCACAATCCTACCGGCAGCGCGGTGATGATGGGAATCAGAGCGACTCGCTACAGTCTCGATGCGGAAGCCGGCCCTCCCTTCAAAGCTTCTCTCCTACCAGAGCGCTAGACCGGCAACCATCGCCGCGGCCACGATACCAGCGAAGACCGGCTTCGAGGTGGTCGTTTCGTCGTTGGCGGCTATCGAGTTACACGAATACGCCCCTGGGCGTGCCCTCTCGACCTCCACGGTCTCGGTTACAATCGGCTCGAATCTGTCGTCGAGCGGACCGCAATCGAGCGGCAGGTCGGAGTGAACCTGCAATTTCTGGAAATCCGTCAGGTTTGGGAGGGAGAGCCTGGGCAGTGCGGATCCACTTGGTCAGTAATCGTCATATGGGTGCTGGGAGTGAATGGACTCACCCTTCGATCGCACCAAAGAAGCCGAGGAAGCTCGGGTCCGTGCCAAGGGAAGGCTGATATTTAGTAGTGTAGTTAAGGAGGCTTTAACGTTTACTAAGGTGTTTTGATGGATGCTGTGTAGAAGATAATAGGGTTAGACATTCTCCATATTAAAAAGCATGTACGGGTGGTGGTAGGCACAGACCTTGAGATTGCCCCTTTAACCTCAAATAAGTCCCCAACATGATTCAGCGCAGAAACTTTTCGGGGCGGAGTTACTGTTGGAGAGATTAATGGTGAGTCTGTGTAAATGTTGGCACGCCCCTGGCTGTTCTCCCACCAATCAACAAATCTTTGACGAATCCCAAAGAGGGCAGAGCAATGTTGAGAGGATCGACGATACTCGGACCAGCCTTTGGCGGTCTCCCCTGTCGCAGTTGTTGGCAAAGCTGCAGATGGGCAGATGCTCCACCCTTTCCAGCACTGGCACCTCGACCCTGGAAACAGAAGCATCAGCACTTATTTGTCTCTTGTTTGATCAAGAACTGGTCCGACCTAGAATAGTTCCCTGTGAAACCCAGCATTTCGACCTCTCTCAGGTATCATTAAAGGCTAGATCGCCGATGATTGTGGTGCAGTCCCGGCCGATGATCTCTAGGTCCGAGGGTTTGTTCGCATACTTGGGCTAGGCAGGCTAGATGGTGAATTTCATTTAGTTGGCCGCGCACTGGAGTGGCCCGTGAGAAAGAGAGCCTTACGGTACGCAAGGAAAGCAGCCGCAAGAGCCGCACCCACTTTGATAATTTGAGTGATCCGCATCCTGTTCCGAGAGCCGATCCTTGTGGTGGCATCGATGGCGGAATCCAGAGGAAACTTCAAGGGGAAGATGCCTGGGATCGAAAGTGACGGGCAGCAATTATAGTAATCTCGGTTGGTGGGGGTTAAAGTGACCGAGACCCCCCTAGCGGCTTCGCAATTTTCTGTCTTTGGAGGATAAGCTGAGGGATTGCTAGTAGTTTCTGAGGTTCTTTCAAAGATAGCCAAGTCAATTCAAGTTTTGGTTTGTTGGGTTGGCATTCCCAGAATGTCACTTGATACCCGTGAGGAGAGTTGTGGTTTTCATACAAGCAAGATAGTTCAGTGATTTAGCTTGAGTGCTAGAGACAAACAATGATATTATGTGCCTATCATATTGCAACATGGTACTTTGAGCAAGGTTTGCGCAGGCTTAAATGTTGATGTTCATGATTTTGGGCAGTCCAATGGTAATGCCATATCGTATGATTGATATATTCCACCCATTTCCTTTACCTATGCTATATCACATGCCTCGCCAGCATTGTCATGTTCGAATTAACAGAGTAGAGGACAGTCAGATCATCAAATGGATCTTGCTTCAAAGCCAAGAAAAAAATTGACAAGGGTGGGATTCGAACCCACGCCCCTTTCGAGACACGGATATCCATCTGTTTGGGAACATGCCCGCGTAAGATGAACAAGGTTCAGTATGGCCTGAACCGTGCGCCTTAGACCACTCGGCCACCTTGCCATATCAATGAATGAGCCAATTTTAGAGTGCAAGAGCAGAATAATCTAGAAAAAGCGCAAATTTGCTCATAGCTTGATGGTGAGCTCCACCATATCGAGTTTTCTTCTTAACAGACCTGTGTTTTTTACCTACCACGCCCTGTCTGATCTTGAGTGTAAATCCAAATGCCCACCTTTTCTGTATGGTAAAACACATACAACTGATCCAAGGTCACCTTTGCTGATGATGGCTTCCGAGTCCCAACAAAGGCCTTGACGGCTGATCACGACAAATGTCTCAAATGTCTCAAAGGTGCTGACAAAGGCCTAAGAGAATAAACTGCTACAGGGTAATAGAAGGGCTTAAGAGATCAATATATGTTTCTAAACCTTAGGATAGTAGAACCTTGCAGGAGAGGGAAACAAAAGCAGGTGGATTAGGAAATTGCGCAATTTTGCGTCGAAAAAAAAAATTGACAAGGGTGGGATTCGAACCCACGCCCCTTTCGAGACACGGAAACTACATGCCACCACATGCGTGATGAGTATAGTTGGGGGCTCAGTAAACCTGAACCGTGCGCCTTAGACCACTCGGCCACCTTGCCTGTTATGATAATAAAATGTTTTTATTTGTTATATAGAAAAATGCAAATTCTGCTAAACAAAATCCACAAGATATACAAGGATATTGAGCAGTTTGAACTCCTCATAAACATCAAACTCTAATCTTGCTGGCACTTGCAAATATAAACAACAGATCGCTAAGAAGTGGGCTAGTCTAGTTTCATGCTTCATCCTTGGAATTATTCAAAGTAGGTGCTATAGAATGCTCCCATGCCACGAATATATATATGAACGTGGTGATCCTACCTACCTGTAAGAGATATGTGAATGGTTCATCAGGTATAAGGTCACTGCACCAAGAATAATATTCAGTGCAAAACTAGACCTTGCCCTCGAAGGTAGTGGGAACCTAGTGTAGATACATAAGCAATCTAAGGGTGGTATGCAAATGTTATAATGCAGAGTTAATGACGGAAGCCTTTGCTGGGAGCCGAGGTCCCAGCATTAATGAATCTCGGAAGTAGTGGAGGTCCTAGCACCGCTCTTCGCCTGTTGGTGGCCTGAAGCCTCAGGCTACTCCGTAACACTACTGAGTATTAGCTGTGGTAGGTATCGAATAGCACATTGAAAGTCTGCTTTTGAGTTTACGGTTAATGCTCAGCTGCCCCAGAAGAACTACCAGAGGTCGAAACTGAGCACTACTAAGTATAGAGCATGAAAATGGAGGGCTGCTGACCGTCCTTAATGCTTCCTCCGGCCTCGGCCGCTTGGCTTGCACTCGGGGCTCCTTCAAAGGTCTCTAGAAGCAGGTCATGGTGGGAAGGAAGGTGGGCATCGCACTGATCAAAAGATGTATATTCAATCACGCCTCGTGAAATCCAGGTCGACTAATCAAGCAAGCAAACGCTGATGCCATGGGAAGCTATATACATTGCTAAAATGCCAGCCTAGACAGGAACAACAATGGGAACGCTGTGTGTGCAGGTCTCGACTCCCTGGGAGTAGGCGCAGGTGTACTCGTCGCTCTCATTGATGGTCACGAATCCTTGTTGAGCCACGGGTCCAGACACCCTCTCAAGCTCCAAGGTGAAGCCGCTGATGCTGGGCCGTCCATTTGCGAAGCGGACGAGGTATTGGTCGTTCTCGCATGCGTTCTCGATGGGGAGACCGCCGTTGGGGCCCCTGAAAGAAAACGAGTTAGCGGCGAGGATGGCTGAAAGGGTGAGCTATATTGACTGCAAGACATACCAGATCAATTGACAGTTGGTCGGAGTATCATCCGGGTAGTTGACCGCGTCCTCGAGAGTAAAGGAGATGGTCGAGGTGCGCGACTGTGCGGACGCCCGGGCAGTGAAGTCGGTGAGGGTGAGGGAGCCGCCGCGGGCTGTCAGAGCCGGGGCTGCAAGAGCCGAGCTGGCTGCGAGGAGGAGAGAGCAAGCAGTAAACTTCATGTTGAGAGTTGGCTGTGCTGGAAATGGATGAGGAGGGATGGAAGTGATGAGCAGACTGCCGGAGAAGGGGCCTATTTATGCAGCAACTTTGTATACGAGCAAACTGAGACACTGCAAGCCAATACGTGGGCCAAGAGAGCAGAGTGAAGAGCTGCAGAGTAAAAATAGGCAGAGTTTAAGCAGAGCTGGCCTCGTAAAGCTTTGACCAATAAGACTCGGGCACGACGATCAGGGCGCACTGCAGGATGAGACATTCGGCTTGTACAACACGATTTTCGAGGTTAGGCGCACCCTCTTTCTTGTTGAATGGACAGCTGACCCTCAGTCCCAGGCAGAGCCTGTGTTCCTGATGCACAGCGGAGAATATATCACTCGCTCGCACAAATCATACGCGTTTGCATACATCCATCCACCTTCTCCACTCCACGTCTGTGATACCTCCCACGCCCTGTCGCACCAAGCACAGGAGCAGGTCTATATAGGCTTTGTGGGCCGTGAGGGAAGCTGCAGTCTGGCCACAGTGCTTGCGCTGATCAAGGTTGGCCCCGTGCGCCACTAGCATGTGCCCTCTGGACGCAGCAATCACGGCTTGTCCACCATTTCGAGAAGAGAATCTTTGGCAAGATAGTCATCCACTGCATGCAGCACACCTACATTTCCTCCATACGCTGCCCAGGACATCAGTGTGCCACCGTCAGCGTCGCAATGGCTCACATTAGCCCCGTGGCGAAGCAGCTCTCGCACAACATCCGGGAGCCCCGATTCAGCGGCCCAGGTTAACGCCGTGTGAGCCCGATCATCTTCAGCCGCCCCGCCCAGATCGAGCTTACTGCCATGCATGCAAGCGATTGCCACTTCTGCTGGATAGCTGCATAAGCAGAGTCCTCCCCTGCTTTGTTCTGCCATTGGGATCGGCCCCGGACTCGAGAAGAAGCTGTGCGACATGGAGCTTTTCCCCTTCCAGGGCCATCCTGAACGCCGTGGCGCCTGCCCGTAAGCCCCGATCACATGTTATATCCAGCTGTGCGCCTCTTGCCACCAGCAGTCGAACTACTCCGAGCGAATGCTTCAGCACGGCGACCATCAGAGGCGTGTGGCCAAGCCCGTCTCGGTCGTCAACGGAGACCACATGATTGAGGCAGCAGCCTGACCAAATCTTCTCGGTCGTTCCATATTGCCAACGAGACGGGGCGTTTGCCCTCGGCTATTCTTTAGGTCGCTTGGGGCATTCCGTTCCAGAAGAGCCTTATGATAGTAGCATCTCCCCGATCCACTGCAAAGTGCAGGAGCAAATCCCGACGATAGTCGACGGCGGCGATGTCACTGCCCCTGTCAAGCAAGGCCTTCCGAACAGCACACCAGTGGTACTGCGCAGCAAGAGTCAGTGGCGTACAGTAAGACTAGTTCCGAATGTTGATGTCCTTCCACCTTTGTATGGACAGCCTCGACGTAATGGCCAGATGAAGAGCCCAGCATCGATGTATCCAGGAAGCGCTGCATAACATCGTGGCGGCCAAACCGGGCAGCCAGAATTGTTTCCATCCCAATCCTGGGATTCCAGGGTGATGTACCTCGTTCAGGATAATTCCAGGCATCTCCTTTCTTTTTATTGTTGAAGAGAAGCTCTTCTTGGCAGCTCCCGAGTTGGTTAGACCATGTTTGGTCATTGGATATGCTTTTGGACCCCACGCCCTGCTTAGCGAGCAGCTGAAGACTGTCAGTTCAGCTCCTGGTCTTTGATCTACTCCAAAGACTTGTCTTTATCGACTCCCAACACCGCCAAGATGCCGCAACCACGTTCCAAGCGGCAGAGAGCGTCTACAAAGCGCTCGCGCACCGGGTGTCGCACCTGCAGAGTCCGCCACATCAAATGCGACGAGTCGCCGACTGCCTGCCACAACTGCACCTCCAACGGCTGGGCCTGCGATGGCTACGAGGTGAATCGCCTCCCGCGACCGACCGAGCTGGTCAAGTCGCGACCCTCGCTGCCACGCCCCCCCGTCGCGTCCGGCTTCCGCTGGGCAAGCACCCCGGACGAGAAACGATGCGTCTCGTTTTTCCTGCATCGGACCATCCCGAGCCTGACCAGCTACTACGACTCGTCGCTGTGGCAAAAGCTGGTGCTGCAGATGTGCTACAGTGAGCCCGCCGTGTACCATGCGGTCGTGGCCCTGAGCGCCATCAACCAGGACCTGGAGAAACACGGCATCCCCATCCCAGGGAGCGAGTCTGGCAGCACGTGGCATGGCTTTGCCTTGGAACAGTGCGGCCGCTCCTTTGGCCTGTTGAGTAGGCGGCATATCCTACAGGATCCTCAATTGCGAGAGGTTCTCCTGGTTTGCTGCCTGTTGTTTGTCATGCTGGAGCTGGTCTGCGGTCGCTTCGACGACGCCACTGCACATTTGCAGAGTGGGCTGGCCATCCTCCAAGAGCTGCGGAATCAGCGTTTACTTCAGGGACTCGCACTCGTTCCGGTAGAGGAGAGCCTTTTGGAAGCCTTTCTGCACCTGGAGTCGCAGGCCATGCACCACGGCCTCGTACCGTCACCACTGCAGCTGGAGGTATATGGTCTGCAGCTTGGAGAAAAATCGCACGAGTTTCAAACTCTTCGAGATGTCCAGCAAGTCTTGCATCCCCTCACTGATGCCGGCTTTGCTTTTCTCGCCCGGTGCTGGACCGCAACAGACATTGAGATGCCCGAGAGATACGCCGCATTGTATACAGAGCAGCACCGGATCCTCTCTGCGTTGCATCAATTTAGCCTCGATTTCGACCGGTTCCGAATTCAGTATCACCATAAACAGACCCAGAAAGAGCGACGGGGAGCAGACACGGCGTATTTAACCTACCGGAACATGCAATTGGCCTGCAAGACAGCGCTGTATGCAAAGAGCTGTCCCCTCCCAGTGTCCTTTACGGAGGAGTATGTAGAGTTACTATTAGTGACCTTGGAGGCGATGGACAAGTTGGAAGACCGTCCGCTCATGACAGTCGAGAGCGCCATCTGTCCGGCCTTGTTCACCATTGCTGCTCGCTGCCCCGACTACTCGGTGCGATGGAAGGCGATTGAGGCCCTGTGGGCGTGGCCGCACTGTGAGGGATACCTGAACTCGAGGCTGACCGCAGACGTTGCAACCGAGCAGATGAAGCGGGAGATGCGATGCTTATGGACAGAGATGAAGATGACTGGATCCCCGGCGCCACAGGGGTTGTTATTCGAGACACAAGACGGGGGGACCTCGGTCTGGATCGAGGGGGCCTGGCTTTCTCTAGAGCCCAACCAGGAGCTGGCGAGGTCGCTGGAAAGCGTCCCGTCAGCACCCTCCTGGGCGTGTGTAAAGGCGTCGGGCATTCTTTCTTGATAGATTCCCAATTAGACTGATTATCTGATTGTCTCCGACTGATCTCCGGAGTTACATCATGATGAGCTCTCGGAGACACATGCAGCCTGCCATCTCCGACAGGGGCAACTCCGATGCGGCATCCCGAGATCTGTACTTAAACCCGTCCGACGTATTCCAGCTGTCCAGAATATCAGACCGAGATGGCCTTCATTCTGCAGTACCGGAATCTGCGTCGCTTTGTCCAGGGCCAGCTCGAGGCAGCCGGCAACCCGAGTGATAGCAAAGAGGCCGATCGCTACACTCGGATCCCCGGCATTTCGCTGCAGTTGGATCACGCTGGCCAGGAATACTTTCAGGTCGACTGGGCGACGCCGAACGATCCCTTTTGCCCGCAGCAATGGTCGACCACGCGCCGGGTCCTTGCGACGCTGTCCGTCTGCCTCATCGCCCTCGTCACGACCATGGCATCCGCCATCGACGCAGCCGTCATGGTGGAAGCAGCGGCCGAGTTTGGCGTCTCCGAAGTCACCGAGTCGCTGGCCACGGGTCTCTACCTGGTCGGCTTTGGCGTCGGCGCCCTCATCGCCAGCCCCCTTTCCGAGATGATCGGTCGGTATCCCGTATATCTCGGCGCCCTGACGATATTCGGGGCTTGGATTCTCGGTGCAGCACTGGCTCCGAATATTGGAGCACAGCTGACCTTTCGCTTCCTGGCTGGCCTCGTGGGTTCTGCGCCGCTGACGGTTGCCGGCGGGTCGATTTCCGATGTTTGGAATACGCTCGAGAAGACGTTTGGTTTTCCTGTCTTTGCTATTCCGGGATTCGGGGGGCCGATCTTGGGTATGTATCTCTCTCAGCCTCGTGTTGAACAAAACTAAGACGCAGTGGTGCAGGCCCCGTCGTCGGCGCGTACATTGGGTACAGCCCGCACATCAGCTGGCGATGGTCCGAGTGGACGATGCTGATTTTCGATGGCCTCGTCATTGCCATTGTGTTTCTGGCGAAACGAGAGACCTTTGGGCCACAGCTTCTGTTCTACAAGGCTCGATTCTTCCGGCAGGAGACCGGCGACCCGCGATTCAAGACCAAGGACGAGGCATCTGGAGACGAAGCCATCTTACCGGTCCTCAAGAAGCACTTTTCGCGGCCGTGGATTCTCCTCATGGAGCCGATTGTGATAGCGTTTACCTTTTATCTGACTGTGGTGTACATTGTGCTCTTCACCTTCTTGGATGGGTGAGTGCGCCGGTCGCGGTGGCAAGCGAGTTACTAATTCTGAGCCAGGTACCCTTTTATCTTTGGCGATACGTACGGCATCAACAATGGGCTGGTCAATATCTGCTTTGTCGGCCTCTTCATCGGCATTGTCCTGGCCATGTTCATGGTCCCGGTCGTCTACCACATCACGGATAACCAGCTCCAGCGAGACGGCGACAACCTGAAGCAGGAATTGCGGCTCTTGTTTGCCTTTTGCGGCGCTCCCATCTTACCCATCGGGTTGTTTTGGATGGGCTGGACTGCATACGTGAGTATCTATACAAAGTACATGGGTGGCACTGACGTTTTCTAGCCAACAATCCCGATCTGGTCTCCCCTCGCGGCGACCATTCTCATCGGGTTCTCAATCATATCTATATTTCTGTCGGCATACATGTACACGATTGACTCGTACGGACAGTACGCGGCGTCGGCGCTCACGTTTATTGCGCTGGTGCGGTACCTGGCCGCCGGTGGAATGACAGTCGTCGGAATTCCCATGTATCATAATCTCGGGGTACACTGGACCCTGACGGTGCTGGGAATCATCAGTACTCTGGCAGTGCCCATTCCTTATGGGCTGTACAAGTGGGGGCATGTGTTGCGGAAGAGGAGCAGGTGGGCGGTTGACCCGGGGTTGTAGCACCTCTGGAGACGGGAAAGAGGAGCAGGACATAAGCCTGATCGGATTGGAGAAAAATTCGTCTTTGCCCCTGCCAAGTGCAGCGTCTTTGACCTCGTTGGACGAGAATACGACATCATGAATCCTGCTCGTAAAGACCCACCTGAGGCTGGTCATCAACTGATTGTTCAATAATCGACAGAGAAAGATTTTCGAGTCTTTGGTTCTCTCCCCAGTCTCTCTTTCTGCCTGAAGCGAAAAATGGCGACCCCCAAGCCGTCTGCGACAGCATGATCTTCCATCTCGCACTGGCGCTGCTGCTGGCACGCCTTGTAGCTACAAATGAGTTCCATGTCCCTGATGGCGGCTACGAATTCGTCGCTGGTGAACCGACGACAATCAGCTGGGACCCCACCACTCCCAATGGAACCGTGACTCTGGAACTGCTCTGGGGGAATATACTGGGATCTACCGACTCCGATGAGATCGAGTGTACGTCGCCCTCGCTATCCACAGATTGATTGCAGTCTGACCAACGCAGCAAATGTCCCCAACGATGGAAGCTACACCTGGACCCCTCCGGACGACCTCCCCGATTTTTTAAACTACACGATTTGTCTGACCCCGGACCAGCCGCCGCAAAATTTCGAGTGCATGCCGCGATTCTCGATCGCAGGACTGGGGAACTCGACGGACGAAGAACCTTCCAACACACCCTCTCCGACGGCTTCCGACGGTTCTGAAGAAACTGGTCGCGGCGCAGATGATGGCGTTGACGAAGAATCTACTGGGGAGAGTGGAGGTCTTCCAGGAGCTGGAAAAGCTGGGATTGGCATTGGCGCTGGGGTGGGCGTTTTGATCCTCATCTTCGCTGGCTTCTACTGCGGTCGCCGGCGAAAGAAATCTCAAAGCGAAAGAACGAACCAGCAGCCTGACATTCTACTGACCTCGACGACATACACACCGACTGGGCTTGTTTCAACAGGTGTCTCAGCAGCCGAGGCCCCTGCCAGCGAAGGATTGAGTGAGCTTGACACAAAATGGAACGGGACGCCGCAGCTAACTGAGCTGCCTGGTCGTCATATCCGCGAGATGGGCAATACCGCACCAGGGTATGGATCCGCAGAGTTACCAGGTCGTGGGCTTCAAGAGCTTGATGGATACGGACGGAATGATTCGAGAGAGGCCGTTGAGCTGCCGACTATTGAGCATAAGTTTGTGTGATGATGATCTAGACCGATGCTAGTATTCCACGTGAAGATAGTTTGGCATTGATCAGTATCGCTATCGTAAACTTATCCCAGCACATCCAACGCCCTCAAAAGGTCCGACCCGTGCTACCCCAGTCATGCCTCTCTCGTCGGACCTTCGTATACCATGGGCCTCTCATTTAGCGAATCTCCACTCCGTCACATTCCCACTAATCGCCTCCGCTTCATCTAAGTGCTTATTCTTCCTCGCGCACCACCACCTCGCTGCGAGACAGAAAATTGCCGTCAACCCACAGCCAGCGATGATGATCCCACCTCCAGTCTGATACCGGGGCTCCTGCGAGCGGAGGAAGAAGTAGGGGGTGAACCAGTGCGACACGGAGGAGACACAGTTGGCGATGGCGATTAGGGCTGCGCGTTTTGTGCGGGGGCGCGGGACAACGGTTGTTTCCCAGGAGATTTGGATCTATAATAATGGTGTTAGTTGATGGTGACGGTGATAGGAGTATGAAGAGAAAGCATACATTGAGACCGACGAATGGACCCGTGCAGAGTAAGATGAGACTAAAGTATCGGGCGCCGACGTTGAGAGTTGAGATCATGAGAACTGCACCGCCCAGTGCAACGAGAATTGGTACGATGATGTGCCAACAGTGCTCGCCGAGTCGTCCAGAGGACCACGATATGACGAGTGTGGCAAAGTACGCAATCACATATGGAGGAGCTTGAACGAGGTAGGTGATGACTTCGGAGAAGCCCAGCGTTTGGACGATCTCACACAGTTAGCCAAGTTTGAACGCATTAGAGACAGGAGGCATACCGATGGGAAGAAGTCCTTGAACGACTGGCCGATGATCAGAGAAAAGTGGATCGCAGCGAAGAACCAGGTAAACGGGTCCTTGGCTGCCAGAATAACGCCTCCCCAGTAGTCGCCCTCTCCTTCGGAGCCTTCCATGATGCCACCGGCAGAAACAGCTTGACGGTACTGAGCCATGGCAGCTTCCTCCTCGTTGAACCAGCGGCTGCTGGTGTTGTCCGGGAAATTGGGAATGAACCGATAGGCGACAAGAGCCACCGTCACACTGACAATGCCCTCGAGGAGGATGAACCACTGCCAGGCTCGGAGATTTGCGATCCCGTCCATGTTGGTCAGGATGCCCGCTGCGAGAAGGCCAGAAAAGACATTGGAAATGATGTTTCCTGCGTGCCAGATGCCCATCCGGAGAGGGGACTCTTGTCGTGTGTACCAGGACGAGGTGAGCAGGGAGACGGCGGGGACAAAGGGACCCTCGGTGACGCCGACGAGAAAGCGGCACAGGCAGAACCCCCAGCCGGTAGTGAGGGCAGGCATGCAAATGGTGACTGCGGACCAGGCCAGCATGATGCTGGGCATCAGGACGCTGGGTTTGCCCTTGGCGATGAAAACGTTGGCGGGCACTTGCGAGATAATGTAGCCGACGTAGAAGAGCGAGATTCCTGCAGACCAGGTGGTGTCGTCCATACCCAGATCTTCCTGCATCCCGGCAAGACGCGCGTTGGAGACGTTGATACGATCCAGATAGCTATCAAGACAGGCGGTTAGCAGGTCGATCAGATGGGTGAGAGAGTCTACCCACCTCATGAGCAGCATCATCGTGACACATGGCAAGAACCACCAGTCCAGCTTCCGCAGGACAGCCTTGTTGAGTTTCTCCAATTCCTCGGGCGTCTTATCCTGGAGAACGGGAAACAAAGCAAGGAGTCTGTCGGCCTCGGAGACCTCTTCCAAGGCCTCGAGGGTGGCTTTGGCGTCGCCGTCGTCAGAGGGGGGTTTGCGATCAGTGGAAGTCATGTTGTCGGCAGATTTGCGCGAGAGCAGTGTCTTGCCGTTGTTATCCTAGCGAAAAAGGGAGCGTCCTTTATACAACACGCCCAGCAATCACCAGTGGAGCTTTTCCGTGCCCAGCCCCGGACTGTCCACGACTTGTTCTGTGGCTGCCAGCTTCCCCAGGAAACGCTCAACGACCCTTGAGGGTCCGAGCTACGAAGGGACAATGAGCAGCGAACAGACCAACGCGGGAAAAATCCGCCGGGGGAACTCTGGGGATGCCAAAATCAGGGTCCGACTTGGCCTCCGACTTGGCCGGAAAATGTCCGCCGCCCAACTTTCCCCACGGGGCTGCGGTGGGTGGGGAAATCGTGGCATGACAATCGTGAGACCCTGAACAGTGTCAAGCCATCTCGCAGGCCCAGTACATTAGCCGGTTGGAATAGCCAAAGTTCTTACAGCCTACGGCCTGCCACAATGAGTAATGCTGGGCCCCTGTTCGACACAGAAATGAACACACTCAAATCTACGCAGATCCCTGTCCCCAGCAAAGCGATTAACTGGCGGACGCCTGAGCGAGAAAGGCGCTCCCTCGACCAATGCGAGCGACCGTCGATGGTTCCGCGCGAGTCAAGCCAAGCCCTGAAAGTCCGAAAACCATTTACAAGCCTCGGCGGACGTTGGTCTAGTCGAATGATAGGTCGAACTCGGAGAAAGTGTGCGCAGGACTGGAGCCTCCTTTTGAAGCTGTCTTTCACAGATGGTTTGGCGTCACTGCACGATGGAAGCATTCGTCGACGACATCAGAGCTGGTCGTGGGTCGAGGCCTCGTTGGCCACATTGTCAGCTGTCAAATGCGTGGAATCCAGTCAGAGGGCTGAAGTGAATAGGACTGATTCATTCTCTCCGCGATTGAACGCAAACTACGTGAAGTTGTGAGATCCTGGACTGTCTGAAATCGCCATAGCCTCATCCTTTGGGCTAACAATGCCTCAATTATGCTCGCAACCACCTTATGTATGGGCCGCAGCTGTCACACGATTATACATATACATGATGAGTTGGTAACGCTGATAAAGATCAAGATGCAAAGAATGGGGAGCCATGTGGAGGCCGCTAGGAAAGCAAAGTAAAAAACAACGACTTTTCATGGAAACAGGCCAAGCTCAGCTCGAATGTTCCGAAAGGAGAGCGTAAGACTCTGTATTCCCTTCCTTGACAGCCACCTCTAGAGGCGTATGGCCCCGAGCGTCCCTGGCGCGAGTATCGATGTCTGCCCGCGATAATAACAGCTTGACTATCGTGTTGTGCCCACCCGCAACAGCCAACTGCAGCGCCGTCCGAGCGTATCCCAAACTTCGCGGCAATTCCGGCTGTGGCAGGGAATCTGAATGGATCTTGGAGTTGACATCCAGCTCGGGGAATGCTAACAACGACTCCACGACGGCTTGATGTCCCTCTCGCGCGGCACAGGAGAGGGCGGACATGCCGAGGAGATTTTTCCCGTTGATTTCAATGTCTTTGTGCGATAACAACAAGTCGACGATTCGAGCATACCCTTGGAGAGCAGCCCATATTAATGCAGTATTTCGGTTGTTGCATTTGTGCATGTCGTTGATGTCGAGGTCATGGCGGTCCAGCAGGAGACGGACCATGCGCTCGTCGCCATTTCGTACGGCGCAGATGATGGGAGTCTGGTAGTCGTAGATGAAGTAGTCTTCGGTTTTTTCCTTGGTAAAGACCATGGCGTGGCAGTTGACGTCGATATCCTCCTGTTGTAAGAGGAGACTGGCAACCCCGTGATGGCCATTCTTTGCAGCCAATAACAAGGGAGTCTGCTTAAGCGCGTTGGTGGCCCGAACATCGGCGCCGTAACGTAAGGCGATGACGGCGGTTTCTTCGACCCCCTTATCTCCAGCCCATAGCAGAGCGGCACTGCCGCCCGTTCGGGCGTCTTGGCGGTAGAGATAAGGGTTCAGCAGGCCATACAGCTCGTGGTTGGCCCTGGCAAGCGCACTGGTGTCCTTTGCGGAGGGCAGAGCCTCAGCGATCAGCCACAGCAGTTCGTTTGGAAGCGCGAGAAGAGGCATCTTGAAGGTATTCTGGTTTCTATTGTTCGACAGGCCCTACAACAGGCGGTGCACCGGGCCCCCTTTTCTATGACTGCGTGATTTTGGTCAGCGCGCGGGGTAAGGCTTGGCCGGGGCAGTCACACGCTGCGTTTACATAAAAAGAATGCCCCTTTGGGCGCGTCACTGGCTCGACTCGCTCCAGTCGAACTTGTGATTGACCCGAATCTGCATCGCAACCGTCTCTTGTGACCCGCTGGTTTTTGCGCTGGCGGTCTCGTCGCGCCTTTCTCCCCCTACGTCAGTCGTGAGCAAAATCTCGTCTTCCCCGGGCCGGAAATGGCCCCTTTTCGACGGTCCAGACCGGTACGCTGACCGATTTGCGGATGCCGTCATGCTCCCCCCAGCAGTGGGACTCGTCGAGTCATTGCCTCGAATCTTCTGGGACGAGCCAGTCAGCCCTCGCAGCGCTGGAATGTGTCGCAGCAGAGGCCGCAGGGTTGGCAGGCAGGCACTGACGATGCCAATGCACGGTTCGACATTGCTCCAGATCATTGCGTCACCAATGACCCAGGTGATGTCCACCGACGATTTCATTTTCGTAATGGTGTAAATCCGGACAATGGTTGCGACGCACACGCTAGATAATAATAGATTATGAGACACCGCCACTTGCCAGGGGCCGGCAATAATCAATACATAGTGAACTTACAAGCCTCCCAGCAGGAAAATCCCGCTGATCGCCCATTTCTGCGATCGGGGCATTTGCAGTCGCCAGACAATTGGCATCGGCAGACAGAGAATAATCACATCGGTCAACAGGTTGGCGACTCCGTTCCAGAGATAGAAAAGATACAGGTTGATCCGACAGTAGCCGCCACTCAGGGGATCTACCCACTGCGTCCAAAAGTACGAGGTCGGCACGCATGCGAGCGAAATGGCGGTGGACACGGAGATTGTATACCCAATGGAGAGGAAGGCGCACAGGTACAGGGTCCAGGTGAGTCGGAAGATGCGGTGGTAGAGGAGGAGAACCGACAGTTTGACCATGGGGACGGTCGTCGCATAGAGGATCACATAGGCAAAGATGATCTACACACAGGGGCTGTGAGCGGGCAAGTCCACGAGATGGGACGATGCCTACCTTCATGCTCATAATCACATTCTCCGGCTCGACGACCCAGATATGCTTGCCAATGCCATACTTTCCACCCAGGATGCAGCAGATGCCCGTCCCGTAGGCAAACGCCTGCCCGCTTTTTGTTAGCCGGTGATAGCCGAGAATCTGGGGTAGCAACTTGTACCAGCGCCACCAAAAGTGACCAGTCGTCGTATGCCAGGACAGCACTCTCTTTCGCAGTCCGCGCCCAGAATCGTAGGCACACAAAGACTGTGGCAATGGCCATGACGGCCGCCACAGTACCATTGTTCTGAGCGATGCGGTTGGCGTTCAAGTCGAGACCCTCTGGAGGTGGGCCAATAACGAGGTCGAGGCTTGACATGTTGAGCTGGAAGCGACCATCAGCGAGAGAATCAGAAATCTACAAAAAAGAGGCTGAAAGCGAGATATATACTCGCTTATTATCCTATTCGAGTTTGACTACGAGAAACATCTTCCTTCAGGGAGTGCAGGGAATGCCCTCACACCACCAGCCGTCAAACGCTGAATCCCTCAGCAGTACCTGTGGCAGCCCGGGGCCCCGTTTTTCCAGGGGATTTCATCTCGGTTATCTTTTCCAGGCTCTCTCAACCCGCGGGAGCAATTTCATTGTTTGGCTACATTCAGGATAGCGCTTGCCATCTCGTTTCCGCCGTGGAGACCTCCCCACCATCCAGTTCCACCCATTCCTGTTCTGTACGTTGTGCGAGTCTCTCAAAGAGTCACAAAGTCAGAGACACCAAATCAGTGCCTTGGAATAGCTCGCTTAGATTGATGGAATTGGCCAGGGGTAAACGCCCTCGGCCCGAGCGACGATCAAGAAACAAATGGCCACATGGTCAATCTAATAAACTTCGCCACGCGTTCCAGAATTCTGGACCTCGTGTCGGCCCTGACAGAAACCAGTTTAGTCTACTCGGTAATGACTCTGGTAATAATAGCCCTGACGCTCAGGCCTCCCTTGTCAGGCCATGGAGTGCCAAAGTCTCGCGCCAGCTCGATGCTCGCCTTGGGTGATTCGTACAGTTCCATGTCGAAACGTCGTACCATTGTGGCAATCACAAGGAAGAGCTCTGCATATGCGAGGCTGGAAATGGTTTAGTAGAGGAGCGCCACAGGGACAGACGTTCAAACTCACTTTAACCCGACGCACATGCGGGTCCCCTTGGAAAAGTTGACCAGGTACTTGTCCAGGCGAGCGCCTTTGGCGGCGGCCCGGCTCCATCTCTCTGGGTCAAACTCTTCGGGGTTGGGGAAGATGTCGGGGTGCATCAGTATGTGGCAGTGTGTTTCGCTCACGGGTGTCTACCAAGGTTAGTTACTGCCATCTATTCCACAGTATGTCACCCACCCCGGGTGGAATCATAATGCCCTTGTATACCAAAGCCTCGGTGGGAGCAACTCGAGCCGATCGATTGGCAATACCGGTGGAAAGTCGCAGAGACTCGCTGACGACTCCAGACTATCAACATGTCAGACGAGCATTTTCACGAAGAAGAGAGGCTCACCAGATAAGGCAGCCGCTCCAGCTCATTCCACCTCGGTCGCGATTCCGGAAAAGGCATCACCGTCTTCAATTCCGCCCGCAACTTCTCGCGCATGTCGCTGCTCGAGTAGATGTGCCATGCACCGACTGCAAGAGTTCGGGCTGTCGTCTCGGTTCCTCCAATAATCAATGCAAAGCCCTCGTTCATCAACCGCTCCGGCGAGCGCATGTGCTGGGGCATCGTCGTGGCTGCCAGGCTGTTGATGAGGTTGTCGCCCCTTTTCCCGCTGGACACGTCGGCACTCTTCAAGGCCGCGACAGCCCGATCGTAGAGGTCTCTCTTCTGACTCGCCAAGGCAAAGGCCGGCGGGTTCAGCTTTTCCAGCCATCCGATCGGAGTCGCATTCAGGATGGTCTGAAGGATCGGGAAGAAATACAGCAGATGCGCCGACCGGAAAAGACCATTGATCCCGTCTCTGACCCCAGCGTTGAAGCCCTCCTTGTCCAGACTGCACGGGTTGAAGCTATACACGTATTCGTAGATGGTATCCGATGTCAACGCGGCGAATCCGGCATCGAGACTGACGACGCTGTGCGACTTGTAGGCTTCGACAAGGTAGAAGAAGAACTTGTCGATGTTCTTCCAAATTAGTCCCTCTGTATTCTCAATCGCGCGCTTGGAGAAGAACTTGTCGACGGGCGCTCTGCGCTCGCGGTGGCTTTCTGCATCGACGCTGCCGAACCCTGAGCCTGGCAGGTCAAATTGCGCGACCAATACGGGGTCCTTTTCTCGTTTCCGCGCACTCGAGGCGTAGATCTCCTCGTAGTAGTCTGGGTCGAGAATGTGCACTTCGCGGGGGTTGATGCGGATAATGGGCCCTACACCGATGGAGTCAACTGTGGCTCACAATTGTGCCGGGAGAAGGTATATGAACCGTAGACTTGGTGCAGTCGTTTAACCTCCCAGATGAACATCCCACCCCGGATGATATTATGGTAGAACTCGTAGCCGTGGGTGATGGCCGCAAGCTTGGGCCCGGGAATGTGGCTGAGAGGATGGAAGTACAGCCGGTAAATGCTCACGACCGCACAATAGGCGATCAGTCCCAGTCCAAGAACCACAAGTAGGGCCATTTTCAGTAGGATGAGAGGGGCAGAGTCCTTTGGCTGCTGGGAAGTTGCAGACGAGGGCGCAAAGCTATAAAAGAGCTCGTCACATGTGAATGTGCATCAGCTGTAACGTCCTTGCCACGATTGGACACAACTGCAGGAGAAAGAGATGGCCGTTAGCGAGATAATCTAGGCCCTCGGAAATGATGGCCTCCACTGGGGTTCGGCCCGCTTGCGAAAACCGTTTAAACTGAAACGCCCAAGGATTGCGACCCCAAGCACAAGACGCGGAAAAGATATACGCGAGCTGCATGACTTGAGAAGACGAGGCAGCAGGGCCAGAGACTCATGCTTTGTTGCATCGCTAGGCCAGTAACGGGTAGAGATCAATTAAGTACGTCGACCAGCGGGCTGTGGAGGATCTTGCGGGGCGAAGCTGTTGAACGGGGTGGGTGGGACGTTGGAGATGACACCATCTTTGCGGTAAATATATACATCGGCCTTAGCTGCGGACTGTGTTTTATGCTGCGAGAAACCCGCTGATTCTTTGAGCGACGGCAATAGGTATAAAATAATAGCCCGGACTTTGATAACACTCATACACAAGTTCATGACGACTACCTCGCACACACCCGATCAAGCCATTTTCAAGAAACGAGTCCCTTGCCGAGTGCCATGCCTGGGCCGTGGCGATAATCAGTAGTATGCCACGCACTACAATGATTGGGCCACATGGGGCTTTGCCGCTCGGAGTTTCCGGGTATTTATTTCCACGTCATTATTGAGTGATACCGAATGTTTCAAAGCAATTCCCGAGTACTATATCCTTCTGACTATTATGTTTACTTGACGTGTATCCAAGCTACTCAACCTCCCTCGCATATCTCCAAATCCTCGACCCTGTTCAGGGTACCCTGTTCTGAATGCATGTCGCTACATCCTCTCAGCTCACCCTCACGTTGTTTTCCTCACCTGAATCCTCCTCGCCCCCAACCTGCTGTTCCTTGCGACGCCGGTGCAACAGCGTATCGACAAAGCGCGCAATTGCAAGCGATAGACCGACCGAGAGCACGCTGCACGCGACGCTGAAACCGCGCCGGTAGAGTGGCTTGTCGTCCTTGCGGAAGATCTGGGCTCCGTAAATACCGGCAATGTTGGCGTTCATGATGACACTGTGTGAAAAGCCCTTGGTTAGCACACGTTAACAGCTAGGAGCAGGTGGTTCTTACCCGGCCATGGCGAGGGCGCGCTGCTCCGAGTCTTGGCAAGTGAGCGACAGCCATGCGATGTTGAGTGGATGCGAGAATGTTCCAAAAACCTGCGTCCAGACGACGCCAAAGTAGCGGACACCACGGAGATTGACGTCTGTAAAGGTGCGGTTGAAGATGTAACCGAGCAGATGGCAGAAGAACCCGAGGATGACAGTTTCGCCGCGACGGTTGCTACCGAGTCAAGAGGGTCAGCACTGCGTGTATGACGAGTGGGTTGGGCAACTTACTAGCGATCCGAGAACCAACTGAACGTAAACGAGACCGGGACCTGCAGGAACAAACCGACAGCCGCCAAAGCGTTACTGGACAGAGGGCCGAAACCAAAACTGGTGACAATCGACGGGGCGTATGTGTCAAAGGCACGTTGAGGGCCGTTGTTGCACAGTGTGATCAAGAAGTGAACCCAGATGCGCCAGTCCAGGAACTATGCACAGGAACAGTGAGCGAATGGGATGAGTCCAAGGCCGGCAAATGGGAAACTTACTGCTCGCTTGAACGCGGCCAATGGGATCTTTCTCCTCTTCTTGCCCTTCATCGGGTCGTCGAGCAGGACTCGGGTCTGGAGAATGTGCAGCTCCCGCTCCGTGAACCAGTTGACCTTGGGCAGGAAAGTACTGTGCGGGTTTCGGAACGAGTCGAGCAGGAAGAAGCCAAAGATGAAACCGGAAAAGACGGTAAAGGCTCCCATGAGGGCGAAAAGCCAGAACCAGCCTGGCCGATCACCCACACCACGCATGTGCAGGATGCCGTAGGCGAGCAGCTTTGCCGACGCCTGACCGAGCTGGTTGCCAAAGTAAAAGACCATGACCCGCTTGGCAGTCTCGCGACGAGTGTACCAGGTCGAGAGCGTCCACAAGCCGCCGGGAATGAAACCAGATTCAGTGATTCCCAGGAGGAAGCGGGTGGCGATAAAGGCACCGTATCCATGTTGGAATGCCTGGAAGGTGCTGACGATACCGAACAGGAAGAGCTGCAGGGTGAGCCACTTGCCCGGACCCACGCGGTAGAGAATCATGTTGGAAGGGATCTCGGTTAGCACGATACCGAGCGATAGCATCTGCTGGCCGACGTTGAACTGGTCCTGGTCGATGCCGACATCTTCCTGGAACATGTCGGTGATGGCATTGGCCATGTTACCGCGGTCGAGCTCTGCATTTCAGGTCAAACCAACGTCTAGGACAGAAAAAGGAGGACTTACGCAGGCAGAAAAACCCAAGGGTGAGGATGGGCATGATCATAAGATCGAGTCTGCACATCACACGCTTAGTGGTTGCTCATGGTCCAAGGGTTACACACGCTGCACTCACTTGCGCTTGGCCTTTTTCTCCTCCTCGACCGTCCAGTCCACCTCGTGGTGTAGGGCGATTTCATCCTCGTACTTATCCTGGATCTCCGGGCTGGGGCCCGTCTTGAGGTCGGCCATGCTGTCTGGTGACGATGTTTGCCTTGATGAAAGGAGTAGATGACGGCTTCTGGACCCTGGACAAGGACCCGATCTCTGGCTTGGAGGCAAGTATTTAAGACCGAGTGCGGATGGCATCATGGTGGTGGTATCCCGTGCCCAGGCAGAGCGAGGATGGCGTGCTTGCTGGATCTGCCGCTTGAAAAGCCCAAATCATCTTGGGCGGGAGGCTTGGCAGGCAGCGCCGAGCCCTCAAAAGCCATGGCGGAAGGCCAGACTTGCTGGATAAGAGCTCGTGGCTTGGGCGGGAGTCTTGGCCTGTCAGCCGCCATTTGATAATGCTTCGCCATCGCGCCTCTGCATTGCACCATCGGCGGCTTGTTGGGAGTCTTCCGTAGAGCTGACCACGTTCGGGCGCTGCAAAGGCAGGCCAATGCTGCGCAACGTGGGATGCTCTTTGTGCTGCCCGCCAGTCGCTTCCAATTTCTCCGAGGCGCACAAGACACATTCGCTGGGGGATCTGCCAAGCATACGCAAAGGGTTTACGCACGCGATCTCCCTCACATTCCTCGCCGCGCTGTACGTAAAAGCTGTTGTGGAGAAGGATCTGGAGGCTTCAGCCCCGAATTACGAACCCCCAACATGGTTGCCACAGCGAGTGCCTCGTCGGACGAAATCACCAACTTTCCGCGAGAGACGCCCTTGCCAACGAGATATTGTCCTGCAAACCTTAGCCCTCTCTCGGCCAAGCGGATGGCGACTTACGCCACGCATATGGCGTTTGCGCAGGACAAGAGAGCTTCATTCTTCTTTTACAGGTGCCCAGTCGCAGGCTTGATCTGAAGGATTGCCGGTGGATGTTCATTGGCTCGCAGGCCCACCTGACCTGATGCAGGGTGCGAAGCTGCCGTCTGGGCTCAGAAAATGGGAGGAGGAGGGGCATATATTCGACTCGGATGGGTACTACTCGGCTGGATGTCTCCAGTTCGAGAATGAAAACAGCTCTGAACCATGGAAATTTATCTCGATATACAGGGCATCGAGAGTGGCAGGATCTTCACCCCCAACGAGGCTGTCAAGGGGGTGGTCCGCCTGGAGCTGCACCGGGCAACAGTCGTTTCGGATCTCACCCTGTCCCTTGAAGGTCTTTTGCGCTGGCCCACTTGAGTCTGGTGTATCTGACCTGTTTTCTAGGAACAACCAGAACGGCTCTCATCGAGAAGGGGCCTGCGTTTATTCTAGGCAACGGTGTGCCAAAGGTTGCCGACGAGAGCCACCAGGTCTGACTGACCCTTTGTGACTTCAGTGCTTTCCTGACACCCGAGAGAAATAGCTGTTCAAAATATCAAAGGTTCTGTTTCCTCCCTCGAACACGCCATTCATCGCCAGAGGCTATACTCTTTCAGAAGGCCAATATGCCTTTCCATTTGAGATCAACTTCCCGCTGTTGGCCGAATGCTCAACATCGCAGCCCGAGTTGAGGCACCAAGAAGCAATTCTTCCTCCGTCATTCGAATCACGAGCCGTCAAGGGCGCACATGCCAGTGTCGCATACACCTTACGGGTCGCACTCAAGCGACGTACACATGTTCGAAAGGTCATCTCACAGGAGCAGAATCTCAGCTTTTTACCCTTTGATCCTGCTGCTGCCCTACTCTCGTCTCTGGGAACTGGGTCCCACATCAGACAAAAGGGACTGTACATTAGCCCCCAGAGCTCACTTGGATACTCTCACACTGCACTTCCAATCCTGCTACTGGAGGCGAAGCTCTCATCGCCGCCTGTCTTGTATTCACGCGAAAGGCTACCTTTGCAGCTGTGTGTACGAAGCCTCCCAACACGGATACAGCACGTCCTCCCGATCAAGCTCCAAAGTCTGCTCATCAATCTTCGGAGCACGACCGACATTCTTGCCGACATTCATAACACATCTTGGACATCCTCCAGGAGGGTGCTGGAGCTTCACGGGCTCGACGACACGATCGCCTGTGACCGGGAAAGCGATGTTCTCTCTGAGATCAAGCCCGGTGTCATACAGAGCGTCACCCTCCCTGATAGTCCTCCAAGCTTTACAACTTGCATTATCGAACACAAACACTCACTCGAGATTGATGCGACTTTTTCCCTTTCGGAACCCACCAACCTCTCGGTATGAAGTGCATTCATTTCTGTTCTTGCTCGTGAGACTAATTGAGACTTCCGTTGTAGTCAATAAAGCTCGTGATCAACGTTGAATTCGGGACAGGGTTGTACGCGCAACATACTGGGCGAGGCGGAGATAGGATACCCCCCATCCCTCTGAGACGGGGATGCATAGCACACTTGGGCGCTTCTGACACAGTTGATCTGGGGAGGGATCCCCCGCCGTACTAAGACCAAGTGTTCTTCTATGATAGGTGAACCGTACTGCTATTGTAATTCTCTTGCACTGAAGAGTAGGTTTGTTGTAGACGTAGACTCGTATTAGTGGCATAGCCCTGATCCAGCTCCGCCGAGTAGGTTACTGCACAAGTATATATCATACCTCATGCGTGCTTCTCCAAGTAGGGAAGCATGAAGCGGACGAGGTTGGGCTGAGAGCCTATGCTCATGAATGGACAAAGACAACGTGATCACATTGCCTTGTCTGATCCACATTTGGTCTTGACAAAGACGCGGCGCAGCCCTCGTCATGGCTCTGGTTCTCACGAAGCATTCTGTCGCGGAATCTGTTTCGACGACACAAAGGCCCAGGACAAAGGGGTCAAGGCTGATAATGAGTTGCTGTCACTGTGTGTTTGACAATCCTGAAAGAGTTTTTGCTGCACATTTGGACAAGGAATAAAAGACCCTGAATCAGTTGACGGAGTCGTGGTCTCAAAGAGCTGGATAAGAAAGATGTAGATAGATGCACAGGAATTATCTGGTATATTCTAATTGTAAAAGCACAATTAGCTGCAAATTATGGAGCTGCATCAATTATCTATCAGTTTCTGTTCATAATCTACAAAGTACCGACTATAACACCATTCCTGTCTGGATGGAGCACGTCCCATGGCTCCTGTTGATCTTCAACAGCATCGTCGGCCGCGAGGCCAGGGAGGCGTGAGCCCAGCTTGTCGCCGCCCAAACGCAGCTACTCCACGCCCATCTAAGCGGAAACCAAGCCAGAATCAACGACGCCAACACCGCTGTAGCAAGGGCAACCGGCGTCCATACCGCCGCGCCAAGTGAGCGAGCAGTGGAGACGACCGCCAGGATTCGACGACAGCCGGAGATTCATCGCCGCTATAGCCTTGCGACATCGTATCTCGAAAATTTACCCGATCGCGACTTGATCTTCCTTATGAAAGTGCACCCGGAACTGACTGGTCTCATCTTCCAATATGCACTGCCAGAGCGCTGGGCCGATGCGGCCATGTGGACGCAGACGAGTGGCAGTTCCTGATGGCAGAGCGCGTCGAGCTGAACCGTCTCACGAGATCGATACAGCGGCGGAACCAGGGCCACCAAGAGTTCATGCAGCTGGTAGAAATCGCGCTTCGGATAGAAGAGCGCGACTTGCGGACCGCTGCGCGGACACTGGACCGCTCATGGAGGAACAGGCACGGCTCGATCCATTCCACGGAGCAGTCGCCAATCTCTCGCCAGTGGACCTATGGTATCGCAAGACTAGGAAGCAGGTGATCTGGAACCAGGTTGTGAGAATCCGAGAATTGTACAGGGGGCTTGGTTACTTACAGGATCTACCTCGGGATGTGCCTGTTATGAGACCCGTTCCTACTCCACCCACAAATGCAATGAGCATGAAGGCCGCACAGCGGAGCCCAAGTATACTGGACCAGCTGATCATGGAGGACTGCCACGAGGCTCTCACCATGTTGAGACGACTAGGGATCCTCAACCCGATAGGATACACTCGCATGGGCCACAGTTACCTGCATCATGCATTGACGAACAAAGCTTTCAGAGTGGCGCGCATGATCTGCAGCCACCACACCCCGCAGGACTGGGTCAGCAGCAGTATTATCCCCGACATTACACCATGCCATTACTGCGATGAGAATGAAGGCCAGGCGCACCGCAATATTGAGCTCCTGGCGGAGCACAAATAGGCCAACCAGTTCGACCGCGCTTTCTTCAATATTGTCCACCCCTGGTGGGTGCAGCAACAGAATCCTCCCGGTGCTCTGCTGCGGGCCCATACCCGCCGAATGATATGCAGATTCGCCTCGCGTGATCTGGCTAACAGGCTTTTAGCAGCGGGGATTAATCTTTCGCAAACGCCAACGATTGTTGTGGCTTGCGGCTCGAACTCGGTGACCATGGCGGGACCCCCTGGCATCTGGCTGCAACAAATCGCGACATTACTTTCCTTAACTTTTTGGACAATCGGATACACGACCACATTTTTACCCTCGACTTTAACAATCGACTGCCTCTCGGCATAGCGATCATGGATAACAGCTATGAAGCCGCTCAACGGCTGATTCAGCTGGGCCATTCTCTTCGTGAGCAAATGTACAGCCTTCTACTCACGCTCCCCAGCCCTAATAACAGTATTTCCATTCTTTTCAATGAACTTGGAGCAAAAATCAATACTATCCACAGGACAACTAACAGGACAACTATCTACACTATCCTGGGAAACAAGAGCTGGGCCAAGTTTGGCCCGTTGCTACACGATGTTGTCCACGCGGTGCACTCTGTGAATGCACCGTTGCAGGCCAAAGTGACAGCTCTGCGCCAATGGGGTGTCGCCAATCGCCGAAAGGTCACTCAAAAAACCAGGCCCATCAGCGCCGTAATTTCAGCCAATACGACCAAGGGAGTACGTTTGATAGAGGCGATTAAAGAAGGCAACGCAGTAGCCCAAGGAGACCCCCAGGCACTCGATGGTGCTGGCCGGAATGCGAGCAAAGTTGCACTTATCTTGCATGTATCTCGGTCAATCATCGATCTCTTGTGAGGACTACTCGATATGTATCATATTGGTTTGATATAGCTCATGTCCACTTCAAAGTTAACTTGCGGATGCAATTGGCCCTTCAAGTTGTATTTCCTCATGAAACAAGATGTAACCAGCGATTTAAGATACTAACATTCCAGATAGCTCCTTGTGCAAATGGCATAATCAGGAAATCTATCGGGACTCCCGTCCTGATCGGACGGGATCCGCTCCAGGTCGACGGAAGATCCGCTAGTAGCGAGCATAAATACCGGATTCCACAACATTGACCACGTCAACCCCATGTTTCCATCCATAAGTACTGGAAAATGTTAGACCTGACCAGAAAAGTCGTCCTCATTACCGGCCTGGGCCAAACGACCGACCAGGGCTGGGGCATCGGTGCCGCAATCGCAACCAAACTGGCGGAACAGGGCGCACTGATCTTTGGCGGCAATCGATCCCTCGAGTCAGCGAAGCGAACAAAATCCCGCATCGAAGCTGCTGGCGGAATATGTGATGTGCGAGAAACAGATGTCACAAACAGCACGTCTGTAAAGGAGCTCGTTGACGCTTGCATGCAGCGACACGGCCGAATCGATATCCTGGTCAACAATGTCGGCAAATCGGAGCCTGGTTGTCCCGCTGCCATGGCCGAAGATACCTGGAATGCGCAGATGGACCTGAACCTGAAGAGTATCTATCTCACTTGCCATCATGTGCTCCCAATCATGGAGAACCAAGCTACTGGAGGTTCGATTGTGAATGTCTCGAGTATCGCGGGCTTGCGGTACATCGGCAAGCCACAGGTCGCATACTCAACGACCAAAGCTGCCATGATGCAGTTTACCAAAGTCACCGCTGTTATGTACGCGGCGAAGGGAGTGAGGTTGAATACCGTCGTCCCAGGACTCATCTACACTCCGTATACGAGGGAACTGGCGAAACGGTATGCACCTGGTGGCGATGAGGAGGAGTATATGAGGATGCGGGATGGACAGGTCCCCATGGGGCGGATGGGAGACGGATGGGATGTGGCGAATGCTGTGGTGTTTTTGGCGTCAGACGAAGCGAAGTACATCACTGGTCAAGAGTTGGTGGTGGACGGTGGAATCACTTCGTCTACAGGGAGAACTTGACATTTTAGTGGGCATCTTGTTCTTTGTACGCATTGTTGAACAATGACTTGTATAGAAGGGAGGGAAACTGGAAACTCCTGAGCCGACAATAAGTTCATTACCGTCCAGTGGCTGCGTGTATATGTACCTCGCAAATTCTAACATTAGTACATCCAACATGGCTCCTTTGTCCCATGAAACATGCATAATCGCTATCTGCGTGTAGAGTACATCACACCTCTAGCCTATTGATAATGCTCTCCACGTCTGCAAAACTAAGCTCGGCCATTGTCTCCTGCCAGAGCTGCTTGGCGATTGCCTCACCCCGAAGCTGATATACGAAGGGAGCCATGCTAGTGAGAAGGTTGGCATACACTCAAGGCAGGATCGAGTCCCATGATATAAGAGGGGACTTACGGAGCCACCTTGCCGTCCAAAACATACTGCCCGAGGGATGCCGGACCATGATTCACTGCTGCATCCACAAGCGCACGTGCACCGACTGACGCTTCCCGGGCAATGAAGAACTGCATGAAGCGAACGGCATACCCAACCACGGAGCCCTTGAAATCCCGGTCAAGGCCAGATTTGCACAGACCCGGATTGGGGGCGTTGATGACGACAATCGAGGAGGGCACACGCTGAGCGAGTTCTCGGAGGAACAGTTGACCAATTACCTTTAAAACTACATAGCGATCCTGAAATTTGAAGCTCTGCGGCTTATCGAAAAGCTGTGAGGAGAGGGGTGCTGTCTCTCTCCTTGAACTCGGCCCAGGCGGGGGTATCAAACGAGACAAATGTAATATGGCCGGGGTGCACCAGATTCTTTTCTTGGAGGACAGGAATCACAAGTATCACAAGAAGCACATTTCCAAGGTAGTTGACCTGAATACGCTCCTCGTGTCCAGTCTTCAGGTCAAGCGCGAAGGATTTCTTGCAGACACCAGCGTTGTTGATCACAATGCCCAGCCGATCAAGAGTCGTGGTGTAATCGAAAAAAGTGGTAATAGAGTCGTAGCTAGCGAGGTCAAGTTCGCACACTTCGATCTGACATTGCTCGACAAAAGTTGCTGTATTGCTTCCTCACCCTTGGCCAAAGACCGAACAGCCCTTCAAGCCCTAAGTCAAGAGGCGGTGCGCAGCGTTCAAAACCAATACCTGGGTTGGCTCCAGTAACAAAGACAGTCTTTCCCGAAAGATCTATCTCCTTGGGTAAGACTCTGGGTGGCTCCCCAAAGAGCTGGCGCTTCACGAACGCCCCTTGGGTCGTTCGCTTAGGTGAAATCAGCCATCACTAATTGAACTCAGAGAGAAGATGCAGATTAGAGAGGACACACACATGGTGATACTATCAGTTATTTACGAGTCACAGCCTAAGCTAAACCGCCACAAGAGCCGGGCTAGTCCCTTTCAAGGCCGACGAGGCGAACCGTCTGTGGGCCGGGCATCAGGTCCAGCCCTATCAAAGCTATAAGCCTGTAGGTGCTCGTCGCCTCGAGTTAGTGACCAAGATTGAAAGCCTAGAACGTGTTTACTAACTCTGCAAGTCCTCATCTATCTCTTAACTTTTATGGAACGTGAAGAACCCTTAATGACTGGTAACCCTGAACACTGTTCAAGAATTGTCCCAATGACGACTTTGTGGTTAATGAGCTCGAATTAAATCCAGCTGCCGTCTCACTGCTCAAGAGATGGGCGGAAATAGAGGGCGAAATAAACCAATAGTGCTATAGCAGTAATTGGTGAGTGTATGACGCGACAATGTGATTCCGCGCAATAGTTGTGCCGTATTTCTTTCCAAGCCTGAGCCGAGTATTTATCCAACGGCGTATGCATACTTAGTCCTTTTTTTACCCTACTAGACCCTGGTTTTGACCTTTTTGGAATGCCGGGTGTCGGCGACACTAATAGCTTCGACACCCGTGCCCTGGGTTATATCACGAGCCTACTACCACAGCGGTGAAATATCTAGAAGATATAAAGATGGCCACTCCAGCAGGGCGTAGGGGTTCTCTTTGTACCCAGAGATCTAATTCAGGCTAATTATATTAAAGGAATACCCTGTGATGCAGCTTCTAAGAGGATGGCCCCTTGGCTGGGTTATAGACGACCATAATTTCTATATGATACTAGGACAACTACAGCAGCTCTCAGTTGTTAGTGAAGCTAGTCTATTTCAGATGACCTAGGATGGCGAGACACTATTATATGTCAGTGCAGCATTATTCAAGGTAGATATCATTGCTGATTCTCATAATAGTATGCAACAGGCCTGTGCTTTCGGGCTCACCGGACTTCTGATCACACTGTCTTTGCCTAGTACAATATATTGTGGAAGTCGGGTGTTTCATCAACGAAGGAAGAACGAGTACATCCGTTTGTGATACTCCATTATCATCATATGATCGATATTGTGTGAATTCCGGACTGAACTTCAACTTCTCTTCATTTCGCGCTTTATAGACCTGGGGGTGTTGGTCACGGACAGTGATGTGGATATCCACAAGTCCGACCGAGTTACGCTACTATATAAGACATTTATGTAGAATGAGCAAGATAACATGATATACTCTCAAAGTTTTCTCGTCCAGAGCTGACCGAGTACCTAACCAAGGCAGCAATCGTACTATCGAACAAACTCAACGCCATTATGCGACAGCCTACTGATAACGTGAAGCAGCTCGTTCACTGTAGCAAAGGCAACCTCATCTCCAGCTTAGAAAAGCAGCGAGGTATCAGACGCTTACTTATTTAATTAGTCTCCTTGGCGGACGGCTTGGAATTTCTTCTGAGCGCCAACTTAGATATACACACTGGACATAAAATTCCACGTGTTCGATCACGCAATACGCCACGACCCGCTCGAGTCTGCCTAGATTCTCATACGCCATGGCGTTCTGGTGAAGCACTACCCCATCTCTTGCTGCATGTCGAATCAAATAAGGTCATTAGTCTGGACCATATTTGGTGAAAGACGTCGTCGTCTTCTAGAGATTGCGAGTGAAACTTTACCCAGCGGCGATACAAGCGGAGCTGGGATTACACACTGGGGCTCTCCCTGATCTGAACGCAGACAGAATATGGCGGGAATTGAGCATCCGTAGCTTCCCTACTCCTGACTCACTGAAGCGAAAAATTACTTGTCTATTATTAAGGACTTTGATCATTCGATCGACACATTTGAGACATTGTACCAAAAAGAGTTCCGCGACCTTGACTGCGTGATGGATAATGGATGCAGCAAATGAACGTTCCACCACCTTCGGTTGAGCCAGATCATTGACTTCCTTGCCTGAGCTAGGTGGCTCCTGGAGGAGGGTGTCCCTTTACGGATACTAGACAACATGGGCCACACCACTGCTCACCACGAACTGGCTTTGAGAATAACAGGCCTCATTATTCGTCGTGATGGTGAAGGACTAGTTATTCCAGCCGCGTTTCCTGCGCAACATAGGGCTTTTATCAAGTCGGCCCTCGGAGCAAGGTGCAATAACTCTTGCTGGTGCTTTTATTCAGAGTCAGTATGCTCTCCACTTTCCATGGAAGAACATCATCCTGCAATACAGTAATAATATTGACGATATGTTTAGCATCCCTCCCACAAAGACATGACACTAGTGGGCGCCAGTGGACACTAGCGGGAGTTGGATTCCTCTAAGTGCAGCGGTAAAAGGAGTGCTTCGGGTCGTCTGGCAACTATATATCGGTCACTATCCCCGTCGCTCATATTGTGTCCCTTCAATCCCAAACTATAGACAAGATGAAGCCAATCCCATCAGGCAAAGAACCACGCCTTTCTAGCCCTCTCGGCGGGCCCCATCGGCTCTTCGACGACTCGTTCATTATTGAATTCTTACAGCCAGCCGTAGAGCTCGATGCGACGGTCCTGATGCGGGCAACATATGTCGGAGACCATCCCTCCATGCAGCTGGGGAAAAAGCACCCTCAGGTAAGTATATCAACCCCCAGAAGCCTAAGTCTTTTAAGCTAAGATTGTCTAGGTTCCACCGATGCATCTTCACTTCATGCAGTCCGAATCCTTCATCGTCGAAACCGGAGCTATCGGCACGACAACCACATACAGCCTCATCGACACAATCCACACGAGTAGCGCAAATTATCCACAGAACAAGGTCCCGGCGAGGCTGTCACCACCCCTTCCTGTCCGTAGTGACCAGGGCGTTACGGAAATCACCCCGTGGACGCCACATCAATTCTGGCCGTAAGTTCATCCAAGGGCTCCATTTCCCGTTCCAAGGCTCACGTTTTCGACCCAGAGTATCGCCAAGCCACCCATTTTGGTTGACTGCGGAGGGCAAATCTCAGGAAGCCTCGTCCCCTCAGGGTCGGCGCACTGATACCAACCTCCTCATCTGGGGACACCCTCGAACCCATGACAATCCGCCAGTGGGCGGTCTCAGCACCGCCTTTCCGCCAGATCTAGACGCGGCGTGGTTCGTGGCACTCTTGTCGCTCGTTGACGCCGTGCATGGGCAGCGCTTGACGATGAGTCCTGGACTCGGGGCTGTGCTGATGGCATTACAGACTGCGAGTGGTGCGTCGCTGATTATAGCGCCAAAGGCATGGTGGCTTGGCCCATTGAGGTGGGCGATCCCTTGGTCGGCGCAGGTGGTTTTTGAGCGCGCGCGAAAATTGTTCCGAGGGAAAAGTGTGGTGCAGCTTGTGGAGGAGGTTATCGAGCGGGAGGTTGTGAGGCGGAAGTGATTAGGGGAGATAAACCTAGATATTGTATCTACAGGACTGCGAAGTGCGAAGAGATGGGCTGAAAGGGCCCACAGTTGGACGGCAACTGGCTGCATCCCAAGATCGGCTGCGGGCTAGCGGCACTGGCGCCACCACTGCTTCAGCTCACGCTTTGCACAACCTCTTGTCTGGGGAGAGAGCTCGCAATTTCAGAAACCTCGCTCTTCGGACTACCAGAGACAAGCTTTTCAGATACTTTCCCCTGCTACCTTCATGGCGATGCGAAACGCCTGCATTTCATGCCGTTTCAGGAAACGCAAATGTGACCGGGCCTTTCCAACATGTGGTCGATGCGAAGCGTATGTCATATCAGCGATGCACCATTAAAGAGTGTGTATTAATATTATGTAGAAATTTCACCGAGTGCATTTACATTCCACAGAAGCATTGCCGGGCCGTGCAGCTGGCAGCGCAAGCTCCAGACATAGGATACACTGGCATTTCCCTCTGGCCGCTGTTCGAGCCATACCCCATCCCTCGGCGGTGGTACATGCCACGCCTACTCCAAAACTGTACGTCACCTGCGCTTGATGCACATCCCTCATCTGATGTCGGAATTTTGCAGTCATTGACGGGCTAGGCGTCTCGCAAGTGCCGGTCCACCCTGGAAGCATGGCATGGAGCTTACAAACCGTGTGGATGCAGCACGCGCTCAGCGACCCGTGCCTGTTCCACGCTACCCTCTTCCTGGGGTCTAGTTACTCTGATATGCTGCGCGGAGAGAGAGCAAGCTCTTCTATAACCCTGTTTCATCAGAGTGAAGTGCTTAGGTTGGTTGGCGAACGGCTAGGCCACCCTGTTCTCGGGATAGATGACTGTACAATTGCAGCAATCACGCCCCTTGCGTCTTCTGCAGTGAGAAATCCTCATCTACTCTGGAGTCATTGCCATTGCTAATATAAAATAGGGGTTTAGAGGAGACCGAGATGCAGCACGTATCCACCAAGCAGGAATGCGGAGGATGGTGGAATTGCGTGGTGGACACGACAAGTTAGGTATGGGGGGCTTAGTCGCCGCCTTGTTACATATGTGAGTATGCCGCCTTGTGCGCATGATCCCCTTGTCGTTGGCTAATGGTAACTAGGAATAGCCTTGTATGCAGGATCGCGTTCAATCAGGATGATTATCCGTCGTCCGGTGGGAAACTCACTTTGCCGCCGTCGGCGCTAGAGATTCGAATTCTAAACTCCCTCGAGGATTCGCCGGGGCACAATATCCCCGTCCAGTCAATCAGGAGGATTATTCAGGTTGCGTTCAACGCCAAGTTGCAGGCTAATAGCCAAGTCTCGCCGGCTCTGGACCGCGATAACATATCCATCCCCGAGGACCCCATAAATCAGTGCTGCTACCTAGCCATGACGATTCTCCTCTCCATCATCCAACAACCCCTTCATCCCTCGAAGTCTCTGAACTGCCTCGTCCATGATCTGAAATCCTACCTCACCCTAACAGATACTCAGACGTGGCTCCGATATCTCCCAGAGGTATACAGCTGGGTGTGCATGATTGGAGCAGCGACGACAGACAAGCTGGAGCAGCGAATATGGTTCTACTTTAGGCAGGCCTCTGCACTAAGGTTGGCCAGCCTGCAGAATGGATATTTCATGGATGAGCTCTGGGCGCACTTTGAGTGGCTGAGGGAGCGGAGGTCATCACGAGCCGGTGCCGGGGTCGATGATCAGGGTTGGCCCTGATAAACAGGTCGCTACCGGAGATGACAGGGCATTGATTTACCAATCAAATATCTTATAATTTACAGGGCATCTTCCTTTTCATTTGTTTAACTCGAAATCAACCAACGTTGAATATCAAGTTTGCAATCTTGGACTGGACACGGGAGATATTCGATATCCTGATGAGGTCATGACCTAGATTCCCACGTCGACACTACGATCCATATCATCTCTTGAGAACAACACAGGACATCCATAGGCTCACTTCCTGCCTACCAAGCTGATTAATCTCCAAACTAAGAAGGTCAAGCATAGTACGCCGTCGCCAAACATGACAATAGTTCTTCCCAGGACATGCAATAGAATACCTAACAGACAGGAAGAAGCCATGGTTATATCTCTACTCTAAGAAATTCAGGGGAACCGTACCTTGAAAAGGGCCGCAACACCACAAGCAGTGGGCTCACTTGCGCAAGTAAAAAACCCGCATCTGCCGGCGCAGCATAAGGCATGATTTTATCCATTTTGGCTCCACATACTGTTGTAATTCTAGTATAGGGACGCGGTGCTTTGGAGCAGCTCGTTCCGCGGAAGGCCCGAGGAACCATGTACTTGGCTCGTGATCTAGATTGAGTATAGGTACTACTAGGATTCCAGGATGTTCCGCTTCTTTCCGGTTTCCCTTTTGTTAGCTGACATTTTAGCTGACAGGACCAAGGAATGATAAGATGTAAGCTACGAGATTAGCATGTTTCTGAGCACGGGGCGGTCATGCGTGCGCTGTATTTAAGTGGGTGATTATTATTTCTCGTACGTATCTAACCCAAGATTATCACTCGTTGCTTGAAAAATGGCATCTGTATGGGTCCTGGCTCTGCTCGCCGTGGTTAGTCTAGTAGTCGTTGTCACCCACGGCCGGGGGAAAAGTCCTCCAAGCGGGTCGAGACGCCCTCCAAGCCCAAGATACGGTAGGAAGGAGACTCTTTAAACTCATCCCCTTGTCAGCATGAACCCTCCCAGGCTAACGAATCCACGCCCAGGACTACCGATTGTCGGCCATGCCTTGCAAGTGCTACCGGTGCATTCATGGCTCAAGTTCAAGACATGGACAGATGAGCTCGGTCCCATTGTCCGGTTCCGCGTTTTTGGATGGGAGAATATCGTACTGTCCACGGAAAAAGTGGCCAACGATCTACTACGCGAGCGGGGCTCGCGATACTCCTGTCGAGAGCATCGTACGTATTTGGGACCCTTATTAAGGCTGGGACTAGCGCTACAGCTGCTGCCATGATGCCCTTTGTGCTTGTTATTGTTCTCTCCCTCCAGGAGCAGCAGGCAATGTGGGATGAGCTTGATAAGGTTGTGGGCGACCGGATGCCGGAGTTTGAGGATGTACCCAGACTCCCAACGTGTCAGGCAGTTATCAAGGAAGTTCTCCGGTGGAGGCCTGTTACCAGTGGAGGTAAGTACCTTTCCCCTGGCTCCCATTGCCGTACCTGTCTAACTGAACTTGTGCAGGTGCTCTAGATCAACTGACGGAGAACGATATCTATAATGGATAATTCTTTCCCAAAGGGACCACGGTCCACGCAAATCAATGGTAGGCCTTGGCCCGCACAGAAGACGCAAAACCTCACATCACTCACTAACTCGTTGCACCAGGGCCATTCACCGAGACCCCGAACTGTACCCGGATGGCAACACGTTTAACCCAGACCGGTGGCTTAAGGCTTAGTCCCAAGTACCCCAGCTTCCGGGAACCGTTGAGCAAGTATCCATCTCTGCAGAACTTCTCCAGCTTCGGCTGTGGTCGGCGGATTTCCCCGGGGATGAACATCGCCGAGCGGTCCCTCTACATTCTCCCAGGGCGTGTCATGTGGGCCTGTCGAATTACCAAAGCGAAGAATGCTAATGGCGCGGATATCACACCGCCGTCCTATGATTATACCACTGGATTCAACGCATAGCCGAAGCCATTCACGTTCCACCTCGAGGCACGCTCGGAGCAGAGACGCCTGGCAGTTGAGGCGTGGTGCGAGGCCGACCATGAGGACCCGCTTGCTTGGACAGCGCAGTATAGATTAGGGCTTTCCCCAAAGGGAGGGGCCAAATCCTGATTTCTCTGCTTTGGTGGGAAGCCTTGACTCGCAGCAGCTCTCGTCCCATATCTAGTTGCGCCGGTAACGAAGGTAAAAATCCGCCACCGCCGTTCAAAATACACCGAGTCCCAAGGGTTTCCTCATAGAGTTTATTGTCTCATGGTAGGACGCTGTTGTGATTTCCTGGGGAGCAGACGTCAGGGCCGTCTGTGAGGAATTGAACGGGGAGCTCTAAGGCTTCACCATTCTACCGAACAAGATGCCGCAGCGAGCAGTATATGTACATTTCTAGAAGTCAACGGGAGGGCCAAACGCTCAACCACGCCATAGTGTTGTACCTTGTCGGCTTCAGCAAGGAAGCGATCTGTAATAAATGCCAGTTATCTTATATCCTCTCTCGACCAACGAATTCCTCCTCTTATACTCGCAACAGACCAGCTCAACCGTATGCCCCTGTTTAAGTGTTATCACGGTCCAACGGACCATCGTTGACCAGACTGTGCCATTTTGCTATCTCAAGAAGTAGGTCTAGAACATGAGATGATTCAAGCTGCTCATCAACATCAGGGGACAGAGGCACATGTTTTCGCCATTCCACGATGGCTTGTTTGCCCCCAGGGGCTTGATCGTCATCCCCGCCATCCAGTCGTCCTAGTCGTTCATTGAATGTTGATTGTGGCATCAAGGACCAACCGAGGAGGTCGGCTGCAGCACAGCAGGCGGAATCACTGGTAACCCGGCCCAGAGACTCATCAGTGGGATTCAACTCGGGACCAGTGGATTCTCCGTTTGCGATGTTGGGAATGATAATTGCAGAGCCCATGCTTGTGCATGGTTGCGTTATATCCTCACGTGGGTAAGGTAGTAACGGAGCACCGTCCTGCAAGGGTCGGTCACGGATAGTCTCATGTGCATTCCTTACCGGAGACTTGCAATAATCCTTGTAATTCGTACCATAGTAGCAGTTGACGCCGGTTCTCTGGCAGCGGTGACACGGTATTTCGCTATCGCATTTGACCTTGGACCGCTTGCAGGACATGCATGCTCGACTTACTCGGCCCCGCCATGCAACGTACTTCTTCCCGGGCGTTGGATTGCAGGAGTGAATGGCATTTCCATGTCGGCCTAATGAGTCGCTGTGATTTTCTTGTTAGACACAATTGCGCTGGGTGGTTGGTTTTGGAGATTGGACATACACACGGTTGAATCGTTGGCCGCACACTTGGCATGCATATGGTTTTGTGTCTGTGTGCGTGTGCAAATGGCGGTCATAGTGGCTGCGTCGGCTGAACGTGGCAGCGCACATATTGCAATGGATGCGCAGGGAATCCATTGGCGATCCGTGTGATTTCTGGTCAGTCGCATCGACGTTGGTAGTTTTGTGGTCGGGATGAACACGGCGGGGATGCGAATGCCTGGCTCTGAGCAATCGAACCAGAAATAATTACCCTATTGCTTCGCCCCTCTGCCACGTGGTGTTGTGGAGATGATCTGTTGGAGGAGCAAGTAAAGGGTTAGGGTTTACTGGTATCATTCCGCGGAACGCTCCGTACAGTCGGAACCAAGCTGCTCGCCCAACCTATTGCAGCAGTTTACCCGGAGCTGCGGGGTAACTCTGGCCTCCTACTTCATCGTCACCTGCATTGCGAAATCCACCCCGCCTCTCTTCCGCGGAATGGACTCATAAATTGTCCCCTCGCGACTTTCGACACCAGAGCGACACTCACCGATAGAGCCAAAAAAATCCGACCAACATACCACGATGAGTCTGAAGGAGTACATCTACAAGCAGGTTGAAGGAGGCGGCCTGCTAGCCAGCGTCTGGTACAAGTCTGGGCCCGAAGAGACGGGAAAACCCATCGGTGAGTTGCATATTCAAGCCCAAAGTGGCCCATCGTTGACCTAGAAAGCACTCTATTTTCACGGAGGCAACCTAGTTCTAGGCCACAAGGACATGTTATCCCAAGACTACATCCAGCAGCTGCTAGACTTGGGATTCGGAGCGGTCGTTTCGCCAAACTACCGACTTGCTCCCACGATTTCTGCAGCCGAGGGGCCTGTCCAGGATGCCAAGGATAGTTACCTATGGACCCAGACACAGCTGCCGGGGCTTTTGGCCAAGGACGCCAATATTCGCCTTGATGGGAGCAGGATTGTGACTTTGGGCCACTCTGCCGGAGGGACCCTGGCCCTTTTGATGGTGCGTTGAAACCATTTAACTCCCTTCACCTCCAAGGATTGGGGTACTAACGGCGAACCACAGGCTTCGCTCCCCCAGAAACCACTTGCAATCCTCGACATCTTTGGTCTCAAGTACTTTAACGATGATTTCTACACCAAGCCCAACCCCGCGTTCCTCAAGCTACCGGACTTTGACCAGGCACTACTGGATAGAATCTATCAAGATCTTCCTGCCCCAAGTGCCGGGCCACCTCCCTTGGGACCAAACGGGCCTGATCTCAACAACCACCGCGTTGCCTGGCTCCTTACTGCTTTCAAAAAGGGCACGTGGCTGAGCTCAATCGTGCCAGATGGGAACTATAGCGGGATTGACCCAGCCACGCTCTTTGGCTCTTCGTTTCCTCCTACATACTTCCTGCATGGGGCGGCGGATACACTGGTTGATGTTGAGTTCTCTCGAAGAGCGTTTGAGGAGTTGAAGAGTAATGGTATTGATACTAAGCTCGTTGTTGAAGAGGGAGCACCGCATGGCTTTGATGCCGGGTCGAAGCCCGGGGAGCGTAAGTATGAGCTTGTGACGGCGGGTTTCAAATTCCTTGCCAGCTGTGCTACCTAAGTAGAGATGAATAGAGCGGTAGAGCAGTATACTTCTTTGCAATCGCGAACTTGGTGCCTGGCGCGGGATGAAGAAAGTTTTTCCGCCACGCTTCGGGCATCGTATCTACTCTTCCGATCATGTACTGCTCGAAGAGCTTGACGAGCGAGAAGCTGCTTTAAGATCTTTTCTCTAATTGGCTACCTCGGAATATAACTCAACTCCTCGGAACAGTAACAGCATACAGACAAACTTTCTGGCTCGGGAGAACTGAATCCGAGCTCGATTGTGGGACAACAAGGGTCAAGCGCAATCATGCAATATATCGATGATATTACCCCAACTGACAGGTCTATAGAAGCACTATGCACTACGAAGGATGCCGGGCCAACGACTATAGCTCCAGCTAGGTAGATACACGGCAGGTCCCTACTCCCCCATCTCCCGATCCGCAGCCCAGTGCGCAAGCTTCATAATCCGCCACTTAAGAGTCGCATGCCGAACTCTCTTTCCCCACACGTAGAGCGGAATCCACAAGGCAAGGATGAAGAAGCTGAAGCTGGCCATGGTGGCAAAGGCCCCTGCGTACCCATCGCGCTCGACCCAGGAGTTGGCGTAGAAAGACATGAGGAATGTAATGAAGGCTAGAACACGATCCACTGGTTAGCAACCCAGGTTGCAGAGAAGAAGAGAAGAGGGAATGGGTCTCTGTCAGAGAGGCAGGTCAGATGAGAAGGAGTGACATACACTTAAAGGCAACCTGGCTGACGACAACCTCGCCCGCAATAGCTCGGTAGCTGTCAATTGTGTACGTGACGCTCACGCCAATCGCGGCACTACTGCCAAAAGAGACTGTTTTGTTGCACAGGGTAATCAGCACCGGCCGCGATAAAGTATGTATTCAGGCAGGCGTAAAGAGGGAAGCAAAGCGCATTCCGGCTTACATAGAAAGAGACCGAGGATCGGAACCATGTAGTGCGTTCTGTAATGGAGACCAAGGCCGTAGAGGAGGAGGGATCCCGGATAGCAGACCATGGCCACGCTCACCGCGGGAAGCCGCATCTCGGGCTCACGGATGCCCCTGTTTTTCAAAGTCGCACGATTTGCGACCCAGTCGGAGAAGTAACCCCCAAAGGGCATCCCAAGCAGGTTCCCGATAATGCTCGCGATCCAGACCACTCCCACTTGCCAGACGGTAAAGTGGTAGACCTGCGAGAGTGCATTGGCTGCAGTTGTGCCCATGACAACGAAGATGCCAATCCCGATACCAAAGGAGACGGTGGACCAGAGGACGGGGGGGAGACAAACGAGAGGCACTGGGCGGAAAGCGATCTTCCAAACCGACTCCCGGGTCAGGGGCTTGGAGTTGAACGCAAGACGCTGGAGAAATGATTTCTTGGGGATGTTGGATGCGGATTGTGGCGGGACATCCTCCACCTCGCGTACACTCGGTGCTTTGGATTTTGGCTCCGTTGTTGTTGTTGTTGTTTCGAGGTGGAATACCTCTCGCTGGAATGCGGTCTCGGGCATGGTGAAGAAGATCAGGGCTGTGGTAACTAGGACCAACGTAGCACACAGGTAGTGGAAGGTTCTCCAGCTCTGTGAGATGGACATGAGGCCCGCAATGAACGACCCAAAGGCGGCACCGGTAGAGAGCGAAGCAGAGTACATTCTGTCAGAGATCCATAAGCATGAGCGGCAGTAGGATGACAAGGATAATCACGGTCTACATACGCAGTCATTTTTCCACGCTCGTGCAAGAAAAAGATATCGGCAATCGTAAGTGGAGCAACGCACTCGGTGCTGCCAGCAAACCAGGCTCCAATAACTCTTGAAGCAAGCAGGCTGCCGTAGCTTGTCGCCTGTGCCGACCAAATGCAGCAGAGCCCAAAGGCTAGAAAGGAAAAGGTGTACACCACGCGACGGCCATATTTAAGAGCAAGAGGCACCCACAAGAGGTTGGCCACACCGGCAGCGGCCGAGGCCGTGGAGAACAGTAGCGCAACCTTGGTGACCGCGGACGAAAACTTTGCAATGGAAGATGGAGACAGCGTAGCGGGGTTGGTAGGGTCGGGGGGGTACGCGCCAAAGAGGTCAATAACAATCTCGATCAAGACAGTCGATGGGCCAGCTGCGAAGAAATTGACCCAAGTCAACGCGGTGCATGTGAGCACGGCAACATAGATCTTGAAGGCCCTGGACCTGTGAAGGGAATCAGAATCGAGGACGGGCAGGATGGTGGAGTGGCTGACACCTACCAATTCAAGGGGTCGCCGGGGTCCGAGGATGGCTGGGGAACCAGGAGTGTTGCGCCAGTTCCGTCCTGAAGCCGGACGCGACCCAGCGTCTCTGGGAGACGGTGTACCATTATGGAGGTTACGAGAGTCCGGATGAGTGCGGGGGATGTAAGTATCAGGCAATACTGGAGTCGGAAGATGGGGTGATATATACCCACAGTGTGGGCGTTGCGGGGTGTAGGTCGAAGGCGTGGGGTATGGAGAGAATGCATCGATAGCATTCGAGGGCTCAGGGGATTCCGCGGAGGGATTGCGTCGGCGGTATTAGTCGAGATGCTTCAGTGGCGCACCATAAATCAGCATGAAGATGTGTGATTTGACTTGCAACGAAAAGGGTAGACAGACATGTGTTGGCTGCGTTGTCGGTGGAAGGACGCCTTGGAGGGCCAAAGCAGCCTCGAGTAGTGATCATGTAGAGTGCCAATGGCCCTGGCCGCTATAGGAAGTGATGAACGAGAAAAGGCCCAAGTACCAACTTGTGTATAGGCAGGTTTTGGCTAAGGCAGTCTGCAGAATCTCGCAGAAGAGATTCCGCAAGAAGCATCTACGGTCTATGGACGACGGCGTAGAAGCAGTTTGTCCTGAAGGGCCATCAACCCACTGCTAGCCAAGCGCCCAAGATTGCTTTGGGAAGCTATTAGTACGTTCCGCGAATTATTCTCCATCGAATGCCCTTGAAAGAAGCCCGAGAAATGCATCTGCAACCCGTGGCGTAACATTCCAACGGTCCTGGAAGATTCCGCGGAAAGTGTCGGGCGACCGTAAACCCCGGATTGCTCAACACTTCGTGGGGTGATCTGCTTTGACTGATATAACGTGGGAGCAGCGCCACTCTGGGCATAGACGCTGTTACCCTTGTCTGTACACTGAACAACCCCGAGTCCAGCTCTGGCAGAAATGGAGCCCACGCAGAATGCACTGCACACACCGACCAACAAGACCCCGCACGAGAGCCACTTTGGGCTTCCTTCGCCGTGGGAACACTATTACCAGCCCATCGAAACCGCGCCGCAGGGTCGCTTCGAATGCGACCTCGATGAAATGGTCGTCTTTGGTGACGTACCTAGGGAGATCAGCGGAACCTGGTATCGCATCCTCGTGGACCCTCACTTCTGCCCGCAGCCGGGAACCCCGTTCGTTGACGGAGACGGCCACGTCTGCGCGTTCAGAGTCCAGGAGGGAAGGATATCCATGAAGATCAAATACATACACACTGAGAGGTGGCTGCTGGAGCGCAAGGCAGGTCGTCGCCTGTTTGGCCGCTATCGGAATCCCTTTGACATACACCCATGTGTGCGATACGCCAACGACAGCACGGGAAACACCAACATTATCTATTGGGGTGGTAACCTTCTAGCCTTGGCTGAAAGGGGTCTACCGTACGCCCTGGACCCAGACACTCTCGAGACCAGGGGTGCGGATCCCTTTGGGGGCCAGACAATTGCAAAGACTTTTGCGGCGCATCCCAAAGTTGACCCGCACAAGAACGAGCTTGTCACCTGGAGCTACTCTGCAAAGGGGCTCAGCACTCCTGATATCTGCACCTACTCTGTTGACACTCAGGGACGCATCGCCAACGAGCATTGGTTCAAACAAGACAAGCCTGGATGGCCGCACGATGGCTGGATCACGGACAACTGGATCATTCTGTCCAACATGCCCTTTGGGGTCACTAGCGACGAGGAGATGCAGGCTGGCGGTGACTACTGGAAGTTCATTCCTGATCAGCCATCCGAGTTCCTCGTGAGTCCACGCTACGCCAACACGCCGAGCCACCCAGACTGGAAGCCCGGCGAGTTCCGCAAGTACACCGGGCCGCACGGCCTCATTATCCACACCGGCAACGCGTGGGAGGAGGAAGGCGGGATCTTGAAACTCGAGAGCCACTTCCTCAGCTTTAACGTGTTCCATTTCTTCAATCCCAAGGACTATGAGAGCCCGCCGCCCAGTGGCGGCTGGCTGCGATGGACGCTGGATCTCTCCAGGCCCGACGGAACCGCGCTGCCACCACCGGAGACGCTGCTGACGGGCATCTTCGACTTCCCCACCTTCGATGAGAGAATGACCGGTCGCAAAAGCAAGATCCTGTATTTGGGGGGCATGGTGGCGCTGGATGGAGGGTTCCGGCCTCAGTTCAACACGATCATCAGGTTCAACACGGAAACTGGCGAAAAATCCACGTTTTACGCCGGGGATGACGGTGGCGTGGCGGAACCGGCTTACATTCCTCGGGGGCCGGACTGTGAGGAAGGCGACGGCTGGGTTATATTCTACATGGAGAGAGACTCGTCGCCCAAGGGTGAACTGGTGATCCTCGACACAAAGGACTTGTCCAAGCCCCTCGCCATCGCGCAACTGCCCTTTAAGACGCGTAATCAGGTCCATGGGAACTGGGTGCCAAACCCTCACCCCGGTCAGCCCCTGCCCTTGATGTCTGGTCCGATCAAGGATATCATCCCGAGCACAAAGTACTCCCAGCTGCATAGGCTGCCTTAGTTGGAATGTTCCTAGGTAGAATACAATTCACTTATTAAATATTGACCTCTATGCCACTCCAACGAAGAGCCTTTCATCTATCGGACAGCCTTTTCTGGGTGATATGCATCGCACGGTGTTACAGAGAGTAGAGTGTAAAAAATCACAAATCCTGCCTGTGAGCTGCTCTGTAAGCGTCGTTTTCCTCGTTGGCCATGACGTGCCTCGTCGACAAACAGCACAAGTATGCCACATTGGATGTGTTTGGCACTGAGATTTCGGGCCTTAGTCCGTATGCTGACCAAGTTTGCCTCCACGTTCTCCAGGATTATTAACTGGGGGGTCCCCCGCACCGCGGAACTTCCGAGCCGACTCGCTTCTCCACAGCATCTCGGAACCAGCAGAAACTCACATATTTAGCAGCCTCGGAAACAACAGGATGGCGGCCGCATAGTCAAGGAGCCAGTACTGCACGCACCATGATTGCTCAGCTCGCACCTGTGCCCTATAGCGCCTCTACGCTCGCTGTTGCCTTTGTGGCGGTTGTACTGCTGTACTATCTGGTTGGGCCCCTTTTCAGCCCGCTCCGTGATATCAAAGGGCCAGCGCTTGCGCGCTACACGCGTCTCTGGGAGCTGTACCAGAATTGGTGCGGCCAATTCGAGCATGTCACGGTCGCTCTGCACAAGCAATATGGTACGTAGCCACCGTGATGCAACGACTGAAGCTAACTACTCTGCTCGCAAAGGCCCCATCGTGCGCCTGGCGCCCAATCGCTACAGCATCAGCGACCCCTCGGTGATCCGCAGCATCTACGGTGCGGGCTCCAAGTTCTCCAAGTCGGACTACTACGACCCGTTTGGCTCCCCGTCCATGGCGCACCGAGATGTCTTTACCGAGAAGAGCAACGAGAAACACGCCTCAGAGCGCCGGAAAACCTCGCACCTATACTCCATGAGCTCCCTCGTCTCCTACGAGCCCTTTGTCGACAAAGTAAACAGCGAATTCATGGCTGCGCTGGCAGACCATGCCCGCCACGGGCGCGACTTCGACCTGTTTACCTGGATGCAGTTTTACGCCTTTGATATCATTGGCGAGATTACCTTTGGCCGATCGTTTGGTCTTATCGAAGCCGGGTATGATAAGGATCACCTCCTACATGCCGCCCACATGGGTTCGATTGGGTACGGGTCCATGGTTGCGCTGGTGCCAGAGGTTCACCCCTGGTATCTGTGGTTCCAGAGAGTGGTGCCCGTCGAGAGCCACTGGCGGGTTATACAGCGGGTGATTATGCGCGAGATCGGGGAGAGGATGCAAGGGGCAAGCTTTAGCGACCGCAAGGACTTCCTGGAGAAGTGTGCCGAGTTGACCAAGGCTGGGAAGATGGATGAGTTTACAATGAACAATGTTCTCGGCTCCAATGTGGGCGCGGGCTCGGATACCACTGGGATCAGCATGACTGCCATCATCTACTTTCTCATAAGGCATCCCGATTGTCTGGAGAAGCTGCGGGATGAGATTGAGGGTGCGGCGCAGGAGGGCAATCTCTCGGATCCGGTCACCTTCCAGGAAGCCCAGAAGCTGCCGTACCTGCAGGCGTGTATCAAGGAGGCGCTGCGGATGCATGCGGCGGTTGGTCAGATCCTGAGCAGGGTTGTTCCAGAAGGGGGTGCTCAGCTCGCAGGGAGACATTTTCCACAGGGGGTAAGTGTTAATTCGAGACGAGGGGACATCGACTGCAGCGAGAGGAACTGCTACTGACCGTTGTTGTCTCTCATAGACCGTCGTCGGGGTCAACGCCTGGGTAATCCACGGCGATGCAAGCATCTGGGGCGAAGATGTAGACCAGTTTCGACCAGAGCGTTGGCTGGTTCCAAAGGAGAGACTTGCATTCCTAGAACAGCATTACCTCGCAGTAAGTCCACCTTGCTTCTCCGGACATATGCAACTCGCCCTAATCTGGTATACAGTTTGGGGCCGGGGCAAGAACTTGTATAGGGAAGAACATTTCCCTCTTGGAAATGACAAAGCTCGTGCCGCAGTTGGTGAGGAAGTTTGACTTTGTACCTGCTGGAAAGGCTGAATGGACAACAAGCAGTGGGTGGTTCGTTAAGCAGAGAATCCAGGTTAGGCTTGTTGAAAGGAATTGGTCGGCAGAATTGGGAAGCGAGTTTGCGGAATAAATCATCTAATCTTAGTTGTCTATACTGTACCTTGTGTATTCTGTACTGCATCTAACAGATCGAGAGCCAAGACTGGTAGGAAAGAATGCAAGAAAAGGGCAAAACAAAAGTCCAACTTTGCATGCAATCTACTTGTATCAAAAAGGCGAGATAAGAGTGGCTCCAACCAGTGAAGACATTATGAAGTCTAGCTCTACCCTATAATGCCCTACTTGTGGCTTATTAAAGGATTAAAATGGAAACAGGATAGACACGCAGAATTTGGCACAGTGCAATAAAACTATTTAAGGTCTCGAACTTCCTGTCGCAGCCCTAGATTTGCCCGACTGCTCCGGTAGAGCCACAACAGGAACAATAATCCTCGAGTCATACTTGCCACCAAAATGAATGATGTGCTGGCCCTCGTTCAGGTTGTCCAGCTTCTGCTCGATATGGCTGGGGAAGTCCGAGCTGGTATCGATGAAACCTTGGACCCGGAAGAGAAGGCTCTCGCCAGCCTCGAAGTGAATGCCCATGGGCCAGAGCGAGATTTCGAGCTTGACAATCTCCCCAGCAGGCACCTTTTCCTCTTTGTCGTGCGGGTGGAACGGGATCAGTTTGGTGCTCCGTTTCGGATCCTGTGCCCGATGAGACGCGCGGAGAATGCCGGTTGGGCCAGTGTACTGTGCCAGACGCGGTGTTTAGCCCTACCATGCACTCTTAAGAGGGGGAAGCAACTCACCTTTACGGTTTGGGCCATTGGTACGTCGTGCTGGGTATTGACTCCTTCCGGCAGGGCCTCCCAGGGAACGTTGACGTGCTCCAGGACTTCGCCGCTCTTGCTCAGCTTCCGGATGGACACATAGACGTCCATGTCATCCTTCTCCTTGCAGGACATCCAAAGCTCCGCCTTTGAGTGGCCAACGAGGGTGGTTGCTTTGTCGAATTTCAAGACAAACTCGGACGGCTTCGCGTGGTAGCTATCTGCCTTGTGCGCAACAGTGCCCTCGCTGACTTGCGGCGATGGTGCCAGTCTGCCAGCCTCGTTCAGGTAAAGTGACTGGTACTCGGTGGAAGGAATCGGGTAGTCCGAAAATGGGACGTCCAATTTGGGGCCCTGGATGCCGATTCATTAGTTTTCTCTAATGCCATCACCACTACTAGTTTGAGAAATGGGCACCCTACCGGCTCGAACCGACTTCCGTACGTGAGGATGGAGATTCTTGCTCGTGGAGTCTCTTCCCACCCATTCTCGATCCCCTTGAGGTACCGGTCGAAAAAGCGTTGCAGGTCATCGATATATTTGGGGGTGTAGAGATCGAACCACTCCTGGGTTGGGTGGAAGCGAATCCATTTCGCCTTGGAGGCTGCATTCTTCCAACCTCTGACAGTTCCAGCTCCATGATTTCCAGAGGAGTAGCTCGCCAGCGCGTAGATGGGGATTGTAATCCCGCTCGTGTCGTATACCTTGTCCGCCCAGTATGCATTAAACAGAGGCCATTTGCCAAGTGCTCCTGCAATGTCCTCGCGCTGGGTTCGTCCGCGGATAGTCTTGTTGAAGATAAAGGAAGCAAAGTTCGTCTTAGGCACGCCACCGCGACAAATCAAGTCACGGTACTTGTCCGTGAAGGCTTCCCAGGGCGCAATGCACTTGAGCGAAGGGGGTTTTTGAATCGCAGTTACCCACTGCTCGGTCGCCAGCCATGAATTGCCGCACATACTCACGGCACCGTTGCACCATGGCTGCCCGGCGATGAACTCGACCGTGTCGAAGCCGTCAATGCCTGCCACTGTTAGTAAGTTGTGGTATGTTGGGGAAAAGAGCCAAACCTACCCATCTGGCTTCCTTCAATATAGAGATTGCCCTCGCTGTCCCAGGTGCCTCGAATGTCCACATTGACAACCACGTACCCACGTGGGCACCATTCGGCAGGGTCAGGTCTGCACCACCTGGTCAGTACAAATCACTCGACGCATAAAACAGGGCAAGGGTACCCTTCAAACTTCTCCAACCCTGAAGTAGCGCTCTCTGGCAGGCCGAGTCTGAAGGGGATATTGTCAAAAATACGGAAGCCTGGCCAGAGTAGTACCACCATCAGAACCGTTCTTTCCACCGCATGAGCAATCACGTACCATGCCCGTTCTTCCCATAGGGACTTATGGCCAATATCGCCGGAAGCTTTGTATCCGTGACAGGCCTGAATATATCGCAGTAGATCTGACCGCCGCGTTAGCATCCCGCTTCATTTCTTCCTTTATCCGCCCCTGTCTTTTGTCGCAGATGACCTGACCTTGACTCCGTCCCTAAGCGGTACTGCGACGTGTTCGTCAAAGATGAGCTCCTGGTGCAGCGGGCGCCTCCCTTCGTTGAACTTCCAGCCCACTGGAAGAGTTCTGGTGCCCCTCGTCTGCTTTTTGTAGGGGTACATGTTTGTCTCATCTTCGGGGCGGATGGTGGGCACCCAAGGGATGGGCAGCCCGTCAAATTCGAGGTTTGGTCCTGTCATGGTGGCAACTCTCAAGAGCAAACTTTGGAAATATCATGGTACGCCAGACTGTCTTCTCGCACGGTATATATTCTGTACCCATCGCGTAGACAGTATTGTGGGGAAGCCCAAGTGGGGAACCCACGGCAGCGATGAGCGTGGAATCAATACTACAATCAGCCCCTTTGGAACTCTCTCCGCGGAATAAACCGAAAATTGTCAAATATTCTCCACACTCTGGCGCTGCCGGAATTATACCGAGGGTGGTGTCGCACCATTTTAGGGAAAAGCAGGTTGGTGAACGCAAACTACCCACTGGATAGTATGTCCACCCCAGTTGTTCCCATCACGCCGTAAATTAGTTTCTCCAGGACTCGGCTGATCACTCTCGGTAGTTCATTGTCTTGCGATGTACTTGGTCCGGAGCAAGTACGCAGGTCTTGCCGTTGAACCAACTCATGTCCTGCAGCATACTGCATGGGCTACGAGGCGAAGGATCCCGCGCCTTGCGCGATTTTCGATCCCCGAGAAATTTCCGAGAGATTCAGGATTCTTAGGAGCGAAGGTCCACCGGTAGCGCCCGATATATATCAGGGTACTCACGAATCAGCAGGCTGCGAATTCATGAAACCCTTGCGTGTTTGGATTTGACAGCCAGTCCGATACACTGATACAAGGGCAGACCGGATGGAGTACGGTTAATCCTAGTGTTACATATTCCAGGAAATGCTCTTTTTGGAGAGAAGCTCAGCGAATATATGCCCGCGGCGGACCTAAGGGGGACGATCCAGGCCGTCGAGCGCCTGCTGACATGAGGACCAGCACGGGCAAGATAAGATCGTCGGGTCCACCAGAGCGGAATAGGGTCAGTTCGATACCACGATACCCCGCGCAATGGTCACATTGTGCAAGCCGGGGCTACTCTTTCACTACTGTCCTAGACTAGGGAGCTTAAACACACGAATACGGCTGCCAATACAGTGTATCCAACAAGGATGGGGTCAACAAGCCTCATTCTCGAGATTTTTCGCCACCACGAGGGATCCAGGACGAACTCGAACCGGGAGTGGGAGACGGTACATCTGGCGTTTGTGTACCAAAAAAAAGTCCTGAATGAGGTAATGATGGGTTCTCTAAGTACGCCCCCTCAGGCCTTGGAGGTCCGCGCACTGTTCCGCGGAACATGTACCAGGCCCTGCTCCACGAGAAAACATCCTAATATCATGTAGCTGCCATCCTGTTCTGCAAGCTCCAAGTACCGCTTTCAAAGTCTACTGGCTCTCAAAGTCAGTAGTTCAGACCGCTTGGTTCAAGTGCCGGGACAATGTGTGTACAACACTGCTCAACAGACCGTCACCTACTAATCCCGAAAGCCAGGTACACTACATCCTTTGCATTCTTTGAGGCGATATGGGAGGTTTGTTGTCTCGCTCTCCAGTATGCCGAATTGAGATAACGAAAGATTACAGGCCGGAATTACCCATGTCTTCGTCAACTTGGGATCCGACCACCCTAGCATCATGGAAGCAATCGTCAAGGGTCAACGCGAGCGTCCTAATGCATTCCCACGGGTTATTACGTGTCCCAGCGAAATGGTCGCTCTATCGATGGCTGATGGATTCGCCCGACTGTCCAACCGGCCGCAGTGCGTGATTGTTCATGTTGATGTGGGCACCCAGGCCCTGGGGCCGGCCGTCCACAACGCATCGGCTGGACGAGCGCCTGTACTGATATTTGCCGGACTTTCTCCATTTACAATTGAAGGTGAGCTTCCTGGGTGTCGTTTGGAGTCCACAGAGACTGATTGCTTTGCACTACTCAAGGTGAACTGCGCGGTTCCCGCACCGAATTTATTCACTGGATTCAGGACGTACCTGAGCAGACCCAGATCGTCCGGCAATACTGTCGCTATACTGCAGAGATCAAAACGGGGCACAATGTGAAGCAAATTGTAAACCGCGCATTGCAGTTCGCAACCTCCGAGCCCCAGGGGCCCGTCTATCTGTGCGGAGCGCGCGAAGTGATGGAACAGGAGATTAAGCCTTATCACCTGGAACAAAAGTTCTGGACACCCGTGCAGCCAACAGCCCTGCCAGCAGACGCCCTTCCGATAATCACTTCATTGCTCATGCAAGCACGCGAGCCCCTGTGTATAACAGGCTACGGTGGCCGGGACCCTCAGGCCGTGGAGAGCCTTGTCGCCCTTGCAGATGTAGTAAAGGGGCTACGTGTGCTTGACACAGGAGGTAGTGATTTATGCTTCCCAGCCAATCATCGCGGATGGCTTAGTAGCCGCTTTGGCGTGCACGATGCTATACGAAGCGCGGATGTAATCCTGGTTCTCTCGTGCGACGTCCCCTGGGTCAACACGCGATGCAAGCCCTCCCAGTCTGCGAGGATCATCCACATTGACACGGACCCCTTGAAACAAATCCCTGTTTTCTATATCGATGCTGAGGCCTGCTACAGGGCTGACCCTGCCATCGCCTGTTGCCAGCTCGTAGAGCATATCCGCAGCGATTCAACTCTGTCCCAGCTAAGCCAGTCTTTGCAGTTCGAGGACCGCTGGGAAGCGCTCGGGCGGTCCCATGGGCACCTTCTGGATTCAATCAGGGAGGCCGCCCGACCCAACAAGGATGGTTCTTACGGAACTGCCTACCTCTGCAGTCTCATCCGCCAGCTCGCATTAAGCGACTCGATCTACGCAATCGAAGCCGTCACAAATACACCCATCGTGGCTGACCAGATCCAGGCGAGTCTACCGGGCCAATGGTTGAACTGTGGAGGCGGAGGCCTTGGATGGAGCTCGGGCGGTGCCCTTGGGATAAAGCTCGCGAGTGACGCGATACAAGGGGACAGGCCAAAGAAGATGGTTATTCAGATAGTTGGCGACGGCTCGTTCATGTTTAGCATCCCTGGGAGTGCTTTCTGGATCTCCCATCGGTATAAAATACCCATCCTGACGATCGTGCTGAATAACCGAGGTGAGTTTCCTTCTCTATCGTGCTCTGCATCTTTGCCTTGGTGGTACTAAGTGACCTTTCCCCTCTTACTAGGTTGGAATGCACCTCGCGTCTCAATGGAACTTGTGCACCCAGACGGCCTGGGCTCACTGGTCAGCAACGATGAACTCAACATTGCCTTTTCGCCTCCGCCAGACTATTCGGGGATCGCCCGTGCCGCTTCGAATAACACGATATTCGCAGCCAAAGTATCAGAGGCGTCGAAGCTTGAAGATGTCCTCCGCGAAGCTATCAGACAGGTACAGAGTGGAACCACGGCGGTCGTCGACGCGGTTATCCACAATCAGGTCACTTAGCCTATCGCCTGAGAGAGAAGTAGTCTACTAGGCTAGAAAGCAGCTTTATAGCCAAAATCCTAGACCGAAGAAGCTTCAAAGAACATTATTAGAGGCCAAGAAAACATCCTGTTTGATTTGCATATACGTAGATCTTGTCTATACTATCCATTCCCCCGACGTTCAGGCGCCCTAGCGCTTTCCTGCGGATCGACTGGGATGTCTGTGTCTCAGTTGGGCTCAAGCGTTTTGCAGCCGATTACAGTCATCTATCTCAAAGCCAAATCTGGCGAGCAATGCGTCTTGACGTAGGATTTTCTGTTTCGTGGCTTTGCGGTTCCGCGGAAACTTCCGCGGAAACTCCACCCCCAGCACCAGCAAGTCGAGTCGGTAAATTTGCCTCCAGAGCACTAGGGGCCCGACATGATAATTTCGATAGCCTGCCGGTGGAGAATGATGTATAGCAAGTGGCACTTGCCTTAATAGTGCCAGTTCTACCACCACGAGCTGTCTCTAACAGGAAACATACCCTTCCCCTTGGTTCTTCACCCCCTGGCAGCTTCATCTCGAATCTCATCTCAGAGGGCAACAACAATGGGAGAGGCTCACAGTCTCCTTAGATCAACACTCTCGCGCCTAGCGGACGTGTCGCCAATATGGTGGGCCGGTTTTTTTCTACTCGTTATTTTCGCAAGGCTGCTTCATCGAACGTTCATGCATCCGCTGAGGAAGATCCCCGGCCCACCACTGGCAAAGGTAACAGAGCTATGGCGGACCGGCCGCTATCTTCGAGGGAGGTGGCACGAGGATATACTGGAGTGTCATCGGAAGTACGGGCCCGTGGTCAGACTCTCCCCAAACGAAGTCAGCATTGTCAGCCCCGACCTGGTCAAGACTGTGTTTGGCCACAGCACGGGAAGCGCCAAGGTGAGCACAGCGAGGCTGACCTTTACGGCGCGAAAGATTCAAGATTCATGCATGCTAATCAGGGCTCTAGACAGGTTGGTATGATACTTGGTTGACACTGGGAGGTGGCCAAGCTGGTTCTTCCGTTTCGGTATGAATATCGCTCTCCTCGAGGGCCGCTTTTTCTTTTGCTTTTGCTTCTTTTTTCTCATGCTTTATTCTAATTCGTCTATTGAAACTCTTGTCGCTGGTCAAATCTAACAGGTGAATACCCCAGTTCTTTGGGGCTACGAACCCAACGCAACATGGCTTTCTCCGAAAGCGCGTCTCCGCAACGTACAGCATGTCCGCCGTGGTTTCGATGGAGGGCAAAATCCAGCCTATGCTCGACACCACTTGGGACCGATTCGATGAGTTCGCCAAACTGGATCAGCTCATTAATCTGAGCCTGTGGGCATCGTACTTTACCTACGATGTTGTCGGTACGCTGTGCCTCAGCGAGCCCATGGGGTTCCTCCGCGATGGATACGACAAGAATGGCTTCATCTCTGGGATCCACGGAGCCTTTTACTGGATATCAAATCTGGGCTATCTCCCCCTGCAGAGCGGCTGGCTGTTGAATCCGGTGATACACAAGATCGCTCGTCTCCTCCGCCTACGCCTTACCGACTACGCCCGCGCATTCACAAACTTCTCCATCAACAAGGTCATTCAGCGGATGCAGGGAGGATCCAACAAGAGCGGGGATCGAGACATGCTCGATCACTTTGTGGACATGAAGGGCCCGCGTGGAGAGCCCGCACCGCTTGGTGATATTCTCGCCGAGGTCGGTAATCTGCTCGCGGCAGGCGCTGACACAACCTCTGTGGCCATCAAGGCTGTGCTTGGTCCCCTTCTGAAGGACCCTGCTCGGTACGCCCGGCTCCGAAAAGAGGTGGATGCCGTGTTTGAAGCGAGAAACGGCCCAGCTGAAGGTAGTAGAGTACTGTCGTACAATGTACTCAAGGATCTCCCATTTCTTACTGCGTGTATCAAGGAGGGAGAGCGGCTGCACCCAAGCATTATATACCAGCTCCCAAGAGTGGCTCCAGCAGATGGATTCAGCATTGAGGGATACTACATCCCTCCGTCGGCCACCATCTCCATGAGTCCTCTTGCCCAGAACCGGTGCCAGGCAATCTTTGGCAACGATGCCGATACGTGGAGGCCGGAGCGATGGATCCCCGGAGAGGGGAATTCAGCTGAAATAATCAAGGAAATGGATAAGCAGAACGCTACGGTAGGTGAATTCTTCACCTGTTCCTCCAAGAGCTTTGCGAATCGCTGACGAATACTAACTTCAGTTTGGTTATGGATCTCGGACTTATGTTGGTCGAAACCTCGCCACGTTTGAGGTCTACAAGTTCATCGCGCAGCTGATCACGCGGTACAATGTCGAGCTGCTAAACCCCTCAAATCCCTGGACTGTTCGTTCGTCGTGGTTCGCCGAGATGGATAACCTGCACATACGGCTCAAACGTCGGGGGCGATCATGAGACGCTCTTGTTCCTTAGAGGTGCATTTCAAATGTATATGATGGGGCTATCTTGATTACTGAGCCTCCTGCACTACATATATGACCAGATATCCCAATCAATATCACTGTTAACCACTGCTTTGAGCGCCTTGTGGGTCCCGAGTGCACCTGATACCCTGATCTAAATCCATCGTTGCTCGCGGATAAAGAGGAACAACTAACCAAAAACAAATACACCACGCTACCCCCTCGCAAGGGGATGTCTCCTATGTTTATACCGTTCCGTTCCTGGCCTTTTTCCGGCAGCGCACCCAGGGTTACCTGCGCGCAGCCTCTTCTGTGTTGGACGAGTCCCCCACGGTCGCGCCAGTGATTGTCAAATCCAAGTCCTGTTAACCAGATAACAGGCTCACCTGGTTTCGCTTGAGGGTCGAAGGTGCGTCCGGCCGCTTGATTCCCACAGGGGACAGCCCATCCTCAGTCATAGCCTTAACCTATTTGTGCGGCCGGCAAACCAGAGACTGTCGACCTGGCCGCCAATCAATCCATCAAAGCAGCCAGGTCGCTCTCTCGCATGCGGCGGGCGCGTTCAAGAATCTGGTGCTGGGCAGCGGACCCAGACGCGCGCCAGAATGCCCCTATCACACCACTCGGAGACTCTGGGAGTCTGGGAGCGGTGGATAGCTTGTGCGATTATCTTGAAGATCGCGATCATCGATGGGGTGCTTTAATCCTACTCTGTTACGTGGCTGGCCACTACTGGATTCGATGTACTGCTGATTATTTCTCGAATTCCCACAAGAGCTCAGCGGACCCGGATGCACCTGGCCACTTGGAAAAAGAACAGCCTTGGGTTAGGTCGAGTGGTCTGACGTAGTTGCTATACTACCCCTATTTTATTATTGATGGGGAGAGGATCACCGGTCCAAATCTTAGTAAGCGGGCTGCTGGATCTCCGAGTTCCGGTCCGAACACTTTCAAATCGGAGATTCGCCATGGCGGAATACTCCTACTCTCCATGATGGCTGCTCCGACGCTCTGTACGACGCGGTATGCAGCAGATGCTGTAGCAGATGCCGCAACAGGTGCCGCAGCAGGTGCAGGTGCCGCCACTAGCCATAATAGGACATCGGCATTGCCTGGGGAGTCATCTCCCGGGGTATTGACCTTGGCCAATCAACTCATGCGGGGGACTCTGTGGGGACTGCGGGGAGGGCAAGAACTCCGTTGGTAGTAACTTTTAAGGCCCTCAGAGCCGCCATCCATGATCCATCCTCCATCCTTCCCTTCCCCGTTTCCCATTCCCTCGATCAGCGCCCCCCTCAGTATGAAATCAACGACACAGCAACCATCGTCGGGGACTAAGCGATCGCTCAGTGCTGTCGGGGAGTCTCGGCCTCGCAAACGGGAGAAATATGCTCGAGTGGCCTGGTAGGTCTTCGCCCTCGAGAGTTTGCGCCTTGTTCGCCTCGCTTAACCTCTGCAGCGCGCTATGCAAGATACGCAAGGTCAGATGCAGCGGCAATCAACCCTGCAACCGGTGTGAGGAACTTCAGGGCGAGTGTGTCTATAATGATCCTCCCCACCCCGACACACAGTATGTCCCATTGCAAGCCCGAACCGCCCGTGATGACTGAGCGACCGGTAGCAACACCCCTCCGCAGTCGGCCCACCCTGGCCTGGACCTGTCGATTTTGCGAGTGAATAGGATCTGCGAACAGATGCAACAGAAAATGGCTCGCTTCGTTGATTCGCATCCGGGTCGACCCTGTCTCCAGCGCAAGGTGCCGACGGACAACGAAATCCCTCACCCCAAAAATCAGACGCCAACCGACTTTAGGTACACTCTTAGTCTTACCCACTTTACACTCACGGGCAGACGAGCGGTGTCGAATTCGTCCGATTTCAGTCCCAAGCGTCCTTGCCATTCTGGGAACGGGCTGGTGTCTCCAGATTTCTTGATCTCCTTGCTCCAAGCTGCCCACCCAGTCTTGGAGCTCGGCCACGCAAAAGTCACCCAGCTAGTCACAATATTCAAGAACGAGGTTTACCCCATATTCCCCTGCGTCAGCATTCAGTTGGGACACAATCTTGTCGACATGCTTTTTTCCCTCCTGAACCGTACTCAATACGAAGCGACATGGAACCTCGAAGTGATTGATGTGGAGCTCGCAAAGGCGGTTGTGGCTATTGCCATGCTGGTAAAACATGACACACAAAGCCCCTTGGCTGCAGACCTGGAGGACCATCTGCTATGGAGCGTGGACTCGTGCTATGACCAGGACCAACCCCAGTTTGAAGACATCATCATGGCAACTCTGCTAGTAAGCTTCCAAACCCTCTTCCATCAAACAGGCCTGACTCCACTCTCTCGCCCAGTCCCTGTACTTCGACCTCAAACACCGACCGGTCAAGGCGTGGCGTCTGTCTGGAGTCGCCGCTAAGCTGTGCCTCGAGCTTGGCCTTCACCGAGAGAGCTTCTTCTCCGACACTCAATTGTGTCCGGACCGAATTGCTGACTGTAAACGCTTGTTTGCCTGTGTGTATGATCTCAACAGGAGGTGCAGTTTCTACTCTGGCCTTCCCTGGACCCTTCATGACAGGGAAATCGACCTGTCGAATCTACGAGTAGTCCGTAACCACAAACACCGTCACCCTCGGATTTTACTCGCTGACACCACTTACCTTCTAGGAACCGCCAGAGTCCTACCTTGCAGCCATGATCGCCATTGACAGAAGCCTCTCCGAGACCTGGGCTATCGTCAACTCGCCAACGCCACAGTCTGAGAAAAGCCGCGAACGCGTCGAGTTCCTCAATTTTCAACTACAGAAACTCGTCAGCAGCCTGCCGATAGCGGACTTTACGCCACCTAAACCATCAGTCAATCCACCACCCTGGCTGGACTTGCAACTCAAGCAGTTCTGCCATCTCCGAGTGCACTACATCAGGCTACTCAACTACATTTGCTCCTTCAAGTCGCTCACCGATCTACTCTCAGACCCGCACTCAGCCCGCAAACTCCTCACCTCCGCTGCTGAATCCATTGACATTCAACAGGGAATGATGCTAAGTGCCGCTGCGCGGGAAGGCGAGGCTGACTCGAGCCCCAGCCCCCTCATCCTCCCTTCAGCAATCAAGATTCTCGTCTGTTCTGTCTCTTTCATGCTGCTGGCCGTTTCACACTACCCAGCCGACTACGCGCCTTTGTGCAGCGATTCCTTCTACACCGCCAGAGAGATTCTTACAAATGCGCAAATCACAGTAAAGGATTCGGATCTAGACATCCGTGGTACGCTGGAGGAGTTGCAACGGATTGCTGATAGTATCCAGTTGCCATCGCCGCCGCCCAAGCGGCCAACTCCTAGTTTGCTCCTTCCGTTGGCTTTGGGAGGCGGTGGAGAGCAGGGATCCGCGGGATCTGACGTGTTTGAGGGCCTACAGACGCCTGATCCTAGTTTTTTTCCCATTTTGGACGAGGTTAATCTTGCGGGTCCTGATATGTTATATATGAACAACATGCTTGGCTAGGCGAAATGGCACGGCTGGGGGTTTGTTTTCATGTTATATGTATACGGGAAGGTTTCCTCAAAGTGCTTGATGTTTCTTGCTCTTTTCTATTTATTCTAACCCAGGGGGGTTGTCACGGGCCTCGCCCTGCTTAGGTCCCGCTTAGGTCATCGCCACGTGATAACGTAATTCCCGGGCGATCCGGCCAACACGGGCGATCCGGCCACCTCATCAATTTCCCACGCGTTGAATTACTCTTGCAGTTCAACAAGCCACCATGCCACAAAAACAACGCCAATCGAGACAAAACTTGGTAGAGCAAGAGGGGAGACTTCAACTCGCGATACAAGCTTTAAAGCGACACGAAATTCAAAGTATTCGTCGAGTAGTAGAGGTTTATAATGTTCCGCGTTCTACACTCCAGGATCGATTAAGCGGCCACTTATTCCAACCAGAACTTCGTAACCACATGCACCAGCTTAATGAAACCCAGGAATCAGCTTTAGTTTAATAGATTATATCTAGGGATACACGTGGAGTCGCCCCAAGGCCATCGCATGTACGGTAAATAGCTGATATAATTCTTCAAGAAGAATCTCCAACCCCTCCCTAACTAATTAGAAAGAACTAGGTCATGGAGTTTATTAAACGGCATGACAGTATTAAAAGCCGCTTTACTTGATGGTATAACTATCAGCGAGCCCTCTGCGAGAATCCTAAAGTCATTAATCAATGGTTTGAAGAGTTAAAAGTAATACAGAAGACTAATAGCATCTAGAACGAGGATATCTATAATTTCGATGAAACTGGATTTGCTATGGGTCTAATAGTAACTACTAAGGTAGTTACTTGATTAAATATGCCTAGAAAGCCTCATCTTATTTAACCAGGCCAGCGAGAATAGGTTACTTCTATTAAATGTATTAACTTAATGGGCTTCGCGGTTCCCCCATGCATAATTTTCAAAGGAAAGGTCTATATTAAGGGATGGTTTAAAGAGCTAGGCTTACTAGGTGATTAGAGGATCGAGGTTAGCCTAAATGGCTGGATGATAGATGATATAGGCCTCTAATAGCTTAAAAACTACTTTATTCCTGCAACAACTACCCGTACAGTTAGAGGCAAATGACTACTTGTTTTAGATGGCCATGGCAGTCATCTCACGCCTTAATTTAACTAGATGTGTTAAAATAACAACATTATATGCATCTACATGCTGCCTTACTCATCGCATCTTCTACAGCCGCTAGATATTAGTTGCTTTGGTCCCTTAAAGCGTGCATATAGGGAATTAGTGGAGGCAAAGATGCGCTTGGGATTTAACTATATTAATATGCATGACTTCTTAAAAGCCTATCTAGCTACACGCTAGAAGGTCTTCTCTATATAGAACATTCAAAGCGGCTTCTAAGCAACTAGGATCAAGCCTTTTAACCCTTATAAGGTGCTTAAGGAGTTAAATTACTTGCTTACAACGCCTACCCCCCCTTCTAGCCGTGGTGGGCCTTTAACCTCTTCCTCTACCCTTGCTACGCCTTATATAGTTTGATAACTACATAAGAAAGCTTCTTTAATTAAGAAGCTACTAAGTAGGCGCAGCTAGAGTCCTTTAAGTCCTTCTAAATGTGCATTAGATGAACTTATAAAGGGCTGTGAGATTGCTATCTACAACGCTACCTTCACGCTTAAGGAATTAAATAATCTCCGCGCTAAAAGTTAAGTTCAGGCATAAAAGAAGAGTTAATTAAAGTGGCAAATGTCTCCTAATAGAGGCCTTCAAGTATAGGAGGCAAGAGATCTAATTACATTAAGAAATGAGTAATTAGGTGAGTAAGGTGGTGGTTTAAATCTAGTTACTTCTTCTACTCTAGGGCCTTTAACTACACGAAAGCGTGCTCCACCAACCTGTTCTGAATGCCATATCCAGGGTCATATTAGAACGAGCTGTCCTAAGCGTCGAAATATTTAGTTTAAATAATATTACGCAGTTTTTGATGGTTGGGGATAGCTTCAAATTCAACTAGTATTTTGAAAATTGATGAGGTGGCCGGATCGCCCGTGTTGGCCGGATCGCCCGGGAATTACGTTAATCCTCTGTATATAGTCAGTCCCGCTTCATGGAACCTTTATTAGTTCTCTATACTTTATATTTTAGTTTAATATAATCTTATTTATTAAGAGATACTTGTAAGCGGCGAGGTTGGATCGATGGCGGTGTTATGGAAGGTTGACCTCTCAAGCCTTCCTAAACCTTGGGATCATCTTGACCTAAGCCCTGATTGTAAGCGGCGAGGTCGGATCGATGGCGGATGCCAGTCGGTCTTCACCCACGGCGAGATCCTAGCAAGCAACGAGACGTCGAGCTACAAAGGATGTACGAAAGAGAAAGGAGGAGCTATAAGCTAATTAATTTAGAAACAAATCACTAGGGAATAGGAAGACTAGTGATTATAGAGGTCTTTTATGTATAGTAATGCCAAGAGAGTCATTTAGGACTTGGCCTAAAGGGGTTAGGCCTAATCAGGTCAGATCCCAAGCAGTAGTCACGCGGCCTCCTGTTAGGGCTGCCTAAGGTACCTACTATGATAGCTATCCCCTCTCACAATGGCGATCCGTCCCGGATCGTATTAAACCCGAAACGGAATAATACAAGGAGATGGCTATTTAGGTATAATAATAATAGAATAATAAGAATAGCAAGGCGTAGTATTAATAAAGGCTTTTAAAATAATAATAAAGAAGTTTGGTTATAAAGAAGAATGCTTTTAGTTTAGTAGTAGTAGCTTAGTAGCTATCTTTAAAAGTAAACTTCCCCTTATAGTTATAGAATCTTTATTAATACTACTACCATTACCTCCTCCTCGTATATGAAGAACTACTTGTTATGAACCTAGCCAAGCGGTCAGACGTTCTTCCGGCAGAACATTCAGTGGTCAGAATATTATCAGGTAGATAATATTCCTTAATAATAAGATTATCCCTAGATAATCTTATACTCATGATAATACTAACTATGGTTAATATTTACCTTGTGATAATATTACTGCTATAATAATATTATAAGCCTTTAGTATTAACAGGCATAACTCTAAGCGCTTGTAAGCTACACTAAAGATAAGCTATTATATAATATAACTTACCTAGGAACTAAGTACCCATGATCTAAGGACTACATTACTAACTACCATGTCTTAGTAGACTAGGGAAGGTAGTAACTACTAAATAACTACTAAACTACCATAGTATAAAGGTCCTTGGCCTTTTAGAGATTTGCGAGTAGTGTGAAAGGTCATAATAAGAGTAGATAGGTTATCGCGATAGGTTCATTCCAAGAATAAGGATCTTATGGTAGATTAACGCTAAAGGTTAGAATCAACCCTTCGTGAGTAGAGGAAATTCTCTATAGGCTTAGTTAGCCCGCGGGCTGACTAAGGACCATGGGTTAGAAATATCTAAGTATATTCGCGAGGGCCTTATAACTGCCCCCCCCTTTCCAAGGCCTTGATCCCTCAAGGCCATGCATGATGTCTTCGCAGAAGACTAATGCCCTCGTAACGCATATCACGTGGTGGGTAGCCATTAAAAACCATATCATAGTAGTAAATAAACCTAAATATAGGTAAAAAAAAATCCACGTAATAGGAAAAGGTACTCCTAGTCTATCTTAACTCCCCATGATAGTTCCCCTATAGAATAGCTATGTATAAACCCTTCATGGGATCCTTTCCCTATCCTATAGTATTAGGATCCTCGTGGCACTTACTACTTACATTCTCTACCATGCAGTATTAGCTTTCGCAGGTATAGAGTCTCCCTATCCTTAAGGTTACTTTATAATAGTTACCTATCTTTATCTCTTCCTTGCTAAGTGTTACTTATTTAGTGCCTCGCGAGGCTCTTTATTATGTTAGGTTCTTGGCTTTTTTCCCCTATCGCGAAGTTCTTTATTTTATAAAGGGTTAAGGTGGCTTTTATCTACCTAAAAGTCTATCTCTCTTATAAAGGGTAAGTCCTTTCTCCTTTCATAAGTAAGGCTTGTATTATTTACTCTAGATAATAATATTACTATAAATATATTTACCCTAATTTATACTAGCTCCATTACTAGGCCTAAGAATAAAAGAAATCTTCTTTCTTCTTTACTTCTTCTTCTTCTTTCTCCTCTCTAGATTACTTAGCTTTCTTAGTAGTAAGCCTTTCTACCTTATAGAGGTCCTTAAGCATGTCCTTTCTTTTATTCTTATATAGATCTTAGTCCCTTTATTATTCTATAGTAGTTTCCTTATTCTAGTATTATTTCCTCTTTAGGTAATAGCTCTTTATGGCTCTAGTTATCTAGTATTTCTCTTATATTCACGAGAAGTTAGTATTTATAAGATTATTCCTTCCCTTTATACTTATACTTTTCTTAGCCTACTTTGTAAGTGTCCTTTCTAACCCCCTTTATAAGAATCTTTTAAAATAACTACTCTAACTCCCTATTTATACTCTATTTTAGCCGCCTCCTCTACGCCTTCTATATTATCGCGCTCGCCATCCCCCCCCTCTAATTAGTAGGAGTCCCCCGTGGGGGGAATTTAGGTATATATTACCCTTTCTCCTCTTTATAAGAGCTTATATAGGCTTTACAAGGTTTTATAACTTCCTTTTATAATTATAGTTACTAACCTTAGTATACAGGCCCCCCTCGCGGGGGTGATTTAGCCTTTCTCTATGCCTATGCCTGCGCCTGCTCCTACCCCTACTACTACGCCCGCCCCTGCGCCTGCGCCTACTACCATGGCCCTCCTCTAGCCCCCTACTATTCCACTACCCCCCTACTCTACTTCTCGCGGAAACTTCATAGCTACTATAGTAAATATCTAGGTAGCACTAGCTACTCATGGCCTAAATATTCCTTAACCCTCCCCGCATCCCGCGGGCACTCCTTAGGAGATCTAGGACAGGGCGCCTCTAGTGCCTGCGACGCGCGAGAACTAGGCAGCCACTATATAGTTTATTAACTTGCCGCCTATAGCATGGTTTATACTATGCTTATAGAACGCCCCTATCACCATCCTAGGCCTACCTCCCTAGATAGGAGATCAGACCCTATTAACCCGCGAGAGATAGTAGGCTCTCGCGCTAGTAGTCCACCCTATCCTTTAGTATAGGTGGGTAGATCTAGGGTAATTAGCTACACGCGCCTAGCTGTAAGAGGGCCTTCTAGTTACTCGCGCGAGATAACTTCCACCTGCTAGTTAGGAGTGTGGAGAGTGCTAGAACCTGGGTTAATCTTAGTATTTCGCGCAATGTGTTTCTAGAGGGATTAGTAAGAGGTGTAATAACTATCTCTACCATGGATATATAAACTACTCTCTATAGTAGTGAGCATGTCTAAGGGGTTATAGTAAGCCTTCTTGCTTCTATAAGTAGTAGTCTACCTTATAATAGGGAATAAGATGGTTACTATAGCTAGTTATATAAGGCCTATGTAGTAGAAAATTAGTCTTATATTTATTATAAACGTAATTTTTTCCTCTTTATAATAGTTTTATTTTTCTATCTTTTTTTTTCTTTTTTATTAATAACACTAGGGTTTTTTCTGTTTATAAAATATTCCTTATAGGCTTGTAGATGCTATAGGTTTATAAGAGGTTCCTCTATAGTCTCCTTATAACCTAACTATTTAATAATAGTATTCACAGGGTTCTTTACTAGCCCTAGGATCTTCTTAACCCTATATTTATAATTATCCTCGCTCGTGAATTATATTTTAAACTATTTATAAGTATCTACACCTTTCATTTCCTAGTGTTCGCGAAGTATTAAAATATAAAAGATATCATGGACTTTTAGTCCTATGGGTAACTCTACCCTATAGGCGTTCTTGCCTATGCGCTTAACTATCTATTAAGGCCCTACTCGTAATTAATCAAGCTTCTTATTTAGGCGTATTCGCGACTAGTTCTTATTAGTGATCTAAATATACTTATTAACCTTGAAGGTCTTCTCTCTTTACTTTGCATTATACTGCTTTGCCTATTATTCTTAGGCCTTTGTGATATTCTCGCGCGCAGCTTCGCGGATCTCCTAGATATAGGTAGCGTGGTCTTTAACTTCACGGCTTACCTCTCCTCCTATATAGAGGTCGAGTGTGATTACTCGCGGATCTATTCCATACAAGATCTAAAATAGTAAGGATTTTATTAACGCCTGTTGCGAGTTATTATATACAAACTCTATAAGAGGGATATAGTCCACCTAGTTATTCTACGAGAAGTTAACATAGCCTTGCAAGTATTACTTAAGAATACTATTTAACCTTTCTATCTAACTATCTATCTAGGGATGGTACGTGGTACTTATTAAGTGCTTAATTCGTAAGTAGTAGACAAAATCTAACTAGAAGCCCTTCGCAAAGACGCTTCCCTAGTTAGTGACTATATTCATGGGCACCCCATGAAGGCGAAATACTTCGTGGATGACTAGAAATGCAAGTTCCTTGCTAGTAATAGCCTTCCGCGTAGGGATAAAGTGTGCCATCTTACTCATCCTATCTATAATAATAAGGATAGTATTATATACCTCTCGCGAGCTACTTAAATCCTTAAACTTAATACTCGCGGGCAGATTAGTGATAAAATCTATACTAATCTATTCCCATGGCTCGCAAGGGATAGGTAGGGGTTAAAGCAGGCCTTGCTACTTACTATAAATAACACGCGAGCCCTGATAGACACCACAAGCCTAACCCAGCGGGGGTAAGCGGTCGCAGGTGCGACCGGATTGGGGTTCCGCGGAACCGGCCCGCTGATTGGCCAGTGGGCCCCACTTCGAACGAGCGACCGGATTGCCAAAGTCGATGTGACCGTTGGTGCGGACGGCGTCGTGGCGGGCCAAAAGTTAGCCAGGCGGACTAGGCGGGGAGTTAATTCATAGGAAAACCAGGTTTGAAGCTTACCAGGCCAGGATCAAGCGTGTGGTGGTGGTTTAAAGATGACAGGTTTTTTAGGGTCCCATGAGGCGTAAGGGGCGGGTAGGTGGGCGTACCGCGTATTATACTATGGGAAGAAGGAAGGAAAGAAAAGGGCGGGGATAGAAGAGGGGGATTAAGATAGGATAGGCTATAATACCGCGCCCGCTCCCATGGAAACCAGGCATAACTTTGCTTTTTTTTAGAGTATATATATACTAACATTAGATAAATAAATATTTACCTATTACCACCCTAACCCACCACCACCACTACCACCACCATACCACCATCCAGCTTATACGCATTTATTATATTTTATTTTAACTACAACCCACCACACAAGACCTGCTCGTCCCGTCTAGTATAGGTGTAGTTTAATTATCTAGCCAGGCAATCCAACCGCCCATGTGCCACCTAGTCATCCATGGAGGAGGCAGTATTCGAGCGCATCCCCCGCTTGCGTATTATTATTTATCGCCAGTGCCAGTACGGCGTACGACCCGCGGACGTGCCACGCCATTTAAAGCAGCAGCACCAATACAGCCACCAGGCCGCTTGCCAGGTTGCCGACGCGGTGCGCCAATGGGAGGATATTAAGCAGGATAGTGATTCAATCCAGGTCCCCTGCTAGCTGGAAGCACCCCTGCCTAACCCAGGGGACGCAATGCAACAAACGTATGTTGCACTGGCAGGTGGGCGCCAAGACCTGCTAAGCTGGTGGCTGATTGGCTGGCTTGAGATCCACCTTGCGTATCTTGCACTGGGAATGATTGCGTATCTTACACTGGCTTTTTCATGGCCGATCCGGCTCAGATTGGGCTAAGGGGTTAGAGGGGCCAGTTAACTATAGCTGGTACTAATTAGGAGTCGCTCTAACCCAGGGGGGGTAATGGGGCGGGCCCTCATCGCATTTAGGGTTCGGCCAAAAAAGGTTTAGCGGCCCGGGAAAACTCGCGCTAAGTTCACCCATCTCATTTAGAAAAGGTCACCCATCCATATCCGCGCTGGTGGTCGCTCGGCTCTGAAAAGTGGCTTATGTGAAAGGGCGGGCACTTATCTTTTAGATATCCAAAAAGTAGAAGCCGTGCGGACGTAGAATAGTGGCGCGGTGTAGGTGTAAAAGTAGCAGGTTTTTATTAGGGTACGCCGCCATCCGCGGGAGACGGGAACGGGATGAGATGATGAGAGGTAACAGCGCGCGGGATATAGTAAGTAATGCATGCATGCAAGCTGCCATGGAAACCAACCATGAATAAAATAATATTAATGTTTATTGATACCCATGCCCACATCCCATGCCCAATGCCCGTGCCCATTACCCATGATTGATTTAAACCATTAAATCGACCAGTTATTCAATTTGTTTTAAGACCATGGAGAGCCAGCTGTTTGAGAAGATCCCCAGCTTACAGATTATTATTTGCCGCCCATGCAAGCATGCCGTACGGCCCGCGGACGTCCAGCAGCATTTAAAGCGGCAGCATGGGTATAATTACCAGGCAGCCAGCCAGGTGGCCGACATGGTACACCAGTGGGAGGACGTGCAGCAGGATAGCCAGGCCATCCAGATCCCGCGTGTATTAGATCACCCACTGCCCATTTTACCATGCCACACCAATGGGGTTTTGTGCCAGCGCGACCCCACCACACAGTGCCAGTACGTGGCCGCCAGCATGAATTCCATGCGGAAGCACTGGCAAGCCACCCACCAGTGGTCACGGCAGGCCCGCCAGGGCCGCGTGGGCCAGCGGGAGAAGGCACGCAGCGAGGCGGAGCTCGCGCGGTCGTTCAGGCAGGTGGCATGGCAGCAGGCGTTCCCGTCCGGCCCCGGGTCCCATTACATCCACATCCAATACCCAGATGGCCGCCAGAGGAGCCCACCACTACCACCGCCCGCAGAGCAGGCCCAGCAGGCCGTGGATGCCATGGTCATTGCATGGGAGCGGGCGCGCGCGCGCGAGGCGGAGCAGGCCACCATCCAGGCGGACGAGGCGGCTGATGCCAACCCATGGCTGCGCATGACGGGGTGGGCGAGGTATTTGGACGGCGTGCACCCGCAGGATTTGCGCCAGCTCGTAGAGGCGCCCGTGGAGGTAGAGGTGGTAGTGGAGGAGGAGGAGCTAGTGGATATAGATCCCAAGGCAGATCCCACCGAGCAGGCCGTGCGGGTGATTTGGGACGCCATGGACCAGCTGGCGCGGCGCAGCCAGCGGACTGTGCAGCAGTGTGGCGCGGGCATCCACGTGGAGGCGGCCCGTACAGAGGCCGGCCAGACGCCATACAAGCCATTGCAGGCGTACATGGACGAGGCGAGCATCGAGAAGCACATGCAGCCATGGCAGCAGGTACTGGCATTCATCGCGCGCACGCAGGCCGCCCAGGCAAGCTGGGTTAGGGATGAAGATGGTGATAGTGGTGACGGTGGTAGTGGCCGTGGCAAGTGGCTAGGGAGGTTGCCCGCGTATGGGATGACGCCGCGGCAGCGCCAGAAGTGGCAGGCATTATGGCAGCTGGCCATGCTAGCTGTTGAGAGGCCCGAAGCTGAAGCCCAAGCTAGTGGCCAAGCGCGTGCGCAAGCCCAAGCCAGGCCAGGGGTGAGGGTCGTACATACGTTCGCTAGGGCCGGCCAGATCATCGAGGACGTGTGGAGTGCCAGTCCCAGCCCAGGTAGTAGCCCAACCACCGTGATGGAGATGGACGAGGAGACGGACGAGGAGATAGATAATAAGGATGAGGTGGAGGCTGCAGCTACAGAGGTGGAGGCGTGGCAGATGACCCCCGTGGAGCAGGCGTGCTTAGAGTTTTGCATCGAGCTAATGAACCAGCGCCACCGCACGCACGAGTACGAGAGCGCGCTGGTATGTGCCATGGCCGTGCAAGGGTAGGGTGAGGCGCGCTGGCGCGATCCTAGTAGTTACCCGCCCATATTATCCCGCGTGCTCAAGGTGGCGCGCTTCATGGTGGTGCAGAAGGCGTTATGGTTAGATCCCCATGCGAAGGAGATCATCCGCATGTGGACAGGCCATCGGCAGCCAGGCAGCGGCCCCAATACATGGCCGTTGACCAGCGCCGACGACCAGCTGGTGGATATCCATATCCATCCAGGGGATCCAGCCCAAGGATCGCCATCAGGATCACCACCAGGATCAGGATCAGGATCAGGATCAGGATCAGGATCAGGATCAGGATCAGGATCAGGGTTAGGTGGGAAGCTGTTCCATGACCACGTCCAGTAGATGGTGCGCAGCTTCATGATCCGCGGCACGCACGGCCCCATGCAGACGTTGCTGGATTGGCGCACGTACGGGTTGAAGGTGCATTACAACACCACCGCGCCAGGGCATGTGGGATGGATGGGCAGCGACGAGTTATTATACAAGGACATGCATTTCACCATGGGCGCGTTCCGCGGCTTCATTCATGGCTTGGTGGGATCGGCGCGCGAGCTGCTACGGGAGGTATTATATATATCCCCAACCACAACCACAACCACCACCACCAGCAACACCGATTTCCCCCCCATCCCATGGTCCAGATTGTACGACGACCCCACGCAGGGCCAGAAGGGGTGGTGTTTTTTACAGGATACCCGTACGCGGTGGCCGGTGGATGGGAAATAGTAGTTGGTGCAGCGGCTGCGCAGCGAGCCCGCCATGCAGCGCCAGTTCATGTGCCGTGGCCAGATGCAGGCCCAGCTAGTGGCGCAGTATTTGGCCCGCGTGGCCTGGTTCAAGGAGAAGCTCGCCGTGGCTATTCACTAACACTATTCTGGGCCAGTACCTGGGGGAGGTACAGCGCAAAATAAAGTCTTGGCAGAGGGGGAGGTACAGAGTTTAACTGTGTACCTCCCCTGCGATTGCTTAATTATTAATATTATACAATAATTTTTATATGTACATGTAGCTACTAGAGTTAAATTTAATAATAATTAATAATATTACTAGATTTCCTAAAGGGGAAGGCGTAATTAAGGTTCTAAAATATAAGCGAATTTTTTATTGGGGTACGCCTTGGCGCGCTAGGAGCGGGTAATCTAGTCCTAATTAGGCCACCTAGGTGCCTGAGGCGGCTATATATATGCCTGGTAGATGCCTGAGGCTTGATGGATGCCTAACCCAGGGGGGGTAACCCGATGGACGTCCATCTGCATTTGGGTTCGGCCCGATGGGGTTTAGCTGCCGGGGAAAACTCGCGCTAAGTTCATCCATTTAGATTAAAAAGGTCATCCATCTATATCTCCCATGGGCGTTCCTGGGCTTTAAAAATCAGATGGCGTGAACGGGCGGGCACTTATTCTTCAGGTAATTAAAAAGTAGAAGCCACATTTACGTAAGATGAAGCTATAGCATGGGTGTAAAGGCAGCCAGGTTTTACCAGGTTTTATTAGGGTATGCTGCCACGCGGGACGGGATGAGAGGTATAGCGCGGGATAGAGACAGCGCATGAGTAGTAGAGAGTAGTAATAGGAAAAAGTAAAGCAAGAGTGAGCTAGATTCCTCATGCAGCTAGCTGCCATGGGAACCACGAATACAAATGTTTATTTATAATCAGGGAAGGTGATTTTTTTAAGCCCATTAATACCCATGCCCATGCCCATGTAGATGATCCATCCCTCATGACTTCCACGCATTTGATTTCAGTTGGTTATTTAATTTATTAATTTTGTTTCATACCATGGAGAACCAGTTATTTGAGAAGATCCCTAGCTTGCAGATTATCATTTGCCGCGCGTGCTAGTATGGTGTACGACCAGTAGATGTCTAGCAGCATTTAAAGCGGCGACATCAGTATAGTCACGACGCAGCCAGCCAGGTGGCCCACGCCATTTACTAGTGGGGGGATGTCCAGCAGGATAGCCAGGCCATCCAGATCCCCCGTGTATTAGACGACCCACTGCCCATATTACCATGCCACGCCCATGGGTTATTATGCCAGCGAGACCCCACGCAGTGCCAGTACGTGGCTTCTAGCATGAATTCCATGCGGAAGCACTTGAAGACCATCCACTAGTGGTCCCAGCAGAGCCGTAGTGGCTGCGTTGGCCAGCGGGAGAAGGCTCGCGGGGAGGCCGAGCTAGCACAGTCATTCAGGCAGGTAGCATGGCAGCAGGTGTTCCCATCCAGGGTTGGGTCCCATTACATCTAGATTCAATACCTAGACGGCCACCAAAGCCCACCCCCACCCGCGGAGCAGGCCCAGCAGGCTGTGGATGCCATGGTCATCGCATGGGAGCAGGCGCGGGCGCGCGAGGTAGAGTAGGCCACCATCCAGGCAGATGAGGCCATGGATGCCAACCCATGGCTGCGCATGACAGGGTGGGCAAGGTATTTGGACGGGGTGCACCCGCAGGAT